ACCGTTATGGGGATCATTATCTCCACAGTCTTCCTCAACTTGCCCAGCGATACCGGTAGCTTCTTCCAGCGGGGTGCCCTACTCTTCTTCGCTATCCTCTTGAACGCCTTTGCTAGCTCCCTGGAAATTCTGACCCTCTGGCAACAACGGCCCATCGTTGAGAAGCACTACAAATACGCGCTGTATCATCCCTCTGCCGAGGCAATCAGCTCGTACATTGTAGAGATGCCGTCCAAGGTCCTGGTTGCTATCACGTTCAACCTCATCATCTACTTCATCCCACACCTCCGTCGCACGGCAGGTCACTTTTTCGTCTTCTTCCTGTTCTCCTTCGCCACTACTCTCGTGATGTCAAACCTCTTCCGCACGATCGGCGCAAGTTCCCGCTCAATGGCCCAAGCAATGGTTCCGTCATCAATTTTCATGATGATTCTTGTCATCTACACCGGTTTTACTATTCCCGTCAGAGATATGCACCCATGGTTCCGGTGGCTCAATTATCTGAATCCAATCGCTGTACGAAGACTCCCATTAACCCGATAAAGAAATATGCTAACAAGACTAGTACGCCTTTGAGTCCCTGATGATTAACGAATTTAGTGGCCGCCGCTTTCCTTGCTCAGACTACGTTCCCGGTGGACCGCTCTACGCAAACGCCCCCCTCAGCTCCAAGATTTGCTCGCAGAAAGGCGCAGTGGCCGGCCAAGACTTCATTGATGGCGATGCCTACATCAATACCACTTTCCACTACTACAAGGCGCATCTGTGGCGAAACTTTGGTATCCTTTGTGCCTTCTTCGTTGCCTTCCTCATCGCCTACATCGTCTCCAGTGAGTACATTCGGGCTCAGCCATCTAAGGGTGAGATCCTGGTTTTCCCTCGTGGCAAGATTCCGGCATTTGCGAAAAAGGTCCACCAAGACGACGACCCCGAAGAGGCGACACAAGGAGAGAAGCAGGAGGTTGTAGGAGAATCCCAGGATCTTGCTGTGCAAAGCGCCGCTCTCGCCAAGCAAACTGCCATCTTCCATTGGGAGAATGTCTGCTATGACATCAAGATCAAGGGAAAGCCACGACGGATTCTCGATAGTGTTGATGGATGGGTGAAGCCGGGGACGCTGACTGCATTGATGGGTGTGACCGGTGCTGGTAAGACGTCATTGCTGGATGTGCTCGCAAATCGAATCACCATGGGTGTCATAACTGGAGAGATGCTGGTCGACGGTCGCCCTCGCGATGGCTCTTTCCAACGCAAGACGGGATACGTTCAACAGCAGGATCTGCACCTCGAGACCAGCACAGTCCGCGAGGCCCTCATGTTCAGTGCGCTGCTTCGGCAGCCTCACAGCATTTCCCGCGAGGAAAAGCTTGCATATGTTGAGGAAGTTATCCGAATGCTGGAGATGGAGGCCTACGCGGAAGCCATCGTGGGTGTCCTGGGCACTGGACTGAATGTCGAGCAACGCAAACGCCTGACCATCGGTGTGGAGCTCGCCGCTAAGCCCGACCTGCTGCTTTTCTTCGATGAACCCACCTCGGGTCTGGACAGTCAGACCGCCTGGTCGATCTGCAGCTTGATGCGGAAGTTGGCAGACCATGGACAAGCCCTGCTGTGTACTATTCACCAGCCGTCTGCCATGCTGATGCAGCAGTTTGATCGCTTGCTGTTCTTGGCTAAAGGTGGCCGAACCGTGTACTTTGGAGACCTTGGCACGAATATGCAGACCCTGATCAAGTATTTCGAGGACAAGGGATCGATCAAGTGTCCTGATAATGCTAATCCCGCGGAATGGATGCTCGAGGTCATCGGTGCTGCGCCCGGTTCTCATGCAGACCGGGACTGGGCAGAAGTATGGACTGAAAGTCCAGAGCGTGCCCAGGTGCGAGAGGATCTGGCAGAGATGAAGGCCGAGCTTTCGCAGAAGCCGGTTCCCGAAGCGACGACTGGATACGGAGAGTTTGCGACCCCTATTTGGTACCAGTTCCTCGTTTGCATTCAGCGCATGTTCCAGCAGTACTACCGCAGCCCCGGATATCTTTATTCGAAGACCGCCATGTGTGTGTTTCCGGTAAGTATCTTTTCCCCTGCTAGAATTGATTAGCCCTTCCATTCTGAGGATACGTCGCTAATACTGTCTCAGCCAATCTTCATCGGTTTCACATTTTGGAAGATGCCCAATAGTCTTCAGGGATTGCAAAACCAGATGTTTGCCATCTTCATGCTGCTGATCATCTTCCCGAATTTGGTCCAGCAGATGATGCCCAGCTTCGTGACCCAGCGAGCCCTGTATGAAGTGCGCGAGCGACCGTCCAAGGCATACTCGTGGAAGGCATTCATGTTGGCCAGTATTTTTGTGGAACTGCCCTGGAACATCATCATGTCGGTACCCGTGTACTTTGCCTGGTACTATCCGATCGGGCTCTACCGAAATGCGCCGCCTGGCCAGGTGGCCTCACGGGGTGGCACGATGTTCCTGTTGATCCTCATCTTCTTGATGTTCACGTCGACCTTCAGTTCGATGATGATTGCGGGAATCGAGCAGCCGGAGACTGGTAGCAACCTCGCACAGTTGCTGTTCTCCCTGTGCTTGGTGTTTAACGGGTAAGTTACTTTATGTAGCTGACGGAGAGCATCGCACAAGTTACTAACATGATAACGCTTTTTGACAGTGTCCTGGCGAGTCCCTCGGCGTTACCACGCTTCTGGATCTTCATGTACCGGGTATCGCCGTTTACGTATCTCGTATCGGCGGTTCTCTCTACCGGATTGTCGGGCGGCAAAGCGGAATGCTCCAGCATTGAGCTTCTCACGGTTGACCCGCCCAGTGGCCAGAACTGCTCTACCTATCTGGATCAGTATGTCGATTTGTACCAGGCAAACCTGCTGAATCCGGAGGCGAGCTCGGGCTGTGAGATTTGCTCAATCCGATCCACCGATGCCTTCCTGGCTCAGCTGAGCATCAAGTTCTCCGACCACTGGCGGAACGTGGGTCTGCTCTTTGTGTACGTGGGCTTCAACATTGTGATGGCCCTGTTGCTGTACTGGCTGATTCGCGTGCCGAAGAAATGGTCGCGCAAAGTGCAGACGCAGTGAGGCGAGGGGGGAAGGATACCCGATCTCTCACTCTGCAAGGAACCAGAATTGGGAGGGTATTTCAAGCTATGCGGGAAAGATGGATTTTTGCTTTTCAGGGAGAAGGAATATTTGCTATTTGATGGGAAGCATATCTTAGATGCAGGATACAAAGCATACATCCCTCATAATTTTAGATTCCAATGAAGAGCTGCCCCTGAACATGGTATTAATGTCTGAGTACTCGGTAGTTCACGATTGTCTGCTACCCCTCGGCCGTAAGCTATACTTCGGGTCCGTTCGGACTCGGTGTATTAATACCGAGTCTTTTAATTACGGCTGAGAGTAAGGCACCCTTTCAAATCCCGAGACCTTGGACGTGGTTGATCTAGTAACTTACTGGTTTTAAGGGATGAGTCATTCGTACTTCGTAGTTAACTACATTAACTATAGTTAGTTAGTTATGCAGCATCATGATGCTAACTTGATTTTGGTATGGCAGTGGAATCGACTTTAGGTTACAATTCTTAGCCCTGGGCTTGCTGATGCAGCGCAACGTTGCTACACTAGATACTAGACGGTAGTTAGCTTGACAGCATCCCAGCTCCCAAGGTCTCATACTATACGTATTGTACGCGTGGCAGCGTCCGGCCCTCGCGCCAGTCAGGGGACAGGATTCGACTGATCGTCTAGAAGCAACAATGACGGGATGCACCAGAGCGTTTTAGGCCCACGGCTAGGGCAGAGAATGGGGTGCCGCTAGGGCCACGCTAAAGGGCCGTCCGGGAAGCGAGTCAAAGTCGGGGCTTTTGTTTACTGAATGCGGAATGACGGGGGGAACAGAGTTGGGAATATGGCCAGTCCCGTATGGAGTACCGTTAGGGAGCCCCCCCCCCCCCTCCAGTCATGATTATCACCGAGTTGGTGTGGGTAATCAGGAGAGCTGGAATATGGCTTAGCGCCAGGGAAGAACCGGGGCTTTGGGTTGGGGTCCAAATCATGATCGCCTATGAGGGTCTGTTAGAGCTCTGACCTTCCCCCCCCCCGTTGATCGTTTATCGCTCGGGTGTGCGTCAGAGCTCCAACGTGGGCTCGTGGATGGCTCGTTTGATTTTTCCCTGCAGGTTGAAGGTGTGGGTGTGGATTATGAAAGGGCCTTGTGGGCCTGCTTCGAGATCGACTGCTCCGGGAGATCGGGGAGTGGGAATAGGGGAGTGTGTTGGTCCTCCGTAGGTTCGGATGGATTCCTCGGTCCCAAGGTCTTGATTGGGTCCATTCACGGAAAGTAAGCGAGTCACTGTTGCTTATCTCCGTTGTATACACGGTCGTTCGAGCGTTTAGTCCCTTTCACTACGTCAAGTCTCGCAGGCGACCAGCGGAGAGTGATTCTCCGTGATGAAAATAGTTTTGTAGGGCTATATGACAATGTGATTTAGCTAGCGATGAAGATATGCCTCCGAGGGACTAGGGCTTATCATACATCGTGTACTCCGTGTACTGTTTGTCGACATTCCATGCATCTGTGTACCACTTTTTAGCCCCATCGGTGGCACGCGGTCGAACTGACTAATCCACTCGTTCGAGTCGGCTCGTCCCCGCGGCGTCTCCGCGGCTCGCAGTCGTTGCCCAGTTCAGATCCTCTTCGGCTCAGAGCCAACGCAATCTGGTTCCTCGCCCTTCTCGATCTCTCCCGGCCTAGTCTTGCAATACAATGGCTCTCCAATTGCGGTGAGTCTACGGAGTAGTATGAAGTAATTTCATGTAGAATTCTGTTTTTTTCCCTATACTGATGATCCTCCATTGATTGAATATCGCCGTCTTCCTCAACTCCGGACCCACTCGCTGCGCCTTTTCTCCTCCTTTGGCTTCGACCTGAGGCTTGTTGAGGCTCATGGCTGGCCCCACCCGATCCACCGTCCGCTTCGTTGATGGTCACTGCTCTCTGGATTCCCCAATGCAACGCAGCTAAACCCGATCTTTTCTGGTGGAGGATGGAGTCTCGTCGTGGACTCCATCTCCTCCAGAATTGGCTCTGTGCCATTTCACTCTCCGTACTTTTATTAATATCCTTGGTTCCCCCCGCCTCTTCTCCAGTCCCACGTTTTTCTCTCCCTACACGGTTGCATCCTTTGTTCTTGGTTGCTTGGAGTTTCTTGTCGTGTTCCCTTTTGATCCCTCCAGTGACAATGGATTCCTGCCCTCCGTTCACGGAATTCCCCCACATGATACCCATGTCGGGCGCCTCATCCCAGCCTTACGACGTCTCCGATGCTTCTCTGTCAGCCAAAGATCACTTGGCGACGCGAGCCTCACACTTCCAATTCCACTTGGCCTCTCCTTTTGACCAGCCCAAGGCCCACGATACATCAGCCACGCAACCTTGGTGGATGGACGAGGATCCATCCCTCAACGTCAACTATATCGCCCCCGAGTTCCCAGTGTCCGCGGACCGCTTCTCTCCATGGAACAGTGAAATCTCCACGATCTCAGATCCGCAAAGTCCGCGAAGTAGTAATGCCGGGAGCCTACCGGGCATGCACTGTATCGCATCCCCTCATTATTACCATGACGAGCTTGCCTTGACGACCACCACCGACGAGCAGGCTGGTTATCCTGCCCCCGACGCTCTCGTCGACATGCACCACCCCTCTTTCCGCTCCGAACCGGTCGTCTTCGAGGTCCAGCCCAATCATCGCTCATCCTTTGACACTGACTTGGACCCCTGGTCCAGAAGCCCGTCAGACCGAAATAGGACGCCTGAACAACAGTGGCCATCTCCACTGCCAGTCGAGTCCACCACTTTCCCTCCACATCAAAAGCGGGCCAAAGCCCGTCCGGCTCCGAAACCTCGCGTGCGCAAGCCGGCTGAAACCCGATCAACTTCTACAAAAGCTCGCAACGGCCGCCGTCGCGCTGGAAGCAGCACTCATCACGGCGATAATGGGGTGCCCCGAACGTTTATCTGCAGTTTTGCACCTTACGGATGCCAAAGCACCTTCGTCTCCAAGAACGAATGGAAACGGCACGTCACTTCCCAACACCTCCAGCTAGGCTTCTATCGCTGCGACGTCGGCAAATGCAACGTCCAAACCCGCATCACCCCATCCAAGTCCCGCCGGTCCCGCACCTCCAGTCCACCCCCGGGCCAACCCAATGACTTCAACCGCAAAGACCTCTTTACCCAGCACCATCGACGCATGCACGCACCCTGGCTTCAAGCAGGTCGCCGTCGCACCCCGACCGATGCCGAGCATGCCGCGTTCGAGAATGGCCTGGACGAAGTCCGCCGACGGTGCTGGTACGGTCTCCGCACGCTGCCGCAGCAAAGCCACTGCGGCTTCTGCCTAGAGGTCTTTTCTGGGGAGGGAAGTTGGGATGTGCGAATGGAGCATGTCGGGCGCCATTTTGAGCGGGAGGACCGACCGACGCTCGGGCAGGAGGAGGAGGATTTGGCATTGCGGGAATGGGGGCTTCGAGAGGGGATTTTGAGGCTTGTGGACGGAGGACGTTGCCGATTAGCGTCACTCACTGGGGAATGAACCGCATGTCGGATGGGATATCGTAGACTACAAGACTAGATGGACAGCGAGTTTTGATTTTGGCATATTAGCGGTTACGGCGTTGGGTTATGTGATTGTGCTTTTGTGGATGGCGTTGGATGGGACTGGAGGTGACTCGAAACACGAGTCATTTCTTGCATTTTTGCTTGTTTCGAGTAGAGGTTCATCTCTTCTCATCATTCATGGACGGCATCGGTCAGAATAGAGACCCTCGCGGGTCGGTACATACAGAGTGTATATCACGACATTATGGAGCCTATCAAGAAAAAATCACCACTTATTTCCACCAAGCTACTTGGGATTTATTTGAAACTTTCGAAATCCCTTTCATTTGAATCTACCCTTTTCAAGTACACCGTACAAATTACGCCAGCAATTCATGGCTTGCATGACTCGCCAAACCCTAAAGAACAAAGAACACAAACCCCCTAATCCGCTCTCGAAACCCACTCTTGCACTTGATAGCACCATTACCCAAGTCAAAGACTGGTCTTCATAGAGTTGATCCATCTCATTCAACCCCAGCTATGCGGTAGTGCATCCAATCTTCTTTATCCCACGCGAACCGAAATTTAGGTCAACCCTCAGCTGAATACGAATCTAGCCACCACACTAATGACGTTTCCTGGTAGCCTTTAGAATCCTTGAGCGAGTTTGTCAATGAAAGGCATACAAATTACGCAATCCAAGATCGGACAGATCTTCGGAGATACAAGTGGACCTAAACTTCAATGCACAGCCAACGGCACTTGAACCCGCAAAAAATAGGATAAAATAAATTTACCGCCCCAACACACGGACTCCTCCGTAGTGCTTCTAGCCCAGCCACATCGAACCGTGACGACACATAACCGCCTAGCAAGCCTGAGCGGTGGAGACCCCGAGAGAGACAATTGTTTGCCGTTTACCCCCTCTGGCCTCTGCCAAGCCAACTTATTTCACAAGGCTGGCGAAGGAGCCGAAGCACCCCGTCCACACAGTACTAGAAGCTTCTCGATGGTCTGAAAGCTAGAATCGCCGATAGTTTAGTTTCTCGTTCTAACGTTAGCGTCCAACGCCAAAGAAAAAGCCAAGATGGGCTTTTGGCGTGGACCGGGGGATCGGGGCGCCTAACCATAATAGTATATCGCAGTGCAATACCCCGATAGGTTCTAGGGTAGCTGAAAGTTGGAGAACAGTACTCCGTATACTGTATACATGATAGAGGGTCGGTGTTGTTTTCGGTGAATGTATGTGTAGCGCTGATATGCCGAGTTATCATTACTATTGTTCATGTCACTCTAGATGAATAAGTGGAATTGGACGAAATGATCACTGTTTATTCTACTAAATGGATAGGTAATTATGAGGGCTGATAGCCAGGTTACGCCTTCTTCCCCCCCTTCTCCGCCGACTATTCGGTCGAAATCTCGGACGCTCGGACGCTCGGAGTATTGACTCGGAGAAGTACTTTCACAAAAACGATAGGACGGACTTAGGTAATGTGCGGTACGATCCTTTAGTAACTTCTTCACTGGGCTATTAGGCGAATATTCCGGACTTTCGGTGAATTCTAAACTTTGCCGTTAAGGTTGGTCGGTTGATTCGATCACCCGTCTTACAGAGAATACGTTATTCCATACATACATTTCTAAATGGAGAAAGACTCAACAAAACGTTCGCAATGAGGACTTTGCGGACTCTATCGTTAACACCGATCGTCAGTGTCCATATCTCCGGGATACCTCATATTCGCTTCAACCCCCTCCCTCTCGGACTTTCAAAGATTTAAACAGTAAGCAGTACGGAGTACACTCCCCCTCCGCTCCCGCTAGACCGTGAACCTACTCAGTCTCTCTCTAATTCCACTTAGCCTTCTATTTTATTCTACCCTTCCCACCGAACGTCTCATACCTAGACCTTTCAAAATAGACTCCTACTTTAGAGCTGATACCTTCGCTAAGCGTACCACGGAGCTACGCAAGTATTTCTCTTAACCGACCAGCAACTTTGAAAATTACCCCTAGGCTGTGGTTAATACCGACCAATTCCCTGAAACGTATAGGCATATAATTATTTTCGAAAATGCCAAGCTAGATGTAGCTAAAGTCCAGCTTACAACTTAATCACCGACGCTACGCACTATTCTCAAATCTAGCAATTTAGCACTTTTGTAGGTAAGTCCGCGATTGCCTAGTGTACCATTCTACGTGATGTTCAAAGCCAGTATGTCCCCGTGAATCTTTACGTATATATATTCAAGTGAGATTCATAGATAGTCTCGGTTTCGCGGGATGTGACCAAACTTAACAGTCCCTAAGACGTAGTGCATATCCTCGAAGGACCTATGTCCGAGTCCTTAAAGAAGCTGTATACAGATGGCAAAGTGAATAGTGCAGATACAGCATTCTTCGACCACTGGGGAAATTTCTGTTTACTGGATCTACGGCTCGTTACGGACTTAAGTTTATTTATACTAAGGTCTTTGGTAATTGAGGATAACGCTGACCTACCTAGGACGGCAGATTATTTGAAGTTGATATAGGCTAGAGGTAGAAGTATTAGCTCCGTTAAGTATGAGAGTCAGTTCTTTACTACAAATATGCATGACACGGTGAATCGAAGGCCAGAAACGGCTGCTTTTGGCGCCGTTTTAGAGGGTTAATACCTACTCTACGGAGAATCTCCCCTCTCAACTTAACCTATTCCATATCTCCTCAACGTAGCTCAGGTTCGTCTCGCAAGATCTCCGCCGCACCTTTGGGATTCACCTCAGTCAATACAATTTATTTTCACAGCCCATTAGTTGCATGGCCCCTGATTACGTTCCCCCGCTAGATAGATGTGGACTAGTCCATGGTAGTACCGTAACTATCGTGTCCTGTTATTCTGACCCCTTTATGTATTGCGAATCCCGAATCTTGTGGGATAGATATTAGTCAATACGCGACTATTACAATACAGAGCTCCCACCGTGTGACCGCCTGAAAGTAGGCAATGATAAGACTCTTTGAACCGCAACCTTTCCTCCTTCAACAAGCAGAGTTTCTTATATTCATTATGATGAGAAATACAGGCGAAGTGCGCCTTCAAGTCCCCGGATTCAACGATGTTCCTCTCTGTTTTGAATTCCCCAAGGAAGATCGATTTGCACACGGATTTGCAGATTGGTCGCAAGATCCACGATTGACGGCTCGCGAGGTCGCTATCATGCGTTTCATGGAAGCCGTGACTGATGAATCAGGATGGGAGTGCCGCCGCGTCACCGACAAAATTGCATTGGAGAACTGGCGTACCAAAGCATCTTCCCAGTATGGGCTCAGCGCCCAGGCATGGGCCTGGTGTCAAGCCGAGCTACAAGACAAGGCGTCGAACTTCCAGCGTACCGGCTACGTAATGGTCTTTGATGCAGATTCCAGGGTCTGCAAATCCAATATCCTGATTGATGGCGACCTAATCAGGATATATTAGAAGCCTTTGAGCCCTTGGTGGCCTCTACGCCAACTCAAAGCAACCAGAAGCCCGTCCGACATCTGGTTGATCCATCCATGTACCCTCTCGTGTACGGATCGACTCATGTTCTTACGAATGGAGGGGCCGTTGGTCTGAAACCAGAGAGTTGGGGAGCATACAATTGTTGTCAAATCGCTCCAATCCCCGTCAAAATGAATAGAGAGCCGTATGAGATAAATCAGACCGAACTGGCCCGCAGGTGGGATGATCGGAGGTTTGTAAAGCCAGATTGCTGGTCAACTGGTTTCCAGTGGCTACCGTGCGAAATCTCGTTCGAAGGGGAAATGATGACACCTCGCATCAAATCTTACATTAACAACGTACACCCGTCGAATTCAGCGGTATACAAGGTTGTTGAGACCTTGATCGGCTCCGCCATCGCCCTTTGGAATGACATGCTCATCCAAGGAAGCCAAGGACGAGGGCCCATTCGGATTCGCACATATAACTACGTAGCAGAAAACAAAGAGAGGCCTCACTGGATTGATCGCATCAGAGACCGGAAACCGGGCGACCAAAGCCCAGGTGCAGTTAGCGACGAGGGGAATGTCGATTCTTTCAGGACCCAGATTATGACCTTCTTGCTAGTATGAATCCAGAGAATTGGGAATCTCCAGAGAAAGTAATCGATCTCGTACTGGAAAAGTGGAGCCGGCGATATGTTTTCCACTATCCCGAGCCCGGTATTTCATTCACTTACTCTGACTGGAAAGCCGGGCGCAATAATGGTCGAGCCATCCTACCGAAGTATGATAACTTGTCCTCGGATCATGCACGCCCTCAAGACCCAGACCATCAGTACTACTCTATCTCATTACAGGAGATATTTAACACCGAAGGTCTCCAGATCATCGTGCAGGTGACAAGTATTGACCTCACGCCTGATCGCCCAACTTACTCTGGCGACCGGGAATTCAATGTTGCTGGTATGCTCAATGAGCACATCGTCGCAAGTGCGGTCTATTACTACGATGTACAGAATATCGATGGTGCCAAGATCTCCTTTGAACTGGAGGCAGTCATTGATAATCTGTCCTTCAATGTCGATAATGAAAACTTCATCAACAATGTCTGGAATATCCCGCACTGCGACATCCCCGAGGAAGACGAGCCCTGGCATTTTCCACAGGCACTGCAGACCCTGGGTGCTATCAACATCTCATCTGGAAAATTTCTGGCATGGCCGAATACTCTGCGGTCTACAGCTGAATCATTCAATTTGGATAACCCTTCCTGTCCGGGATATTTGCGTTTTGTCACTCTATGGTTGGTGGATCCCCATTATCGCATTTGTTCCACACGGAACGTTCCACCACAACGAGGCGACTGGGCTGCACCCCCTTCCGAGGCCTCAAGTGAGAATGGAGAGGGACAATTTATGAGCACAGAACAAGCGGAAGAAGTGCATGCAAGGACGACGTCTGAGAGAACGTCAGCCATAGAGAAGCTTAACAAGTATGGGATTGGGGTGTATGACTATGTTCAATATTATCATGACCTTGTTTGGCCAAACTATAAGGCTTCTATTCTATACTTATCCTCGGGTTGCACTATAGGCGAGCAGCCTTCTCCGTGCTGCTTTTGACTACACTTTTGAGGATCGCTATATGTATAATAAGTTCCAGATTTTCGTATAGGATGGACAAAGTGGACATCAACCTGTGGTTCGTGATTAGTTGCACGGCCGAAGATGGTGTGATATGAGCATAAATCGACGATGACATCTTGCTGAAAGGAAGACTCAAAAATACGCATCGCGCCTCGATGTTGACGGACTATAGTGAGGTGCACAGCAAGCAGGCCGAACCCTCTGGCAATTCTAAAATCAATGCGCAGCATGGCGAAGCAAACGTGCGATATAAAATTTGGGTTGCTCGTTCGAATGAGGTATAGGAAATGATCGTATCTAACCATACCCAACAAACGCCTTCTAAATTCTGAGAACCGTGTGCGCTTTGAAAGCTGCGGTCATTTCACAGAGAAACCGTGGCCATAGTGGAATCTCATGGTCCTTGGTGGAAAGTTGGGTCCTCCCATTACAAAACACGCCTTCCCGCTACAACGCCTTAAAGACATTTTAAACTAGCGTCCTATCCTGTACACGGATTTCCAGAATGATAATGTTTGAAAGAGGCAGTATTATTCGTGGCCAACAATTCCCCGTATGTATTAGGTATCCGAAGGATCGGGCACAGTTGCGTGCCTTTCTTCCCACCCAAACTAGTTTCTGTTACGAATTTTAGTTGAAGGACAGTTTGATGATTCTCTACATTGCTAACGCAGCAAGTATTGCGTCAATCTTGGGTTGAGAGCCAATATTTGCAACTATTGGCGTTACCGTGGTGACACTCAGATCAAGCGTCGAGAGGCCAGTGTCTGATGTCAAGGTTAGATGACTCGATATTTCCTGGCGTCGACGAGGCGGGCGAGTATACTTTTGATCAAAATTACAATTTACTAGCCAAACATCGAGATTCTTTTTAGTCCATTTTCCACTGCTGTGCACTTGTTAATCGCTTTGGCGGTCTTGAGCTGGCAAAGATTGAAGCCGAAGATGCCCGTGATGAGTAATTGCAGTCTTGCTACAAGCGCTAACTGTCATCCTCCTAAATTGGATGAACCGGTTGCTGTCAAGCCACTGCTTTGGGATGCCGTGGTACACGAGGAGATTGTTAAATCCGTTCATTGTTGTTTGACCTCTTTCCAGGTGGAGAAGCCAAGAAAGGGAGCTCTATATGCTGGCTGCTATATATAAATGGTGACATACTCGCCTTTTATGTCAGAATTGACACTACATATTTTCATACCAGGAGGTGTAATGTGCGAAGCAGCTTCATTGTCAGACTTTCCGATATTCGTAAAGGATAAGAGAAGAATTCAATCGTCGCCACGTAGTCCTTAAAAAGCGATTCGTGTATTCCATCCCGCGGCCCAGAAACCCGCACGAGTCACTAGCGCCCCAATTAAACAAACTCCCCGCGACTCCGACATCTTGCTCCGACGACACCGCGCCATGCGCTTCTAAACCCGACAGTCGCACACCATTCCTCTCAATCCCACCTAGCCACCTCCGACTATCTGCAAGGCATGCTGCAGGCGCAGTAAACCCCCTTTCTTCCTCGCCCGGCCACGTTGTCCGGACCGCGGACACCCTTGATTCCGCCCATCATGTCTGTCCAAGCTACCATGCGACCTCGATCCCGTATGCGCATCTAACATGCCTTCCTCCACCAGGACAGTTTTCTCCTTGATCATCATCAACAAGGCCGGTGGTTTGATCTACCAGCGCGAATACCAGGCCGGTCTGCGCAGTCTCTCTACCAATGACTACCTCGTCCTCGCTGGTACCTTTCACGGGTATGGCATCCACCACCGCCGCCCCCCCTGGAATTGACCCCAGTTGTTGGTTGAATCTCAAGCGCTAATGCCGTACTATATATACAGTGTCCACGCCATCACTCGCTCTATAACCCCCAAGCTCCCTCTCGCCCAGACCTCCCCCGCCCTCACATCGCCTGGCGGCAATGCACCCGTGGGCTTCACCTATCCCAACCCGGGCGTCCCTGCATCGGGCCTGGAACATCTCGAGACTGAGAAGTTCCGTTTGACTTGCTTCCAGACCCTGACGGGAACCAAGTTCTTGCTCTTCACGGACCCAATGACTGGCAATGTGGACACCATCATGAACAAGATTTACGAGCTGTACGCTGACTACGTGATGAAGAACCCTTTCTACCAGCTGGAGATGCCCGTGCGCTGTGAGGCGTTTGATCGGCACTTGGGTGCTTGGTTGCGAGGGAGGACATGAGCTGTCCGGCGTGGGACTTCGTTACAGTACTGTCGTGATAAGCCTCAAGGGCGCTGGATTGGATTGTGTGATGACTTTACGAACTAGACACTTTTTCTTCTTTTTCTCTTCTTTCTCGTTTCTTTTTAACCCTACTCCATCCAAAGACTGGGAGATGGAGTCACCAGCTTGTGCATAATACCAATCGACATCAACTAGATCAACATTTCCATTCAACCCCCACTAGAAGGTGCCTGTCTACTTATAGGAAACATGGCAAGCAGAAGCAGAGGTCGGCTCGTGAGTATACAGAGAACTGGAACTGGATAAAGCACAATTAAAACGCCGGGTATGCATCATAGATCACTTCCAAGAGAAGACGGGAATCTACGCAGTATCCATCTTGTCCTCATCCTTCTTGTCCTTGTTACCGCTCGACTCGCCCTGGCCCTCTTCGGGAATATTATCCAGCTCCGTCTTGCCCTCAGCCGCCTCCCGATCACGCTTCTCCTTTTCTTGTCGGTTCTTCTCTTCCTCCAAGGATAGTCGCAGAGCAAACGCCAGCTCGGGGTCATTCTCAGCGGCATCCTCAAAGTTGAATCCACCCGCCTCGTCACCACCACCGCTCGCGGCCGCACCACCGGTGGTAGCATTCTCGCCAGCCAGGATGGGGGTTGCTTGGAGCTCCTCGCTCAGGAGATGAGGTCCTGGTGGGATGATGGCGAGGTAAGAGTTATCACCGCTCGTCACATTATCCACAAAGGCCTCCAGCTTCTTGGTTTGGTCGGACTCCAGGTCACCGAATGCCACCACATCGATCGAGACGTTGTTCTTCTTCATCTTCTTGGCCAGCTTGACCAGGGTCTTCTCATCCTCAGCGATCGGGGAGCACGAGAACACGATGATTCGTTGCCGTTGGGACTTTTCGGATCGGTGCTTGAGGGCCAACTAAATCATAGCTCAATTAGTGATGTGGACGAGCGAGCCTTGACGTTGTCGTAGAGCCTATTCACTTACACCGGCGACTTGAATACTAGAGCTCAGGTGCGACGTTCCATGAATCTTCGTGTTGTGTAGACCAGCCAGAATGCTACCGAAATCCGTGGTGAAGGTGGATAGCACTTCCGGACCCTTGCCGCCCATGCTCATCAGACCGACGGCCGACTGAGGGTGTGCGCGCATCTTGACGCTGTGGATGATGCTGACAGCATCAACTTGAGCTTGCCACCGGGTTGATCTGTGGGTTCCATAGATTAGACGATGTCAAAGATGGCAAAAGGACGGGGCATCTCACGTGTAGTCTCCATTGCGACTGCTTTCGCTGTTGTCGACACTGCATGAGGGGGTTAGCGAAGCGCTCTAAGCTCGGATGGAGAGCAGCGACTAACATGATCATCGTAGCTTCGAGCGACATGATGGCGGTATATGACGAGAGGAAGTGGGAAAGGGTATTGGGGGGATTGACAGAGATAGGCAATGGCCAGGGACGGCGGTGATGACGATGAGGTGAAGCTATGGATTTTGCCGGTTGCCTCCGCCCGGGATGTTGTTTGTTATTGCTCCGCGCCTCTCCACACTACTCGATGAATCTTTCTTGTTCTCGAATTCAATTGTCAACCCCAACCCCAATCCCCCACAATGGCTACCTTGAAACGCAAAGCTCCTGAATTAGTGGACGCGCCTGATGCTACGCCCACGGGAAGACCAGTCAAGAAGCTGCGTCTCACCCAGAACCAAAAGCAGGCACTAATTGATAACCTCCAGCTCGAAAGTACGTCCAAGGGAGGGGTTCTGAAATACAAGCTCGGACTAACCAAGCCGCAGTCACTGAGCGCGCGCGCAAGCTTCGTGCACAATATGCTCTCCAAGCAAATGACCTTCGCTCCCGCCTTGAACGACGCGTCAACCGTATCCCCGTCTCTCTCCGCAAGGCCAACATGGGCGAGCTTCTCGAGAAGTACAGTGCCCCGGCTCAGGCGACCTCGCCCATTCGTAGAATCTCCCCAGCAAAGGTCTCGCGTGCACCCATGTCTATTGACCAAGCACTTTCACCCTCTGGCACGCGCGACGGCCGGACCCGACGCAACAGGTAAGACCGTTGACACCTCCCCACAATCGAGTCCGACCACTGACACGTTCGCATAGTAACGAGGGCCACTACTCGGACAAGGAGAATGCACCGGCTGCTGGCACTCCCGAAGGGCTGAAGAACCCCAAACGCCGTGGCAAGGCCCCCGCTGCGGGCGGTGCATCACGCGTCGTATCGCAAGAAGTGCGAGGTCACGACCACCGAATCCTATCCCCCAAGTCTCTCAACTCTCGAACCTACCCACAATCCCCATTCCGTGCCTCTCCCGAAAAGGGACAGCCTTCATACCTGTCCCGACCTACCTCGCCACTCAAGCCCTCCAGCCCTCTGCGGGCTGCTGGAACCGCCACTCGTCCGCGCGGTGCTACCACGTCTAACGTTAGAGATAACCAAGTCTCTACACAAGCCAAGAAAGCAACGGCACGCTCGGCCACTGGGCCTAGATCCGTCAGATCTCCCCTCCCACGGCCGGCCACTCGTCAAGGCGAGCGTAAGAACAGCTTCTCATCCACCACATCGTCCGGCACAACTGTGACGAAACCCACTCGTACTGGTACCGGTGCCAGGAAGGCAACTGCTGGGACTGCCTCAACCACCAAGAAACCCGCCGTCCCTCGGGCCCACACTGCGTCTTTGGCTGTCAAGAAGACCGCTACTTCAGCTACCGCTTCCACCGTGCGGAAGACTACCGCCCCAGCATCCACGATGGAGCCTTCAACTCGCGGGACGAGAGCACTACGAAAGCGTGTATAGATGCATTTTCCCGGCTGGCGCATTGTATTTCCAAGGCCGAGCTGTTCTGATTCTACTTGAAGTTACTTTTAAGCGTGGAGTATTGCCAATCACGGGCATGAGATTGAATCCATGGTGATATAACTTTTTTTCACATGACCTTATAGGGTCGGCGTCATAATAGGTGTTTGCATTCATTTCCGGTTTTGTCTTGGATCATGGAAGTCGTCTGGGAATCCAACTTTATTTTTTCGAGACTCTAAGTCCGGAGCAAACAATTCATAGAGACTTTGTGCTGGAATTCTAGTCTTCGCGGCGTAAATAAACGCAGGCTAAAGCTCGAGGTCCTCGGGTGACTGATAAACAGTAGATTCGTCTCCATTACTATCTAAAGTTGGGCAGGGTAGGTATCGACATGTTGAATTGCCAAATATATATTTGCACTTTCGTCCACCACAGGTAGATCCCACTATGTTGCACCGCCACCCGAGGATTCTTGAATATCCAGTGTCTCGGAATATGTAGGTATGCCCGAGACAGGAGAGCAATATATATATAATACGAAAGGTCCGCCTACTAGAGAATAGTGATCGCATGAGGTTATAGGTCACGGGCCTAGAAAGCAGCAAATATGTGCCTAAATTGAGCAGAACTATTGATATCCCAAAATTTGGCGCCAAGATACCCGATTAAAAAAAAGCTAAAGCTATCATCCAAAGAACCCAGTGTAAAAAGGAACAGCTACATTGAGACTCAAGACTCAGCACAGGTATCATTGATTGCAATCAGGCCTGATCGCAAAGACGTCTGAAGAAAGGTTAAAAAAAAAGCATAGAGAATTCACAAGAGGACTCCATGGACCAATGCTAGATCAGCAGATCTGGGAGAAGAAAGGTAAAAAAGCAAAAAATGCAAAAAGGGATGAACCAAGGTAAAACCTGGAGCCTGGGTTCAAGAGAGAAGCGGAAGAGAAAATATGAAAGAGCATAGACTGTAGACAAGTACGCCCGTAGTGAGCGAAAGCAAGGAGAAACATACATGATTCCGACAGAGTGGGTAGGTCAGGTATGGATGGGTATGTATGAAAAGGAAAGAAAGATGATAAAAAGAAAACTGTTGGGGACGAAACGCACGGTAGCACCCATGAACTAAGGGGAAAAGGATGGGTAGGGTATGTAAGCAATAGGTACACCAAAGGTATCGGGACCAATGAGGGATGATGATTCACTTTTAGGTGAGAATTTTGAATGATGTAGAATGTGAAGATGAGATAACTCCGTCAACCAAACCTGTCAGTCGAGACGAGATGAATGGAAATGGGACAGGGCAGTGATGAAAAGTCGACTTGAAAATGAAAAACGCTCAACACGCCCCCAGAAAAGAAAAAGAGGGAAAGAAAAATACACCTTGGGCTGTCACAGATGGCGCCAGGTTGTGAAATGCGAATTAGAGTCATCAATTTATGGTGTATTGATGACAGCTGTGCAGGTGAGAAAGAGACAAAGACATTCTACCCAGTAACACCCATAGCGCCGGGACTGGGTCGTGGGCGGTAGGGGAGACCTTGCTGCCCGTCTGTACCAGCTTGACTGCCGTTACTATGACTGCGTTCACGGTGATAGGCAGCTTGAGGTGGCTGAGGTGGTCCAAAGTCAAGACCAGCTTGATGCTGGGCACTTGTTTGGTGGGAGTGCCCACTAGGCCCTGGAACGTGGCGAACTGAGCTCTGCATCTGCCAGGCAGTATCCTGAGAAGGGTCGGTCTCGATACAAGCCGAGGTCGGGGTGCTCGCATTTCGATGGTTGTTGATGGTAAAGGTCTCCCCACCATTGTCCGGTCTCGTTGAGAAGCTTCCTCGAGCGATGTCACCATATCGCTTCAAGATGTCCTTGGACGTCACTTCAGAGTTCTCCTTGAAAAGCGTAGGATCACTCAGAACGGCTTGCAAGTCCTCCGGAATCTAGCACAAAACAAAATTAATCATCATACCTTTTCCTGGAACCCGAGAAGAGGGTAGCCACTTACCTCACACATGGTGTCGTTATATGTGATCAGAGCGTTGACAGCTTCAATCGCTAGGAAACTCTCGTCCACGGTGCCGTTCTTCGTGTTCGGGTAGAGAATATTGGGCGTCATGACAGTAGCCAGGTTGTGAATATCCATCTTGCTGCCCGACTCCTCATCAATGTGCGAGAAGGATGATGTCCAGTTGAGGAACGTGAAAAGGACCTCCATCGTATCGCGATGAGCCTTGGGTAGGAGACAGCAGGCTAAATGCAGCACTCGCTTCTGTTTCTCGGAGTCCGATAGTTCTGTCCAATGTTGTCAGCTTTGCCACTCCCACGCCCAATGCGCCAGTATTAACTTACTCTGAGACGCAACGAAAAGACGGTGCAATTTGAAAGTCATCAATGGATCAGGCATTTCGCGAAGGAACTTCTTCAGAAGCGCTGCAATCTGCACTGGACCCTCCTTGGTCATATCAACCTGGTCATACTTAGTATCAATCAACTCGGCGAGTTCCTTGAGACGGCGAATGTTGCCATTCTTTCGGAAGACACCCTCAACCGACATGTCCATCTGGCGCATAGCGGAAACGGCATCATCTACGAGTGCTGGGATTCGTAAGGCACCAGGGCCGACGCCGTGCCCAGACTCGGTACCCTCCTTGTCGACCAAGTAGTCGAGTGAAACACCAAAGACTCCCTTCTTCTTGCCCTTCTTCTTCTCATCCTTGAAGGCGCGGCCGAAGATGTTCCAGATGGTAGGCTTGCGAGATTCGATCAGAGAGAGCAGCTCTTCCATACTGAACTGCCCATCCAGCAACGGCTCCATCGACAAGACAGCAACATGGCGGACAATGAAATATTCTAATGCCGTGAGCTCCGAGAAGTAGCGTTTGCTACGGGTCGAAGAATCCACAAGCATATCCAGCTGGTTCCTCGACATCTCACGTGCGTGTCCTGGCTTGTAGGTGGGCATTCCTTCCATGGTTCCCACAAGCTTAGAACCGGCGTGTCGATAGGCGTTGGGCCGCTGCTCCTTGGCCTGTTCGGCTGCAACGATACGAGGGATATCATCCAATGTGAGGGCATCTTGAGCACCGAATGTCAGATCCTTCACAGTTTCGCCGTTGGCATCTCGTTCCTCGACAATCTGGAAGCCGGGTCCACGAGGGTCACTGCCATCGTTACCCGAAGACCCAGGTCGGACACTCCGGCCCTCTGGGCCATCGATAATTCGAGATGCGCGAGCTTTCTTGTATGTCGTAGAAAGAGTGCGCTCGTTGCGAAGAGAACGCAAGCGACGCATCTCACCGACAGTCTGCTCCAGAGACGACTCTTCGAAGCCACCGCGATTACCGCCATGAGACTGAGAAAGAGTATTGGATCGGCGAACATCACCGGGTTGCACGCGGTACACATCTTTGTCCCCCTTGCCTTGAGCGTTCGGATCTTCTGGATAAAGAGACGAAAGTTAGAACTTTGCGATGCTAGATTGTCACAGGAGAAAAAACAAGGACTTACCAGGTGTAGAAGGTAGGGTACCTCCAGCACGAAGAACTGCTAGAAGGCGTGCAAGAGCAACTCGTAACAGGAAGACGAATTGCTGCAATTTGGTGACCTGGATGAAACCGGCCCGTGCATTCGAACCGAGATTAAGATGATCAGCGCATGGTGAGCAATACGTGCGCTTTTCGCCTTCGTGCCACAACGCATCCGCAAGATCAAATGTCAACTCCTTCTCACATGAGGAGCATGCCAGATGAGGGGGTTTCAGATGCCAGCGATTTTCTCCGTGGCGTACACACTCGTCGTCAATGGGCTCTTTGCATGAGAAACAGCAATCTGAAAGCTGATCAGCCAGACCCTCGACACCGGCATTTAGATCAATAGGCGCATTCTCATCTTCCGGAGGAGCGAGGGATTCTTGGTCGGCCAGGTGCGCGAGGAAATTGTGCAAACCATCCGGTGCCGACTTCTCCCGCTCAAGCTTCAGCGCACCCTGGAGACCGATACGGATGAGAAGCTTAAGATAATGAGCGAGGCCAGTCACTAGCGAGAGCAGCTCCTGGGTAACCCCGAGCTTGCGAACACCGGTCTCTTGCGTCTTGGATAGGAGGGCGAAGAATGCGACAATCTTTTTGCAGAGAAGTTTAGCCTCTCGACCGTATGATAGATCTAGGAGATGTAGGTTAGCCAGAGACCAAGACCGAGAAAAACATTAGCATCAATGAGCGAGACCTACCCTTAACGCCATGAGATCTGATGTACAATGCCAGTTCGTCGACGGCGGCGAAAAGGATTTCAACATGGGCAATGAATCGCTTAGCCACGATGACACCGTCGATGTATGCTCCATTGCTAACGTGTAGCAGCATGTCAGAGATGCACGCGGCGGATGATTCCTCAAACGTGGAGAGAGTGCTCCAAATGTTGTAAACCTTCTCCTCCATCGAATCTTCCTCCCGGCGGATGTTTTCACGCTCCTCAGGTGTGGCATCGGCGTCGACAGGCGGCGGTTCCCAAGTTTGGCCAGCGGGTGATAGTCGGACATTCCAGAATTTGTGGATCATGTAACACTCGGGGTGCCAATGTTGGTTTTGGCCATTACGGAAGATCTCCACAAACTGCTTAAGAATTGCGGTATGACATCCATGGCAGCGCTGAGCGAATTGAGTCGAGTAATGGAAATGACAGTAGACCTTGCCATCATGTTCATAATAAGAGTCCTGGGCACCGAATACCGTTGGACACACAGAGCAGGTGAAATGCTCAATGTGGTATTTGCGATCTAATGCTGTAATGTAGGAGCCACGGAGAGCACCACCACAGTCGTGGCATAGAAGGTTCAACCGCCGGAAGTAGTCCGTCTCGCAAAGGGGAAATTGGTATGACCCATCGTCCGAGTCGACGGGGAAAAATTTGGAGGCGACTATTTCACCACAATCCTATAAAAGAGTCGTTGTCAGTCTCGAAGAGTCTCTCTGGAAGGGTGGAGAGGGGGAGGAGAGAGACAGGGGGTGGGCTTTGTCTGTGCAAGATCACCACGTACCTCACACTTGAAACATTCCAGATGGAAAGTACCACCCAATGCGCGTACAAATTGCCCAGTTAAGGGCTCATTACACTTTTGACAGAGACGGGACGAGCCTGGAGACTTATTGTGGGGCCGCCCATTTGGGCGCGATCTATCCCTCACATTGGATCTGTCCCGGAAACCTGGTTGATCAGGTTCAAGGCCCCGCGGGGAACGGTCTTCTGGGCTCAAAGGACTGTGATTTCCAGCTGTGCGGGTAGAGGGTGAGTCAAAAGGGATGAGACTATCCTCCGGGGAAGTAGGTGTGTTTTTCTGATAGCTACTTCCGTAGCCCGAGGTGTTGACTGTCGGAGTAGGCTTGCCTGCGACCAGGCTAGCCGGGAGTCCACCCGGGGGCATGATGGTCCCTCTTCACAAATGAAGGATAAATGAGGTGTAGGTGTGGTGACAGCGCGGATAAAGCATGCACGTTAAGTGAGGTGGTGACGGGTGACAAGTAGGGACGGGGAGGTTCGGTGATGTTGATTTGTCTGAGTAAACACCAGGGAATCGCGGGAAGGGTATTTTGAAAGGATCTAGCTCGTGCTATTGAATAGAAGAGGGAATTGGTTAGAGCAGGCCACCTGTGGCCTCTTTGATTTCTGTGTGAAGATTGGATAGGTAGACCTTGAATCCAGGGTCCGGGAACTGTTCACTCACCCTCACGCCATATAGGGACGACACGCGGGGAGGGGTAGGAATTGGACAAAGGAGTGACAGCGCGCGCGATCGACCGGAGAAATCGCGGGGAGGGATAGAGATACGATTGAAGCCGGGGAAGTAGGATCCTAGGCGGGCACAGGACCGAACCACGACGCGGGGGTGGTGGTGGAGGAGTAAGAGGAGGCTGGGAGCTTGCGAGAGGAGCCGGCGCAGGCGACCGAAGTCACAACCATGGGAGGGAGAGGAATCACGGGAAATAGAGGTGGCAAAGGGTGAGAAGGCCCGGACGCGAAGAGGAAGTTGAGATCGAGTCGAGCCGAGTTGAGGGGAGGCGCTGGTGGTGAAAGAGGTGGGCTTTGGGGGTGAAGGAGGAGAAGGTTTGGGTTGGGCATTTGTTGCCCCCTCTCTCCGTCTCCCCTAATTAGCGGGCAATACACTTGGACGGGCCCACGCTTTTTTTGGTGCACTCCCCCGAATCAGGGCCCAGGTCACGTGGATCTACACCGCCCTGTCTTTCGTGTCATCCTCCATTTTAGGATCTCGAGATTATATGTCCTTTGAAAGGCTTTAATTATGATTTATTCTCTCAATTACCAAAACGGATGTTTCTCTTGTCTCAAGATGCCGTTTCTGTCTTGTAGCCCTTCGTATCTATGTATAGTAAAGGGGCGTCTTTCCTGGCGACTCTCGGTCGTATGTACCTGGACCCGCTTGAACCATCCCGGCACCGTCCATGGCTCTCTCGTTTAGCCTTTTTATAGCAGCAAGTCTCACAGCGGCCCCGGGCTGTCAGCCTCTGCATAAAAAACGGCGTACAGGTTCCAGATCAGATCGAAAGCTTGTAGATATGTTCGAGATCATACAATCCCCTCGCTATCGACTTAATCAGGTTGTTAATCTATATTCCTTATTCGTCGGGGTCCACTATTCCAGCCACGATCCACTGTCGCCCAGAAAATCCTAGGGTCATAGCACAACTGTAAATGGCTAGGGTTTGACTGGGAAGCTATACGGAATCGACAAATTTTTACTTTCTAGCATTCTAGTACCACAATCCCGTTTCGGTATTTTACTTGCTAAAGAAAAACGCTGAACAGATACTTCTAGTAATTGAGTCATAAGACGTGATCAATTCTTGAGTGATATTGCAAGGGCCATGGTTGATGTCTCCCCAAAGCCCCCAGTCCGCGTCCAAACCCAGTGACGGGGCGGTCAACTAGGCGGTAGACCAAAAATCGTCAAATTCCCAGCATGAGTATCAGCAACAACGCTTATACTGTCCCTCTGGATGCTTCTCACAGTACTGTTGATGGAGGATATGCCATGGGCTTTCTCTAAAGACTGACTCATACAACAAGCATCTTTGAAGTTAATTTCAATGTGATGAAACCCATAGATCTATTTTCCATCCATACATGCAGTAACCGTCACCAGGCACAGTCCGAAGCTCTAAAAGGGCCGAAATGGAAACCCCCAACCTCATCATTCATATCCCGGGTAGCTGCCTCTTTGGACAGTCTTCTCTTTAGCTTTTTCCTCCTCCGCCTACCGCCCTCGTTGATTGTACCTTCTTCATCTCCGTTCTCCAGCACTTGTTCCGACCCTCCAACGTCCTCTCCGGGTACGCAGGTTGGCAAAATGGCGGACCAGTGTGCCCTCCGTGTGATGCGCGTAAGTAGAGCCGAAGCTCGAGAGCTTGAGACAAGATGGCCAACTCATGCGCTCGAACATAGGAGCTGAGACAATTCGCCCAAAGCGATGACCTCGGTATGTTGTGATCGTCAGCTCCATTTATAGACAACGAATTGACCGAAACTCAAGCCATCGACATCTCGTACAAGGAAGACAACACTCGTGAACTCAAGGCGCTCATCATTGGGCCGCCAGATACCCCATATGCCCAGGGGTTCTACCAGGTGAATCTGGAGACGAATAAGGTGAATCTCAAAGATCATGACTGACTGGGGCGCTTCACTTCTAGTTCTTGATCAGAATCCCTCCTGGTGAGTACCAATCGGTTGGGCTTGAGTTTCCACACTCCAAGATGAGATACCATTGACATCGCCACAGAATACCCCGAGAAACCGCCCATTGTTACCCTGCAGACCACTAACAACGGGCGAACACGGTTCGGCCCAAATCTCTATGCAAGTGGAAAGGTCTGCCTGTAAGTCTTCCCTACCCCGGGCATGATGACCAGAAGCCTAACATAGGTCATTTTGGGCAGATCGATTCTGGGGTAAGAAGTTAATCACCACACCGGCTTGAATGGTTGCTAGTCATTGCGGTGATTGATCACATATATAGCACTTGGCCAGGTGAATCCAATGAGCAGTGGTCCCCGGTGCTGGGACTAGAAACGGTGCTACGATCCATCCAGAGTCTGTTGGCGGCCAAGCCCTACAATCTGGAGCCCGGCTTTGAGAACAAGGACGACAAGGACAATAGTGAATTATACAATGCCAAGGTAGGATTACATGTGCCCGTGAATTGACAACGTTCGATATCGCCCGGGGAATTGAAAAGGTCTAATGAATAGAGGCGAGTCCAATTGCTAACTTGAGCTCTCAGATTCACCACGAGAACATCCGTCTAACGGTCCTCGTCCCTCTGGAAAAGGCCTTTGAAATCAAAATCCCACAACTGAACATGAGGCTAGGCCAAGGAAGTCATCGAGGGGCGAATCCTTACCAACTCGATTCCGGCGTACCGGAAGCGCCGTTCCACCCATTCCTCGATACCTACAAGAGACGGTTCCTGTGGTATCTTGAATCTTACAAGATGGCCATTCAGCGGGGCCTTGATAATAAGAAAGCCCGAGCACGCCGCTCCTTCCCTTTGATGCCATTTGAATGCGCAGACAATATCATGGGAGGTTACTGGGACTACGAAGATATGAAGAAGCGCCTGGGATCGCTCGAAATGCGCATCATGAAGGAGACTAATGAATGGCCAGACCAAGGAAAGGACAAGGACCAAAAGGGCCACCCGCTCGCAGCAAGCCTTCGCGCACAGTGTCAGCAGATCACGCGTCAGCTTACCCAGCGCACGGAGGGGATGGTGCTCCTCGAGCTCGTGAATGACAACCCGTTCCTGTGGCGCCTGATCTATCATGGGAGGCCGATGACCCAGTATGACGGAGGTGTTTTGAAGATCAAAATCTTCATCAGTCCAAATCACCCCGCAGAACAGCCGCGGGTCATCCTCGAGACTCCGCTGTATCACGTTCGTGTCTCGCCACAGAATGTGCTAATCTACCTCCCTCTCCGGGCAGATGAGATGAGCCGCCATGTTGACGGCATAATCAGTTCTCTGGAGGAGGATAGGCCACCTGTGAATCCACTCATGACGGTCAACCCCGAAGCAAGTGCACTTTGCTGGGGGTCCAAGGAGGAGCAGCGACAGTATAGTCGCAAGCTGCGCCGCTCAGTTGCGGCTACTCTGGAGTAATTTTTTCCTGACACGCACACAAACACTCATTGGAAGCAGTCTTGGAACTACTGGACAGTCGTGCTGATGGAGCCGTCCGTTTCACAGGATCCTGTGACTTCAGGATGAAAAGTTGAAGAGAAGATGGCTAGTTCAGGCTCACAAGTCATCAAGTTATCAGAGACACAATTCCTGAATATCATGAGGAGATCTTGTGTAGGTTTATCCATCTAGCATTCTAGCCAGCATTTGCTTAAATAATTTCTCGCTGTCCAGCTCACGTGTGAACCGAGTAACTCGAGGGCGGCAACCGGATAAATTAGAACTCATCCGATAATGGGGGGAATCTTATCGCACGTGCCATTAATCTAGCCGCTCGAAGCTCCCCCAAAGTCCCCTTTTCAACCCCATCCCGCATCTGATCTCTAGTCAATTGGTCCACCAACTCACAACTAACTCTACAATGTCTTCGAAACGGCGCAATCTGGAACTGGGTAACGTGCTGGTAGTCGGTGGTTGCGGCTTTTTGGGGTGGCACATTGTCAATCACCTGCTGAACTTCCCCTCGGAGACGGATCCCAGCAGCGCGCTGCCAAAGCCTCAGGACGATGCGCGCTTCGAGTACCCGACCCTGGGCTCGCGCTACCCCGAATACAAGGCTACGGTATCGGTGGTTGACCTGCGCACGACGCACAATCGTCTCCCCGGTGCGACTTATTATGATGGCGACATTACCTCCGTCGAGTCGATGATGAAGGTGTTCAGCGCTGTCAAGCCGGACCTGGTTATCCACACTGCGACCCCCTCTGTCCTTGACGGTAACAAGAAGCTCCTGCACAAGGTTAATGTGGAGGGAACCCGCACGCTACTGCAGGTTGCTGGCGGTGAGCACGGCGATTGGGGTGGCAAGTGCAAAGCGTTCGTCTACACCAGCTCCAGCTCGGTGGTGCACGACACGGAGAGCGACTTGAAGAATGTCAACGAAGAGTGGCCCCTTATCCGTGGTCGCCTGCAGAAGGAGTACTACTCCGAGACCAAGGTGAGCATGAAGGCCCTTCGCTGTCCCACTAAACCATCCCCAAGTCAAACTAATTGCTAACACATGTGTTCCTCACAGGCTGACGCCGAAGAAATCGTCCTCAAATACAACCGCCAGTCTCCCACAAACATGGTGACTTGCGCCATCCGGCCCGCCGGTATCTACGGTGAAAAGGACACGACAATCACATACAAGATCCTCGAGCACGGCTCTCAAGCGTCTCAGACCGTCCTAAAGATGCAGCTCGGCGATAACGACAACCTCTTCGACTTCACCTACGTCGGCAACATCGCTTACGCACACATGCTTGCCGGTCACCGACTGCTGGCAACCTACGACCGGTACGAGTCCGGCCAGGGCGGTCCCTTGGAGCACGAGCGCGTGGATGGCGAGGCCTTCAACATCACCAACGACTCGCCCGTTTACTTCTGGGACGTGACGCGCGCCATGTGGGCGCTGATCGACCGCATTGTCGAGCCTGGTCAGGTCTGGGCACTGCCTGAGGGCCTGTTGGAGGTGATCGGTGGATTGGCGGAGGGCGTGCTGGGTCTGTTCGGCAAGACACCGCGTCTGACCCGTCGTGTTGTGCGGTACTCTTGCATGACCCGGTACTTCTCAATTGAGAAGGCGAAGTACCGTCTCGCATATCTGCCTATCGTCCCCGTGGACGAGGGTATTGCCCGCGCTGTCGGTTACGTGGTTGAGTCACAGCGCCAGACGGCGGGTAAGAAGGCGCTGTAAGTTAGCGGGGGAGTGATGAGGAAAAGTATTGTCTATACTGTAATAATATCCGAGGTATCAAGATTCTTGGGCAAATATCATGGATACGTCATATATCGAATTCATAGCCTCTTTACTGTTCATATCATTTTATTCAACCGTATCCCGTCTCGAGCTGTCTGAGCAAGAGTGGGTCACAGTTAAAGCCCGGTATGGATGCAAGATAGTATGCGAATCTACGCATATGATGAAATGTAGTTTATCGGTCAAGCACGCTCGGTCGATCATAAAGAGTCGCGCAGATTATGCCATTCGAGACTATCCCAATAGCAAAAACCAAAGCTATCATAAAGCCCCCATTCAACAGGAGCGAGGTATCATAAAAATTCACCCAAAACACTAAAATACAGTGCAAAGGCGCCTCAACGAGTATCCTTATCCGACGAATCCGACCCCTTCACACTCCCATTTCCCTTGTGATAAACATCTAACGCAGCAACAACGTCCGGAATTCCCTCTCCCTCGTGCCGAGCAACCTCGACATCAAACGCAGCCTTACTATTGAAAATGGTCTCCATCTCCTCCAGACTTTTGCCCTTGGTTTCTTTCACGAAGAACCAGACAATGATGGCCATGATCACGTCTAGCGCTGCATAGAAGAGGAAGGTGTAGCTCCCCCATGATTCTTGCATGTAGGGGGTTACGAGGGAGAAGAGGAAGTTGAAGAGCCATTGCGTGGCGACGGCGACGGAGGAGCCGACTTCTCGGATGCGGGAGGGGAAGATCTGCAAGCATGGTGTTAGTTGTATGAGTATTGGATAAATGTGGTAGGATGTGATTTCTAGAAAAACATACCTCTGTGGTATAAGGCCACGGCAGCGGTCCCCAGCTAAACTGGTAGATGGAATTGGTAAGGAAGATCATCGCTACCGTCGCAATACCCGCAGAGGTCACCTCCTGCTGGGGCTTTGGCGTAGTATTATTGACAACGGTCACGATGACGAAGCACACCGACATAAGCAGGGCTGAGATCCAGAGTGTGGGTTTACGTCCCCACCGCTCCGAGAAGAAGAGGATGTAAATGCCGACAGTGACAAATTTCTCGGCACCGAAGAGACCGGTGATCAGCAGGGATCGGCTGCTGTTGTTGCCGACTAGGAGCTTGAAGAATTGCGGGCCGAAGTAGGCGAGAGCGGTCATGCCTGTGCACTGCTGGCCACAGAAGATGAAGACGGCGAGAGCCAGACGATAGCGATTCGCCGGCTCGAGGAGCTCGCGCTTCTTAAGGCCATCGGTGGCACGGAGCTCCTCGATGAGACCGGTGCGGATTTCGTTGAACTCGGCTCTGACCTCGGGGCCTGCAGTGAATCAGATACTCAGCAAGACGGTCCCAATTCAATTGAAAGAGAATATATACGCTTACCCTCACTAGCACGCATCCAAGTCAGACTTTGCCAAGCCTCTTCATAGCGCTCCTTCTTGGCCAACCAACGTACACTTTCCGGCTGGGTGAACAGACCAAGAGCCAGGACAGCCGCCGGGACTAGTTGTAACCCCACTGGAATCTGCCATTGCTTTGACGAAACGGGCAGAGTCTGCTCAACCGCATAATCGATCCAGTAACTAATCATCACGCCAAGCGCAAAGAGCCACTGGACGCCCGATCCCAGCATACCGCGGATCTCCTTCGGTGCCATCTCCGCGTTATACGACGGCACCACGGCTGTACCTCCACCGAGACCTAGACCCGCGATAAAGCGGCCGATGTAGAAACACACCAGGGAATGCGACGGGACTACCTGCAAGATGACACCGACGCAAAAAATGGACATGGCGACCTGGACGGTCCTTTTGCGGCCGTAGCGTTCGGAGACGGGGAAGATGAAGAGCGCAGCAAGAAAGGCGCCGACGTTTTGCAAGCTGACCATGACCGCACTCACGGTGGTCTTGTCGGTATATCTGAAGTCATCCTTGTAGGACTGGAATGTAAGGATTCCACCTGCAGATGAGTTTAGTCACTGGACTCAAATGGCTCATACTCGACGGTGCCCGAGCTAGTCGAGCTGTACCCAACGATGAGGATGAGCAACTCACCAACGATACCCGTGTCATAACCAAACAAGAAACCGGCCGTACAGACAAAGAAACCAAAAAAGTATGCACGAAAAGCACCGAGTCGGGTCCCGTTGAGGCGTGCCATGATGAGGGAAAAAGATTCCGTCGCGCGGCCACCAGATGGAGAGAAGGTTGAAACAAGAATCACCGAGATTTTGGATGCGACATCCGGACAAAAAGATCAACTTATGAATCGACATGCAACATGATATCGAACTCCCAGCTAAACTCTACTCGTGAACCTGAACCAACTCGGGTCGGCTGTTTCTGGGCAGATGCCAGCACGCAAGCGGCGGATACTGATTTCGCCATAGCACGCAATGGGGAACTAGGCTGGAGTGGCATCCAGTCAAACTTCATGATTACGGTCAGGGTCGATTGGCACGAGTCCTGTCAAACTATTCTTATTTGCGCCTCTCGAACTCCGCTACTTTGATTCAATCTACACTTCTTCTCCATGATCATGCCTCTATTTGGGCTACAATAACGTCAACTTCGAGATCCACCGGTCGCAAATGTGGAGCCGCAGCTTCTCCGCATTTGCCAAAGCTCCACCCGGTCTCGACGGGATATCAGTCTCCGCAATTCCAAAAAAAAGCATACGTCTCCCAGACCCTTGAGGGGCTAACTAGTGTACGGTCTAAGCTATAAACAATCCGATCGGCTATCGGGTCTCGGCCAGTCGGCTCGATCGCCCCGGTGCATCCTGCTACTCCTCCATCACGTCAGCCTTGTCAACTCCGACCGGTACTCCTTGAGGGATAGGCGATATTCTCCACAAAATGGCCGCTATACCTGGCACCCGCTGATGTCTAGGCGATGCTCTTAACTACATCTGATATTGCGCAATAGCCGTTACCCGACCTTGATGCCATACTCCCGGTGCGCCACAGGGTACCGTAGCATCTAGGACCCGGTACTCCCGTCGGCACTGGTAAGCCACATGGCGGCAATGTGGCTTGCTTTAGAGTTTCCAAAGACGACGCGGTGGTTCAGATCTGGATGCCTTTGCCCGATCCAGTCATGGTTCCTTGAACTGAATGGTTAGCGAAGTATGAGATGACAAGGCCACCCTCAATGCCCGAGCTCTTTTAGGGCCGCTAGTAGATGTTTATCTGGCGATTTCATCTCGAGTCCAAATGTACGGCACTATATTGTTGAAAACATGGCTGGCCCATGAATTATCGCCCGACATGCTGATCATGGGACATTCATATGGTGTATCTGATATGTTCGTTGACACTGCGTCCGATTGCTCTTCGATCGCCAGTTCCAGGCCATTCCCAAGCCTGAGATGGCGTCCCCAGTACCGAAATATAGCTGCACCCGACCTTGATAGCCCCTCCTTTACGTACAATGTACATAGGAAGGGACGTCCATAATTTGCACAGTGAAGCCATGAAAGCAGCACTTATACGAAGCCATGCAGTGGAACCTGGTTCTATACAGCTGTCGCTACATCAAAATAAATCAAAATTCTCGAGATACTGAGCTTCCCCGAAGATGAAGCTCGACAAGAAGCAGCCACATATCTCGGGACTGCAGCTCGCGTTCTACCGTGCGCAATGTTAAGCAGTGAGCCGGAATATGCAAATATCGTATAGAGTAGTGTCTGGTTTAGCACGGTAGCCAAGATACCAATCTAGCAAATGGAGCAATATGGGAAAGGGTATTCAAGCCGATCACCGTGCCGTTGATGGAGAACTCGGAGAGTTTCGAGGACTGGTGGCAGAGGTATTCGGGGAGTTTCAAGGACGGTCGCTTACCAACAGGCCCGACAGGGTACAATTCAAAGAAGTCCTACACAGTCACACTGGGAAGTGCGATAATTCACATGTCGATGATTCAGGGGCTTTCGGGATGTTGCTTGCAGTCTTTTTGGGCATTGTCCTGCGGACGGAAACTCGTTTCAGGGCATTCGAAGCAGACAGCATACTGATTCTCGGCAGGTCGCGTTGGGCCAGATGTGGGATGTCGCAATTTAGTATCTAAGTCAAGACGGCGCGTCTTGGAATAGATCCGTGTGAAGATATTATGTGCGTAAATGATGCATAAGATATTTGCATTCAGATAGAGTCAAGTGAGGTCTATCTGGGTGGTCAGCTATGTACAAGCACGAGTGGCACATACAATAAACGCTTGAATTACCCCTAGAATATACACCGCTACTCGTTCCGCAATCGTGTCGCATGGGTCCATTATATATTGGCGCTAGGAGATTGTCGCTTGGGGTGTTTTCTCGGGGCTGGTTGGCGAAGGTACCGGTTACCAGAGGGTGGTATATTGAGGCCGTGACGGTATGATATCGCATGGGTGGTGATGGGTGATGGGTCAAGTCGACAAACGGGTTGCATAAGTATTGGAAGTGGGCGGATACAGGGCTGATTTCCGGAGGTGAATCGGAAAAACCTATAAGATGGCGAGTGGGAAGTGTGTTGCACTGGGTTGTTGCGGGTGTGAGCTGGGTTACGCGACGGATTGGATATATGGTGGTTGTCGTGACGGGAGAGAGAGGCAGCTATTAGTGGCACGATTACGCGGCAGGGCCTTTGGTAGCCTTTTCGGACTCCACGATCTCGCTCTCGGAGATGTCATCCGAAATAGCCTCGGTGACGGGACCAGTGTAGACTGCGCGGCCACGAATATACCAGTAAACCATCGAGAACAGTAGCACTGCCACGATGTAGACGCAGGCATAATTCATCTGTAATCGAGTTAGTATACCACAAATAGATGGAGTGAAATTTGGTACATACGGTTTGAGCAGTGACCGGCATAGCAGTGGGGAGAACAAAAATGACGCTGACGAACAAGGTCCACAGGCAAGCCCAGATGTTGACGATGGTGCTAAAGGGACCCATGTGCCAGGGGCCCGGCTGGAATTTGCCAAAGAGGAGCTTGCACACAATGGGAATACAGTAGCTCCAGTCCAGGGCAATAGCACAGACTGTGAAGACACCAGCAATGGCGGTGTAAGAACCAAGACCAATCAAGTTGATAGCAATGCAGAAGAAGACGGACATCCACACCGCGTAGAGGGGAGTTCCAGTCCAAGGAGCAATCTTAATCCAAACGTTGGAGAAAGGCAACATGCGATCGCGAGAGAAGGCAAAGACCGTGCGGCCGAGGGCCTGCATGGCAGTGAAAGTCACGAACTTGATGATAATCAGACCCGCAATAGTGAAGAACATACCGCCACCCTTGCCCAGGCTGTTGTAGAAGATCTGAGCAACAGGTTGAGCCATAGGCGAGACGAGAATTTCATCAGGGTCGCCCATGCAAAAAGCAAGCACAATGTTGAACAGGAAACCGGCAACATAGGTGAACAGCATGGCGGTGGAGATAGCCCAGGGAGCCTTGAGTTCGGGATTGTTGATTTCCTCGGTAATGTGAGCAGTCGCATCGTAGTCGGTCATTGTCCAGCTGACAGACAAGAAACCGAATAGCCAACTGAAGCCAATGGGTGTCCAGCCACTCTCCGCCTTGACATCGGTGAAGACGAATTTGGCATTGTGCTTGTCCTTTGTCAAGACCAGCAGAGCGATCGAGCAAGCGACCAGCACACAGACGTGGAAAATGACATAGGACTTGGTCATCTTCTCCATCCAGTATGTGGAAAGAGAGTTGACTACACCGGTGATGACAGTTAGCGCCGCCATCACGCCGACAGTGGTGTTGGTCGTGATTTCGTAGTTGAAGTCGCGGCTCATGGAGACGGCCGCGAGGAGCATCTGGGCGGCGCCGTACTCGGACGACGCAACACCAGCCACCTGGCCGAGAAGGTTGAGCCAACCAGTAACCCTGTACCAAAATTAGTACCATGAAAGCCCAAGACCACTAATGAGAACGATCGTACCAGCTGATAGAGGGGACCCAGCTTTTGGGAGCGAGACGAGAGATAGTGAAGTATCTAGAAGTATGTCAGATCCTGTTTCCATATTTGACCATGACACGCAAGACTTACAGTCCTCCAGAGGTAGGATAAGCAGAGACCAATTCGGCAACGGAGCACTATAGCTCCTATTAGTTATGTTGTTCAAAATTCGACTGTTTTTTTAGGTATACCTACTGCAATGCACATGCAGCCAAATCCGGAGACGGCCCAACACCACACAACAGCACTACTGCCACCGGCGAGCAACGGGTATGAATAGGTGGTCATGACAGTCGCAAAGAGACCACTAATGCTGACCGCGAACGAGAAGGTTGACAAGTATCCAAATTCTCTCTTGAAGACCGGGTTATAGCCAAACCGGGTGGCCAGTTCGGAGTCGTCTTGGGTCAAGTCGGCGACCGCGACTTTCCTGTGCTGGCCATCCGGGCCGACAATTTCGATTTGGCGACCTTCATGACGGCGCTGGCGTATCTGACTGCTCTCGGCGACCTCTTTGGTACTCGAGTCCGCCATGGTTGTTCTTACGTTAGTCAAGGGACGAGGGAGATTGGGGTATAGATATAGAAGAACGAAAAAAAAAAGCCAAGATAAACTTGCAGCAGAAAAAGCAAAGAAGATAAATACTCACGGCAAACCGACGGGCACTTCGCGTTCATCTGTCAGCCCGCGTGCCATTTCCCATCCCTTACGCCTCATTCGTCGCTATCAAGGCTAGCAGAGGTTTAGTATCCAGTAGCATTCCTCATTGGTGCTGGTCGGAATTGTCGGCCCAATGAACGAACGATGTGACCCTGGTGACTGGTCAGCCACATGGTCAACCAGCAAGATAACTAACCTTCAATAAGCGTTACAGTGGACCCCCCGCTAAAAGCTTGAGAGATCCGGAGTCCGCTGATTGGCGACTGGTTATCGCTTGCTTGCACCTTCCCCATAGCGGCATGGCTTCATCTCGGTAGGTTTCATACACGAGCGCCTCGGGTTAGCGGCGTTCCCTACGAGCCCTCGTCTCTGCGCCGCGAAAGTCTATTCCTCGGGGCTGGCCGTCAAAGGAAGAATGTCCCCGTGAGAGGGATGGCGATAGTTGCGTGATGGCCGTTATCCCGAAAAACGCTTGGCAAACACGGTCAGCATCCACATGCAGTGCTCCCACACTTGGAAGGAAAGGAGGTCCCAAAAAGGCAACTGATGTCGAACTCTACCAGTGGTGATACATTCGAGGCTCAAGGATGCTTGTTCATTACGACGGACACATTGCTACCTAGACTGGAGCATAGCGCAGGCCATGCGCTCCCCTAACACACCCCGTTGAACGTTTTCACGATCATGATATCCACGTAGAGAATCAACTTGGGCCCTGTCAGACTTTCCCAACACGCATATCACAAAGGACAGCGCCTCTGAAATTACAGCAATCGCTTCAGGAGCACTCGCAAGGCCGGGTCTACCTTTGCAGCGTCGCGGGGGTAAACCTTGTCCGTAGACCTCGAGTAGTTGGCCAACTCCCCAATGCTACCGAACCGTTTGGGGGTTCTGTGGGTGTCCCAGCACTCAAGCAGGTCAATGATGTTGACATAAACCTTCGACAGGGCCTGTGCACGCAATGAAAGGTAAATAAGATTGTGATCATCAACCAATCAAGAGAGTGACCCACCTTTTTGCACTTGGTGATCGAGGGAAAGACGGCAATGCCAACCTTCGTGCACATTCTTTGCCAAGTCTCGATCTTGCTTACTTGGGCCCCAATACGACTCTGGTAGTCGGCCTTCATGCACAGGTTCCAGTTTTTTCTCCAAGTCTTCGACCGGTGCTTCCACTTCCGTTGCTGGGCCAGACGCTTGAACTCCTTGGTAATCGGCGCGTCGGGATGGTAGTCGAATTCAGGGAATCGAGCGAAGAAATCCAGTCGACTATCCATGTTTCCTGATGGCAGGCCGTGGGGAGATCTGTGGTGAAGGCTGAAAGGTCAGTCAGTAAGCGGTTGATGAGGCTTCAGTTGGGGACGAACCAGGAAATACATACTTCTGGTGTGGGAGGATAAAAGAATGGAAGATGGAGGATAGAGGGTGGAGGTAAAGGATTAGGCAGGGTATCCCAGCTGACGATGGGAAACGAAAATAGTCAGCTGTAAGAAGAAAGAAAGGTAAGAACAAAGATCGTGGGGGAGACAAAACGAGATCCTCTCGATGGACGGCGGGGATTCTGCTTGGGGTATTCCGCTTGGGATATTCCGCTTCATGTAAACAATTTGAGCCGGAACTTTCCATGTGCAGGCTTCCTGAGTAAGATGTTGTCTGCGCGCCTTGTTTATGGTTTTGACACTGAGTCACGGCAGGAACGACCGAGTCGAGACTGCCCTTGGATGAGTCGGTCAAAAGCGTTCCTTTCCACTGCTCCTCCTTGGTCTATGATCCGCCATTACTTTACTTCGAACCGTGTTGAGTCAAAATGTTGTTCTTCGCTAAGCTGCGGCTACTTGCATCCACCTTGTTTGCAGCCCTCGATGGGTTGACATCGTTGCCTCTCCGGGCTCAACTTCAAAATGCCTTCAATGGATGGTCATCACCTCCTTGGGATGCGACCTACGACTATGTGGTCATTGGGGGAGGCACAGCGGGCATCACAGTGGCATCACGCCTGGCCCAGAACGGATTTCACGTTGCGTTGGTGGAAGCTGGAGGCTACTACGAGTGGATTCATCCTATCTCCAAGATTCCGGGTGCTGCGACGATTGGAATTGGGGCCAGCATTTCAACGGCGTCTTCGGTGGACTGGAAGTTTGTCGCTGAGAATGTCCGTGGTGCAAACTATCGGGATATCCACTATCCTCGAGGAAAGTGTCTGGGAGGATCGTACGTGGATATCTTTCTTACCTTCATCTGCACAGCTTGCTGATCGAGTGCCTCTCAGAACGGCGTTGAACTTTATGATCTACCAGCGGTTAGTCTTCTATCCCATAGGGGTCTAGCAGGTGCTAATCATTCTCACAGTCCCTCCAAAGGCGCAATGGATCGATGGGCCGAACTCGTGGATGATCCCAGTTACACCTTTGAGAACACTTGGAAATATTTCAAACGGACTGTATTCTTCACTGGGCCAACATCTCGATCCGGATGCGTAAGAACACCATATAACGAGTCGTCATTTGAAGACTCCGGGGAGCCACTGCAGGTTTCTTATCCCCAGTACGCGATGCCTTTCTCCAGTTGGGTCCGACGGGCCTTGACCTCGATCGGAATACAAGAGGCCGAGGACTTCAACAGCGGTTCACTCATGGGACACCAGTTCTGCTCAATGACCGTTCGTCCAAAAGATCAGTCACGAAGTAGCTCAGAAACGGCGTTCCTTCAATCTCCGCGAAATATGGAGATGCTCTCAATCTACGAGAATACCCTGGCCAAAAAGATTCTTTTCGACTGGGGGGATCGAGCTCACGGAGTCAGAGTCCATGGGATGTGGGATTATACCTTGTGGGCCCGGCGCGAGGTCATTCTGTCTGCGGGTGCCTTCCACTCTCCGCAGCTACTCATGCTGTCCGGAATTGGTCCCGCAAAGATCCTCCATGAGCATGGAATCAAACCAATCGTGACTTTACCTGGAGTTGGCCAGAATATGTGGGATCACATCTTTTTCGGTCCTTCCTATCGGGTGACTGTTGACTCATTCTCTGGGATGGTTCAGAGTCCGACCCGGCTGGCTGCCCAGATAGCAGCGTATCTTTTCTCTCATGAGGGGATGTTGACCAACCCATCAACGGACTATCTGGCGTTTGAGAAGCTTCCAGATGTGTCGAGGTATAGCCTAACTAATCAGGAAGAAGAGATTCTCTCTTGGTTCCCAAAGGATTGGCCCGAGATTGAGGTGAGTTAATTGGGTCCAACCGATTTTCAATTGACACTAACAACGGCCTAGTATTTAGCAGCGTCTGCGTTTGTTGGAAATTTCTCAGATCCGTTCTTTCAGCAGCCTCGGGATGGTGAGTATGCCTCAATCGTTGCAAGCATTGTTGCACCTACGTCCCGCGGCAATGTGACCCTTCGTTCCGGAAATGCAGCCGATCTCCCAATCATCAATCCAAATTGGTTGGATACAGAGATAGACCAAAAACTTGCCGTGGCAGCATATAGACGGATGCGTGACATGTTTCGATCTCCAGCTATGAAGCCCATATTGGTTGGGCCGGAGTACTTCCCAGGGCCCGAAACGCAAAGTGATGAGGAGATCCTGGATGTCATCAAGAATACTCTCATGACTATATACCACGCATCTTGCACATGCAAGATGGGGACTCGAACTGATAGCATGGCTGTCGTCGATCATCGGGCGAGAGTCTTTGGTGTCACAGGGCTGCGGGTGGTTGATGCGAGCGCATTTCCCTTTCTTCCTCCTGGCCACCCTCAGTCAGTTGTTTGTGAGTATAGCTCCAGCTTTGAGTGCATGATCTATCAGTCTGACTTCTGCTAGATATGCTCGCAGAGAAAATAGCTGCCGATATTATCGAGCCATGGGCATGACGGAACCATAGATCAGGATTTTGTCATCCTGTCCAACTATGGAAGCTAGAAGGATTACGTACGAGTGCGAACCAAGTATTGAATCGTCGAGTGACTTTTCTTTCAAATTCTGTCCATCACCACGTCTCTTCTAAGTACATTTGGTTTAGAGTTTCGAACATGTTGTAATCACTCGGCAAACAGTTAGGTGAGAAAGCAACACCATGACCGCTGGCAAACAGCTCCACGGAGCTTGGAAAATTCTGAAGCACATCCATATTCACTTCATCAAACGCAGGCATGGCGGGTTGGCCCAAGGCACTTTCATAAGCCGGAACCAGATTTTCAGGATCAGCCGGAAGGCCTTTTGGATCAAAGAAGGCATCAAACGCCTGCATTGGAACGATCCCAAACTCCAATGCCTGATTAGAATCCATAGGCTGACACGCAACCGGACACGGAGGAGGTCTGTAATCATGCGGCGGAGACGGTATATGCGGTCCAAAGCGATCACAATAAACCTTCTCGAGATTCTTACCTATGCGCTTCGCGATATGCCAGGACGTAGAAAGTTCCCTCAGAACCTGGAAACACAGCCCAGCTGCTGCATGAGGGGAAAGCCGAGCACCTTCTTCGGAGAGGCTGAGTGGTTTACCGTAGTTCTCCAGCGAGCAACATCTTTCAATGATGATCAATGCCGCTGACAAAGTGCAGTACGTGGCCGTCATCGGGCTGAGCTTGAAGCTGCCGAATGTTTGTCTGTATTTCTGCGCGACGGAGATGATTAATCGTACTGAGGCGTTGCAGGCGGTTAGTGCCTTTTGGTAAGTGGGGTTTCCCGGTGATTTTTCGTGTTTTTCGGCTGACTTTTTGTGCTCTTCGTTCTTCGGTGATGTGTTACTGCTGAGAAAGGGGCCACAGAGTAGGAGAAATGCTGTGTGATAGGTCATGCAGAGGATATAAGTATGAGCGAATCGCGATGGACCCGATGGCCGTTCGATTTTCAGCTCGGAGGGAAGGTCGTAGTACCAAGTTTTGAGTTCGAGTGCGCAGGATTCGAAAAAGGCTGATCGGTGATGGGCGTGGATAAGGGGCTTGGGAGACCAGCTGGATTAAAGAGTCAGATAAAAAGTCACCCATGCAGTTCAGGAGTATGGGCTGACTTACAGAGATAGGAGGATTTTCTCCAGGATTCGGCATAGGTCGATCATGGCTCTATGTAATTGTACAACGCTTTTCTGGGATGCACTTCGTAAATTCCCATCAGCAGACGGGAGATGTACGTCAGAGACGCACTGTAGGAAAGGCTTTTTCACTGCGCCTTGAGACTCCTGTTGAAAGATGAGAAATAGGATAGGATAGAATTACCCAACTCCGCTGAATGTACTCACCAATAATGTGCAGACTCGGCCCGTATAGCTAGCTGACAGCTTGTCATGGCAGTATAGAGCCCAGTATATCTGCCTTCGCAACTCAATTTCGATAGCTGGGAGAGCAACAGCTCCCGCAAGAACTGCCGGGTCCATATTGAAGCCCATATCAAGAGCGAGGCGGTTGGCCATCCCTTGGTGAAGCCATCCCGCGGCGTCTGACCCCATTGCCTGAAAGCGTTGTCTTGGTTATTTTTAACCTCTTTGATAAGATAGAATATTTTTTTCGATCTTGCTTACTATATATACCGAGCCCATGACGGCCAGAGACTGAATGGTCGTAATATTTGGCCATCGCAGATCATTCTGAACCAGCTTTTCAGCCCTCTCAATGAATCTCTTGCCTGCGGTATTTGAGTCGGATGGATCAGATCGAACCTCGACCCGGTCGCAATATCTCGAGCCCAAAGCGAGAATACAGGTCAACAGCAAGGGGCTCGAATATCGTCCACCACATATCAAACTCTCGCGAAAGAGTTTCTCGTTCACCACTTGAAACCACGGCTGCTCCCATTCAAAGTAGAGATCGATGAGATGGGCTTGAAGTTCCTCAGAGACCAGGTTGTCGTCTAGGGTATCCTGTTCCAGAAGCCGGGGGTCATGTTCTTGTACTGGAATTGCAGGGGATTTTAAATCCGCAGTATAATAGCTAGTACAGTGCACATCAATATTGTGTGCTTCCTCGCTGGGTGAATCTGCATTTGATCAGCACACTATCGCCAGCTTAGATTGAGATTTCTTCACCATTTTCTAGTGAGCGAAACAGCAGACGCCCGCTTGATGGCCCAAAGTACCTGACTTCGCCATCTTGATCAAAGTTCAACGACTCGTCCAGTGTAAGTGCACCGTCAAAAGTCAAACAGACATCGTCGACATTTGCAGCCGCAGTCTCGGTAGAATCGGGTGGTTGTCCTGGAGAGTGACCGGTAGCCGATAACTGGGCAATAGAAGCATCCGCATCTATCCCATGAGCCTGGAGAACACGCTCAAGCAGCTGGATCCGGTTCCTCAGCATCACCACATAGGACTTTGGGGCTGGCTGCCTCCCGTCTTCCGCAGTGGAATACTGGCAACGCACCCCTCGGTCCAGACAACGGGTGCAAGTTGGGCGGACGCCATCGCACTAAGCACTCCATCAGATTTATTCCAAATGAGGAGGGATCCAGGTTACGGGCTGACATTACCTTCGCTCTGCGACGACGACATTCTTCACAAGCCCTGGAGGTATACTTCCTCCCCGTTCGCGTGCGCCTGGCGGTAGGATCCTCACCTGGCGCTTCGGAGGCCATCTTTTCATCGATAGTCAATCGATGAACCAAATTTCACAAGCCTTTATTTAGATGAAGGCGTCCATATAGGGCTAGAGCAAAGTGGCTGAACCGATGAAAGGTGATGTCAATTTGATATTACAAAGCAAGAATGCGCGTGTCGACACCTGATAAATGTGGCAGCCAGTCTCACTTGCACACTTGATTACCATCAGGAGCCTTGTGGCCTGAGGTAATCAAGACACTTTCTTCCCGGCATTGGCCCACGTAACTTGAGTTGACACATGTAGCGAAGTTGTGGATGAACTTGAGCAGAATCTCATGATCAAACGTACCTAATAAAGATGGTAATTTTCTACTAGCTCAATAATGGCGGGGCTCCCGTTCTCGGGGCTCCGGTTCCTAGAGAACCGGAGCCCCGCACCCCGTTCTTCCTTCAGAATATATCTTTGTGTACAAATGCTTCGAAGGCATGGATCCTCGTATTCATCTACAGATTGAATGGTGAATACCTCAAGTATGGCACGAGAGCTTTTAAGTAGGTTAAAGAGCTTTGAAGTATCCGCCCTTTATTCAAGAATACACAAGGTTCTTTGGACCTCATTGAACTAGCCCGGTACTACGGTACTTACCTACTCTACATTTACTTTTGTCAATCAGTCAATAGGTTGGAGATTGGTAATACGGTCCACGGATCTCTTGACCCGGTCTGCTATGTACAACGATAAGCCAATCATATCCTGCGAGACTACCCCGGGTTTCATGAGTGTGGCCACCTGCCCAGCTAATCAAAGTCTTGGCTTTTGTCTAGGATGAGTACGTTCCCCCTGGATATGACTTGGGAAATGACTCTGATGGCGGGAGTGTGCCTCTTCTGATAAGGGCCCGACGTTCATAAGGTTGGGTTCAAAACGAGACGGATTCTCTCCTTTTCAGAGTCTAGGTCGGCCGAAATTTTACGGAAGGCCGGTGGTTGACGGCCGTCCATCAAGTGTCGCCATATCCTGACCGTTGCACCGACCGTGACCACGAGCAAGATTGTCACTACCGTTCCTCGTGCACGGAGTATACTGCCGCCCCGCCGTTGACTGCAAGCATCAGGCAAGACAAAGACAAGACTACTAACCCCGTTGCTCCAACATTGGCGTTATTCACACCCAGTACGTAATCGATCTTCGAGCGGACTTGGCCCGTAGATCTGCTGAGGCCCACCAATGCATTCCACGGCCCCACGAAATCGGCATCAGCAACCCACCGTCTCTCCGCTGAGCACGCGGAGTCATGCAAGACGGCCTGGGGTGAGTTGGTTTGATTGGGCCACTCGACAACAGTGCATTGGGGGGTGGGTGGGAGCGCAAGAGAGAAAGCATAAAGTTTACTCGGAGGGTATCATCGTAAGTCCCAAGTTTGTCACTCTTGGGTACAGCCAGTCATAATGTAGGAAAGGAAGGGAACACTAAGCTCGGAGCGATCTCTTTGGGGGTTCACGGGAGGAAGGAGCACGTTTGACCAGGGCCAGGATGGCGGGTATTGGTGAAGATGAGATCATCTTGGCAACCTAGGGAGATCTGAAAGATGGCTATGTGAAGTCAGATTCCCCTCGTTGAAAGAGTTTGTGAGAACTTTCCCAAATTTTGAGATGAAATCATCAGGTGATCCCATACCCCGCAAACCGGGGGATCAGAGGGGATGAAGAAAAACGGTGGAGACGCGGATCGACCACGGTCCACCGAAACCCTGTTGGAACATTCTTGAATTAGCCATTTGGATGTTGCTCATCATGAAGCCCCATACCACAGGGGGGGACTGAAGGGGACAGATACCGGAGATCCCTCTCCTGTATGTTGTGTCTTCGTGTATGTATTCCCCCCTCTCTCCACCCTGATCAGCCAGCGACGGTCGGTCTCCCTAGCTAGCCTCCACCAGCAGTCGTACCCCAATCCCAAACGGATCTGAATCATGACGAACCAGTCAACATCCAGAGGATCAAACACATCCCGTGCTCGTCGTGCCAATATCCGGCCAGTGTAACGGAGCAGTCGGATCCACAACCACTCTCCGTGCCGGATTTCCCTGTCATGCTTTCAATGTCCGCTCCCAACTCAAAGATGACCAATTGACCCTGATCCCGAGCCGAGCGGAGACATTGTAGGCATTAATCACTGCAGACCGTCTGCACGGTCCACAAATCCCAAGGAAAAATGCACCTCGTGCCTCGAGAGGGAAGCCAGTCTCGTGTGTGTGGGGGGAGGCCAGAGAAAACGCCAGGAGTCAGCGGTGGCGTCCAGTGGGTTCTTGGAGCGGTGGTGGGATTAGGGGACTACCTTTTCCTTGGTATTTGTGCTCTTTTCTTTTTTTCATGTTAGTGCGGATCAAGTGCCGGAAAATGACATCCCAATGGACTGCACGGCATGAAGGGATCCCGGGGGGGGAGTGTGAGGGGTGAGGGCCAACTATGGACTTGACTTCTCTGGAGAGTCTCGTCAGGCGGGTAACTCGGGAGGAGGAACGGCATTTCGTAGTTCCGAGTGTCCATGAGATCTTCGGCATGATACATCAATAGAGACTCGATCGTGGGGTCATGTTTCTTTTTTTGCCCTTTGATTCGTACCTCCTCTTTCCCTTTTGATCTCGTCGGTGCTACTTGGGAAGGGGGTTATTATTTTCTAGGATACAGGGATTGCATAGGTCGGATCGTTCCGAATCAAAAGTACAGGACTACGGAATACCTACAGAGATACCTCCTGTGCGATCCGCACAGCGTCCTCCTTCTGCGACCGATAACCTCGCAATCAAAATCTCGACTCTCAAACACATTATCTCCAGCAAAAGTACCGTGCTTAGCCAAGAGACTCCAAATCGTCGGATCCAGACTCGAAGCCATCGAGGACTAGTCTCTGACAAAGCACAGCCGCCATCTGCAGGCGGGAGGTCATGGACGGAGCAGCAGATTGGATGAATCAACGTCATGAGCAAGGGCGGTCATCCAGAGTTCATGATTAGGGTTTCCCCCCTCTCGTAGCTCTCTGATCGTAACACCGCCAGGGAATGTCATTTTGGATGATTATATTATGACCTAGTACTATGACCCAAGTGAATGGGATAGCATTGGCACACGTTGTACAATGGACGGGGCTAAATATAGAGCCCCTCAATGAAGATGGAAGGCTGGGAGAGAACCGGCGTCACTAGGACCATGATCACAACGGAGCTATGAGTAGATCTACTTTCCAAATGCCTAAAAACATAAAAAGTAGCCCGAGTGGGTACGAAGAGGAAAAAAAAGTGGAAATAGGGTGGTGCAGGACTGGACGAGAGACGAGAGACAAGAGACGCCCGTTGGGCGACCTCCCGTCAAGTGCCTCAAGTTGGTCGGCCGCCCAATCATCGTCCGTCTTCCCTCACGTCCACTACCGCTCTCCCTGCCCCCCCTCTCTCTAAGTAGTCTGCTCTCGATCATATCCTCTTTTATTTTATTTTTTTTTCCGTGATCCGTTGAATCTCCAGGCCGATACTCTTGATTCCATTATCCCCTTGATCTCGCTCGATACTCTCCTCTCTTGAGGCCCTTGGGTCAAACTCCACTGGGGTTGACGTCGATGATCTTGCGCGTCGCCTGTCGCGCCCATCCTCCCCCCCGCATACACATCGGCTTCCGTTATCCTCCGTCCTTACCACTCGCGTTTTAACATCGCCCTCATCCTGCTTCACCACGCTAGATTGGTGAGCGTCGAGCATTGAGTATTCTGCAGTGGAAATAATCGACTGGCGATTCTTTCCGCTCGCGCGCCATGGCCTGTTGAAGTCACGGATGAAGCCATAGCCTCGTCTCTCCAAGAGCCACCCGCTCTGCCCACCAGCAGACGGTTCTGCTTGGCTCATCTTGAAAACCACGATCAAACCAGGCCCCCTATCGACTCTACTTGAACCGCCCTCTCGTGATATCTGCATACCTCTCATTCGAACGCTTTCGCTTTTGGCGGCCCCGTACACCTGTTGACCCGTCGAAGTCAGCATGGCGGACAATGGCTCGTCAACCCCCCAATTCCTCGCGCCGCCGGCCGTTACGGCCTTGCGGCAGGAGGCTCGGAATATCAACCCGGTCATGACGCGGACACTCAGTGAAGACATGCGCGAGGAGCGGGAAGACTTGAAGGAAGCTGCCGAACAGACTCTGAACATCATCGTGGACCTCGACCTGGAGGGCCGCATCAAGTGGGTGAGCCCGTCCTGGAGACAAGTCGTGGGCTCACCTCCCGAATCGGTCGAGGGCCGCATGATCTCGGAGATGTTGGTTGGCAATAAAAATGTCTTTCGCGATGCGATCGAGGTGATGAAGGAGGACGACTCGCGTAGTCGATTCATTCGCTTCTCCGTCCAGATGGGGCCGGACTCGGTCCTTCGATACGCGCCCGAACCGCGTCCTATTGAGTCGGAGAGTGATACTGAGCGGGAAGGGAGGTCTCCCGGGGAGAAGACGACGGATGAGCAGATGGAGCCTTCGCAGGCCGAAGGCGAGGATAACCATGATGTGTTGACCATGGAGGGTCAAGGTATCATGGTGTATGACCGCACGGATGATGAGGCCGGACATGTAGGTGTCATTCTACAAAGGACTAAATTGGAACCCTATGGACGATGCTAACAACTTGACTTTTTTTTCCCAAACAGTCCATGTGGATGCTCCGACCGCTCACTGAACCCCGCGAAGTGACCATCGACCTGCCACCTCAGCTCGTAGAGTCACTTGGCGTCGGTGCAGAAGTGCTAGCGAACTACCTGACCGAACTTGCAGAAGCCGCAGCTAACGAACCGGATCCCTCAAAACACCCCGCCCCGACGCCGGTGCTATGTCGTATTTGCGAACGCCAAATCACCCCATGGTGGTTCGAGAAACACTCTGATCTATGCCTGCAAGAACATCGCGCGGAGATGGATGTACAAATTGCGCAGGAGAACCTCAATGAGCACCGCCACGCCATCGTGAGGGTGCTGGATGCACTGGAAGCTCGGCAAGGAAGGCCGTTGATCAGCAACGATGGCAACATTCTCCCCCTCGTCCAGCCAGAGTATAAAGGCTTGCCCATTGGGCCGTCGCCCGTTAGCTCGGCACCATCATCAGCTCCCACTTCTAGTGTCAGTTCGGCGCCCGGGACACCACCCCGGTCTCGCGACCATTCGGCCTCGGGCGTCACAACGCCTGGACGCCCTCGAGCCTTCACCGTTCGAAGACCGCTGGCTCGCATTGTCGAGCTGGTTCTCGACTTGTGCGACACTGCGTTGGAGATCAGTATGCCCGTGATTAAGGAGTCACAGCGCCCGGAGAATGGAGAGGACTTCAGGACATTGTCTCCGCAATCCGAATCTCGAATCTCACAGGTGCTTCAGTGGTCGTCCCCGAGCTCCAACACATTGGAGCAGGAACAGGGTCTAGCTGCTTTGGCCAGTGACACCGAAGAGATTGCCAGGGCCAAAGTAGATGCCGTTGTACGCCATCGCAAGATCGTTGAATACGCAGAGCGCATTCGGATCGAATACACCGTCCTGGTCGAGGAGTGTATTACGGCTGCGTTGAGCAAAGCAGAGCGGATTGCCGCGGGTCAACTCAGTGATTCGTCTTGCTCCTCAGACGAAGAGATGTCGCAGGACGCCGCTTTTGCCAGTGATGCCGATGTCAGCACCACCGGCGAGAGAGAGGAGTCAATGCACAATCCGAGTCAAGAGCCGCTGGCAGCTCAACCGTTCCCTGCAGCTCCCACCCCACGCAAGCCTGCGACGTCGGCCCTCACCATGTCGATGCGCAATTCTCCTGATCGTGCGCTGCTTGCGCAAGGCGAAAACCGATCGCCCTCTGTCGCAATATCTACTGGATCTAATAGCCCCTTGGAATGCCCGACTCCCCGATCCTATAAAAGTGCCGCTGGCCTGTTAGGCACATCACAGCCCACCCGGCGGGGGCTTTCGCTGGCCGACATTGATGCCGGTGATAGTAGCGATAGCAGCATGCCGTCAACGTCGGCTTTGGCCAGCGCCATGCGAACGGATTCACCTTCCTCTGAGAGGAGCTTTGACCGCAAACGTAGAAGCCTGGTGCTTCCAGGCCTGTCGAGTTCGCCCCGTCGGCAGCCTTCTCCTGCTCGGGTTTCTGGTCCTCATTCCCCACTGAGAATGCCGAAGCCTCGACTGTCTCATGGCGCAGACAGTCTTCCTTCACCCATCGTGTCTCCCTCTACCTATGCTAGCGAATTGGCACATCATCATCTCCATCACCGCCGCCAGTCCTCGGCTACATCGTCAGACGTGGCCAAACCACCCCCATCACCACGTCTACCCTCGGTTAGCCAGCAACCTCGTCCTGCGCCCCCGTCTATCAAGGACTTTGAGATTATCAAGCCCATCAGTAAAGGTGCCTTTGGTAGTGTTTATCTGTCTAAGAAAAAGTCTACGGGTGAATATTTCGCTATCAAGGTGCTGAAGAAGGCAGATATGATTGCTAAGAATCAGGTCACCAACGTAAAAGCCGAACGAGCAATTATGATGTGGCAGGGTGAAAGCGACTTTGTCGCCAAGCTCTATTGGACGTTTTCCAGCAAAGAATACCTTTACTTGGTTATGGAATATTTGAATGGAGGTGACTGTGCTTCGCTGGTGTAGATCTTGGGTGGTCTTCCCGAAGATTGGGCCAAAAAGTACATCGCCGAGGTGGTTCTCGGAGTCGAGCACCTGCACGACCGCGGGATTGTTCATCGTGATCTCAAACCGGATAATCTTTTGATTGACCAGACCGGACACTTGAAATTAACAGACTTTGGTCTTTCCCGCATGGGTCTTGTTGGTCGTCAGAAGCGTGTTTTAAAGAGTCCCAATGAGCCCGCTCCCGATCTCCTCAAGCAAGGTCCTTTTACTCGGGCCATTTCTATTGCCTCTTCTCGATCGGCCTCATTTGACTTCCAGGCTGCATCCTCTCCTGGCTCGACACCGTTGATTACTCCGGAGACTGCTGCGAATGTGCAGCCGTCCTACTTCAGTTTGAATCAGAGTGGCCTCAGTAGACAGAGCTCTCGCCGAGCATCAGGTTATCGCAGTGACAGTGCCGGTAGTGACAGCTTGAATGGCATGTTCAGGACGTTTTCCCTCAATGATGCCGGAAATGAACACCATGCGGTGTCACCCAATGTGCTGTCGACAAGTCTGGCGGAGGAGGAGGAAGAGGAGGAGCCGCAGAGCGACGCTTACGAATCTCCTCACCTTTATCCCCTGCAGCCAACATTCAGCAATTCCGTGATGTACAGCACGCCGCCCCAGCAGAGTATGCTTCCGCCCGTGATGGCACTGTTCGATCCCGGGGACCATGACCGCCGCTTTGTTGGCACTCCTGACTATCTGGCCCCCGAAACGATCAATGGCATTGGCCAAGACGAGATAAGTGATTGGTGGTCGCTGGGTTGCATCATGTTCGAGTTCATCTTTGGCTACCCTCCTTTCAATGCCCCGACTCCTGATGAGGTATTCGAGAACATCCTTCAAAGAAATATCAACTGGCCTGATGACCCAGAGGAGTACACTACCCCCGAAGCGTTGGATCTGATGAATAAGCTCATGACATTGAACCCGCGGGAGCGTATCGGCGCCAATGTGGAAGAAAAGTATCCCAATGGCGGTGCCGAGATCCGTCACCACCCCTGGTTTGCTGATATCAACTGGGATACTCTTTTAGAGGACAAAGCGCAGTTCGTGCCCAACCTTGAAAACCCCGAAGATACAGAGTATTTTGATGCTCGAGGTGCGACCTTGCAGGCTTTCGCAGAAGAGATGGAAGATGAGCCTTCGCCCCAGGGTCAATCGGGCTCCGGATCTTATCCTGACAGGCCTCATGATGCGCTATTCAAAGTCCGTTCTCAGGTCAATTCCATGAAGCGCCCGTTAATGCCTCTACACATCCCACCCCACGTTCGCGATGCTCGGGATTCACGGAGCCGGAGATTGAGTGAACCAGCACTAGCCGATGACTTTGGTAGTTTCAACTTTAAGAACCTTCCTATGCTTGAGAAGGCGAATAAAGATGTCATTCAAAAAATGCGACAGGAGGCCATGCAGGCACAGCATCGACAAGCTAATTCGTCGTCATCGGCTGTCCAAACGCCCTTGACGGCCTCGCAGCCTTCTTTAGAAGGCAGCCCTCTCCCCATGTCGCTGCAACGGACACTGTCACAGACCAAGGGCAATAATCGACCATCGTCACCTTCCGGTCTTAGTCAGGCAAATTCTTCGCCCAGCCGACCTTCCCAGCCGTCGTCTCCGTTGTTGGTCCAGTTCAGCACTGGCACCAACCATGAAAGACGCAAGACTTCCGGGTCCTCCTCGACTGCCTCGCACCAGTCTAGTGGCACCTTCCAGCCATCCTCTGCGGATCAATCGCGCATGCCGAATCTTCGCCTTGGCTCGGTCGCATCGTCGCCTGTCAAGGCCAATCGCATTCCTGCACATTCACCTGACAAGCATCCGTCCAGCCAGCGCCATGGAAGTGCCCCAGCGAGTCGTGCCCGGTCCCAGACTATCGGATCGCAAGATGGAACGGAATTCCCTGGGCTGACTAAGGAGTCCTTTGTGGCATCTCACCACAAGCGCCGTAGTCAACTCTTCGACATCTCACCTTCGTCCTCTGATAATGAGGACCCCCGGACGAAGGCCTTGCTCAAGGTCCAACGCCGCCGCCAAAGCTCTCGGCGCCTCTCCCAATTCAATATTCAGGATGGCCCATTCTTCCGTCCACTGGACATTCTGATTTGTGAGGATCACCCGGTCTCGCGTCTCGTTATGGAGCGCCTGTTCGAAAAGCTCCGTTGTCGAACCATTACTGTCACCAATGGTGCCGAGGCCATGAGATATGCTCTCAGTGAAGTCCAGTTTGACATTATCATGACCGAGTTCAAGCTCCCGCAAGTCAACGGGGCCGACTTTGCACGGATGGTGCGGGAGACTCGCAGTGCCAACAGACACACTCCAATTGTGGCGGTGACTGGCTACTTGAAGGACCTCCCAGAGACGCACTACTTCGATGCGCTCATTGAGAAACCTCCCACATTGTCAAAGCTGACCGAAGCCCTGTGCAAGTGGTGTATGTGGAAGCCACCACCAAAGGATTACAGCCCTTCTTCCCAGCCGCTCAACGTGTCAATGGGAACCGGGCGCACGAACCCACTGTCAAATGATGACAGCCCTAGCTCGGCTTCATCTGGGTTTGTGCCGCACCCTCCTAGCTCGTATCGAGGGTCTAGCCGCGACGACTCGGTGAGTAGTAGTGTGTTCGGCGATATGGAATCTATCAAACCAGATGAGGTCCCCGTCATCATCAGCCGGACCCACGATGACTGGGATCAGGGTCAGGGTGGACTGGGTATCTCCGAGGACGCGCATCCCGGTAGTCCTGATCCCAAGGCCGTTCCTGTCCCTCATCTTCTCCATGCGATGTCCGCGCCTGCCGCCATGGATGCCGGTGGTGCGCTGACGCCGCGGAAACAACGCTCTAGTGAAGCCATTCGCGCCAAACGGGAGTCCTTGGAGAAAAAACGGTACGAATGTGCCGAGTCCGGGGACGACGAGGACGAAGAGCTGGGTCATTCGCAGTCCCGTCGCAGCCCACCGACTCGCAACCGGCGTCCGGGGTCTAAGCTTGGTATCGAAATGATGCGCACCAACAGCCGTGGCAGTGTCGTCAGTGGAAGTGAAGAGCTTCTTAAGAAGGAGCGCGAAGCACTACGCAGGGCTGGCGAATCGGACACTGACGAGGGCCCTCTGGGATCCCCCGCAAGCACGAGTCTCGAAGAACGGTTCGACGGCATGAGCATCCCCGAGGAATCCGAGTATGAAGAACCCCTCAGCCCTCGAGATTCACCTCCTGGGCTTCAATCATCACCTTCTCGCCGTCGACCTTCTCTCGCGCATCACGATACCTCAATCTACGCTGGGCCGACATCTCATCCGGGTGGTTCCAAGTCCAGCTCGGAAGGGTTGAAGCAAGGCCAAACCACTCCACCGGGAGATCTTGTCAAGGGTGCTGCTAATGTCGGTCTCGGCGTTACTCCCATCACCCCGGAGGTGAAAATCTCCGACAACGGGTCGAATGCCGAAGCCGGTTCAGGCGGGGATACCGATACTAGCCCCACGCCAGATGCCGAAGCCACACCCCGTCCTCTGCACCCGTCTCCGAGCCTGGATGCCGAGCAGACCCCTCGCGCACCAGACCGGTACCGATCAACCACGTCATTCTTCAAACGGTAAACTGGCTGGTCTTGCTGTACCGGATTTGAAAACCTCACTCTTCACCCACCTAACTTGCATTTATCTATCTCCCCACCTTTTACTTTCGTGTAAACTCTTGATCTTTTCAATTATTCCCCCGTTATGCCCCCAGTGGGCCTGGCGTACCAAAGCAACTCGCACTCATGTCTCTTATGTCTATGCTGTCCGTCTCATCTTCTTGTTGGAGCAAGGTGTTCCGGATTCAAGTTTTATTGTCTTTCCCTTCGTTCATCTCAATTTCTTTATGATCACGTTTACTTCCTCACATGCTAAGAACTCGGGGCGGAGCCACGGACTGTACGTCAGAAGTCCAACAACAAGACCCCGTTCTGAGTCTTGGTTTTGTTATTCCACCCTGTCCCAGTTCGTGCTTACTTGATTTTGCAGACCATACTGACAACACTGCATTCCTGTCTGTTTATGCATATCATTGTCTTTCTTGGGTGTGCGAGTTTGAAAAGTAGGAGCTGCAGTTTTGTTTGAATGGGCATGGCATGGCCGGCGCATTGCAATGATTTGATGGTTATGTACTCAGTATAGTAGAAGATTGCATGGCACGGTTCTGCAGGTTATTCAGGCAAAATTGAACTTTCTTCTGCTGCTTCCATTATTCTCTCGGGGTATATCTTGTCAAGTTTTATAGATGAGACTTGACGCTGAGGACTTTTGAGAACACCTCTCCTAATCTTGCAACGGCATCTTCACTGATCTGATGGTGAAGCACGATTCGTTTGCCATCAAGCTTGACTCCGTGTTTTCTCCCGACCTCATTCCACCATGGAGTTTCAATGCCAGCATATCTCAGATCAACCCAAACCTGGTTCGTCTCTACTGCTCGTAATAACCTCCCCCCACATCGAACCCACATCTCCCCAACACGCATAGCCACCTCATGTACCCGGCGCAACGTATCACGACTGCCCCAAGGCCCAGTCCCAAACTGCTCCGACACCGCAACCCTCGCAGCAGCAGCCAAAGGCCCACACTGCCTCATCGCACCGCCAATACTCTTCCTCACCCTCCTCAACTGCGCAATCAGGGCCCTTGATCCAACAACCATAGCACCCATCGGCGCACCAAGATTCTTACTAAAATCCAAACACACCAAATCACACAAAGTACAATAATCCTCCAAACTCCCCGCCCCACCCGCCACAGCCTCCCACAGTCTCGCACCGTCGAGATGCAGTTTGATATCATGCCCACGCGCCCACTCGCTAATCCGCCTCATTTCCTCCAGCGGCACGATACTCCCACCGGCGGTATTCTCAATACTAATCACGCGCGTCGGACACTTGTGCACGTCCTCCGTGATCACGGCTTTGCGGATAATATCTTCCAATCGCATGTATAGCCCATTCGAAGGGCGAACGTGTTGTACCGCGGCTCCGCTCATGCTCACGCTTCCACCCTCGAAATGGAGGATATGCGCGCGGGTATCTGCCAGGACGGCGAAAGGAGGTTGAGCGAGTAGTGTGCGGAGAGCTAATTGGTTGGCCATTGTCCCGCTTATTACAAAGGCCCCATCTTCGTGGCCGCATAGTTGGGATATGTGCGATTCGAAGGAGAGGGTTGTGGGATCTTCGCGGAAGACGTCGTCGTTTAGGGTTGAATTTGTTATTGCCGTGAGCATGGCTGTTGAGGGGGTCGTTATTACGTCACCTATGTTATTGTTTTGGTGAGAGGTGTAATAAGTATTGTGGGAAGTGGGACGTACTGCGGAAATCGATCGAAGAGTTTTGTGTTGTACCCCATTGTATGAATTGTTTGGGGTTGGGGTTGACGCTCCCTATGATCTTTTCGGATGTCATTTTGTCTTGGGTGGATCCAGGGACGAGGTATGGAGGAGATGCGTTATAGATTATAGCCGTATCAGTCGCTTGAACGCGTTCTATAGTACCGGACTTAAAAGTATCCCAACAGCATTGCACTTGTTTTATGTCTCATTTCAGCCTCTGTCAGCTTTCCAAACGGCGTTGAAGTGCGAGCACCCTGTCCGCTTATTGCGAATGTAAGAGGTAAGACGACGGCTGCCTAGTCCATGATCCAGAGTATTAGTATCAAAAGAGAAAAGGTAAGCTTGATATCAAATCCATCATCTGATTAGAAATTAAAAGCCGAATCTTACATGTGTGTTCTGTGTGGGATGCCAGAACAAACTGTCCTTCTAGATCCCAGATCTAGACGCAGGCACACCGGCCATGCAGCCACTATCACCACAAACTCATTGGCATCTGTAACCTACTCCGCATCAATCCGGAATTCACTTCGGACGAAGAGTGCTATAGGCTCAATCATCATTTTGCCTCATAGTCTCGGCGCTGACAGTGGTCAAAGGCAGCTGAACAGAACGCTCACGCAAAGAGCCGATTGGTGCATTATGGCACGCCTAAAACCAACAGGTAAAGAATCGTGACCACATCGAAACCTCAATATGGCCAATATAGTTACCTTAAAGAGAAGACTCGAACCAGTCGAGGGGAGGGAAATAGTGCATACCACCGCGATACAAGAATACCATTTCCCTGATTCAACACTCACGGGTAACTTTACTATACCACTTCCTGACTCATCGCTCACGCGTGGGTCGTTACAATATTATGTCAGTTTGCTGACCTGCTTTGCCTTGTATTGATGAACAGGTTTTGATCTCCTTGGAATGATTCTGTTCTATTCCTTCCCAAGATGGAATCGAGTACTCCTGCGACGTCAGTGAAGGGCTTGAAGGCAGAGGAGATCGAAGTCCAAATCCAGGTTCCCTAACAGAAGACTCTCACCTCAGGACAACTTTCAAGTTATGGACTCGAGCTATCTGTGACTGGCCATGTACAATGGCGAAAAGACTGCAAAGATCACCCGCGAAATTGGTCTTGGTGGCGGAAGACTTATGATACGAGCGTAGTGATGTTTCTGGAGTTTTACACGTGAGCTTGCTCCCTCGTCAATTGAAAAGGGAGTTCAGAGCTAAGATCAGTTCTGAAGAACGGCTATTAGTACCACAGGGGTGAGAATGCCTTCGTTCTTGCGAGATCATAGCTAAAAAAAACATATCTCAGCCATCAGCAGCAGAGCTCACGCCGGAAAGCTACGGTTCGAGGATACTCAACCTTATCGCCTTTAGTCTCATGTAAGTAATCCAAAGTTCGTGTAGTTACTTATTACTAATTCCAGTCCTAGGTATCAGGTCGGCCAAGCAATCGGGGGTCTCGTAATACCACCCTGTTCCGAGCTTTTCGGACGAAGAATGCCATATATCATATCTTGTTCCGTCTTTAGTCTATCCTGTCTTCTGGTCGGACTCGTGCCGCATATCAGTGCGGTTTTCATAGGTCGTTTTCTATCAGGTTTTGCATCTGCCGTGCCTTCGGTCGTGATATCCGGTACTGTGGAGGATATATTCAACCCGGAACAGCGCGTGTGGGTCGTTCTTCTCTGGAATGCAGCCGCTACGGCCGGTCTTGCTTTCGGCCCGGTCTACGCAGCCTGCATATCTGGCGTGGTGAGCTGGTAAGATCATTCTCCAAGAGGAAGTATGTTGATAGTGCTCTATACTAATGGTTCAAAGGCGATGGATATTCTATACTGCGGCCATCATTACCGCAATCACAACTATTCTTATCTTCGGCATGCGTGAGAGTCGACCAAGCAAATTATTTCGCAAGAAGATCAGCATGCTGGAAATCCGATATCCCGGTGTGCAACTCAAGTTTCATTCTGCGGATCCATTTCCTGACCTCGATTCCTTCATCTATACGGTCATCATTCGACCAAGTAAGATGATGGTTACCGAGCCAATCCTCATCATCGTCTCGATCCTCAGTGGGATCTCGTGGGGAATTATATATCTCTTCTCCGAGTCTATAGCCAGAGCTTACATCGCCCTCGGACTTTCCCAGCCCAGTGCCTCATTCCCTCTTTTAGCCTTGGTGGTCGGTATCATGATCGGCGTATTTCCACATATATGGGATGTCCGCAAACTACGAGAAAAGAAACGACAGAATCTTCAAGTCCAACCTGAAGACACCATCTTGGGATTTGCCTTTGGTACACCCGCACTCGCTGCAGGGTTATGGTGGTTTTACAGTACGACGCCGCCAGTTCTTTGGGACACCCACTGGGCCATTCCAACGGGTGGTCTGGTTCTGGTTGGTCTGGGGGTCAATGAGATAGCATACACATTGAGTGGATATCTGACCGATACGTACACGGTATATTCAGCGTCGGCCTTTGCAGGTCTAGCCTTTGTGCGTGCCTTAGTCTCGGGGATTATGCCTTTGGTTGGATATGTTATCTTCGACGGCGAGCAGAGTACGGTGCCGGGATTTGTGCTTGCCACTGTTGCAACTGCTTTCTGTGTGGTGCCGTTTCTCTTCTTCCGATATGGGAAGAGGTTCAGAGAGAGGAGTGAGTTTGCTAAATATAGTCTCGAAGTTCATTTGCGAACTCGGTTGGGCGATGCTTGAAATGGATGGATGGATGTGCAATCCAGGCTTCACACTGAGGTCCATCCTGTATAAACTCATTGGGCTTTCCACATGTCGTCAGGCTAAGTGGCTTGTGGACAACATTGCTGTCGTTCAAGAGAGGTAAAAGTACTGCTTTTGGGTCGAACAATTTAGTATCCTGTCAGTGAGAAACGGTCCAGTAGCGACTTTCCACAGAGAACTAGCCTCACGTGTGTATCAATTCCTATCCAGCAATGTCAATATTAGTTTTAGGGCTTTGATCCGGTGAAGGTTTCAACGTCACGGCAGGGGCAACGCGGTCTCTATCGTTATCAAAGCCACAGTCTCCCCTCTCATGTGGAAGGTGTCGGGCAAACTCTACAAAGATCAAGATGACGGGTGCAAGCCTTACTATCAGACACGGTGGACAGGCACCCCATGTTTGGTTACTACTGTGCTAGAGATTTTCGATTCAAGAAGAGAGACCACACAGCGAGATAATGACCTGCGGTGAACTCGGCTTCGGGTAAAGCGTTCTTGGCACTTGGCGCTGTCAACGAATGTCTGACGACGATCCACCCGATGATCCTGCTGTATTAGAGAGGGCCGAATGGACTGGACTGCAAAAAGAAACTGGAGCCGGGATGATTCCAGAGCACACGCACATGCACACGTACGCCGCAGCTTGCATGCATCTCGACCAGTGTTGATCTAGATACGATTGCTCCATCCGAGGGCTGCATTGCGCGCACAGATTCAATACACCCGCTCCGATCGGCGAGATCAATTGCAAATGATGTCCGGCTAGTCTGCAGGGGGTCGGATTGTCCATATTTGGTAGTGCCGGGGACGTGTCGCATAACCACGTCGAAGTGAAGATACCTTTGCATTATGAAAACAAAAATCGCTATGCTGGTGTAGTCCGTGCAAATGTAAGACCTGTAAGCGCACCAAAACTCGTGCCTTAAGAAATGATCATTTTTGAGTTCGCTGTACGCTGAGATCTTCATGGCATTCAACCAGTCCGTTGACCCACTCCGACCATGGCAGGTCGAGATTCATCGTGGGTCATGGGTGATATCATGGCCCAGACACACAGTAGCCAGCACCTACACCGCCGGCCCCTAATATCCTCATCTCACACAATACCTCTATTTAACATGATTTTTGTATCACCAACCATGCTTTAAGATGTATACTCCGGGCAGTCAGGGCCTCGGAGTCAAGCCAAGGACCGATGCAGGGGTTGACGCACGGTGGCGACAGCGGCGTAGGCGCAACGGAGAAAATCTCTGAGCATCTGCCAGTCTGACCAGTCTGGGAGCTCTGTCTCCCGGGCTCTTGGGGCCAGTACAGACCCTCATAGGTCAAGATAAGTCTTGGTTTTGGCTAGACTTTTGCCATTTACGCCACCCGGTGGAGCCGAATGGAGCCGATGGCTTAACGGGAGTGGGCCAGTGGTGGAGGATGCCGTCGGCCATTGGTGGACCTGTGGAGTGGTCCAATCGTGTGGTGCTGACAGGGTCAAGGAAGCACAAAAGAAGAACGGAACAAGTGAATAACTTGCATCAATTTTATGAATTGTTTTGCTTTGGAGGAAACTCCGTTGGATCTTTTTCATGTGCTTGGTGACAGGGGCATTGCCCGAGCACGAACGATAGGGCACCAATTAACAATGCTGGATGAATTACGGAGTGTACAAGCCTGAATTATGAAAACGGAACCGTGTGAACCGGGAGCTATGACGCCCGTACAACGTGGCAGCAGCAGGGGATTGTGCTCAACACGGCATATCGCCATATCTCTATTGTTGGCTATAAGCAGCCAATACGATAAGCCTACAATCCTCCAGATCACTTAAATTGCATCATGAGTTCCCTCGCCAGATATAATTATACCAAAAATAAACCCAAGATCAAAATTAGGAAGGAATTAAAGATCCCGTCTCGACCCTGAAATTAGCCAAGTTTGGATAACTTTTAGATGCAAGTATTCCGAGACGCCCAGCCAAAGTCGCCGTCAGGGACCCACTGGGCGGCCCACTTCGTTTCAATCGTTGCTCAATCGTCCTGCTACTTGACTTTCGCGTTTTCAGTCTGGACGATCTTCGCTTTTCCTTCTGGCATCTTTCCCTTTGATCTCCTTCTCCGCTACTCCGCTCCCTGACAGTCTCTACCGAGCTTCTCGCTCAGCATTCGTTTCTCCTGCCCCCCGCAACTTGATATAACTCCATCGGTCTCTCGCTATCTGGCCCCTCATTCTCTGCCGATTTCCCTCTTATCTTGATTCTCTGTACCTAATTGACCGTGTCATCTCACCCTCACCAGCCAACCTGATCGCCTGCTGCATTCCTCATTCCTTTTTCGCTCCGTTACTCTACCGGTAGAGTTGGGTGAGGCTCCGACCGACCCCCACATTCTTTCGATCGGCCTGGTGCCATCATGTCCAGTCCCGCAGACGAGCATAAGACCTTCCCTTTGCAGGATATGCAAAATGGCAAACGACTCAATTCCAACGAGGTGACGCCTACCTCCGATGATGACACATATGTCCACGACAGCCAGACCGAAGACCGGGGCAATCGTTTAAGAGTCGATACCTCCTACGCCGACGACATCACCCCTCATATGAGCACACCCTCGGCGCGGCGCGAACAATCCACTCGACTCGAAGATGATTTGATGCTGTTGCAGGCCGAGCGCGTGGCTTCGCGATCGACCCAAGGCGAACATGGCGAAGGTGAGCGGACCTCGATCAGCCGGTCGCGATCCCGTCGCAGCGAGGCCGTGGACGAGTTCGACGAGGCGACAAACCCGCTTCATGAGAAGGCCGCCGTCTACAAACCACCCGAGAGCCCCAACACCAGGCTGTCGGCGTTTGTAAAGAAGATTCACCAGTCCAGCTTCATAATTCGCTACCTGACCTACATTCTGCCCGTGGTGCTACTTCTCCTGATTCCTTTGCTCGTTGGAGCTCTGGCGTTCCCGAATGCAAGTGTTGGTGGTGTGAAGCTGATGTGGTTCTCGATCTGGTTGGAAATTGTCTGGTTGACTCTCTGGGCTGGACGAGTAAGTATTGCATGGAAGACGGCAACTTGCATACGAAGTTGCCTCTCTTGTCCCCTCGTTATAAGGCACAATTGCTGACGTGACCGTTCGCTTAGATTGTTGGCAAATGTATCCCTCCCGCGGTTAGTGTCCTGGCCAGCATCTTCACCAACAACGCGAAGAAGTGGCGCGACATGGCTTATCAGCTCGAACTCCATGCGGCTCTCTTCTTCTGGTGGCTGGGTGTGGAGATTTCCTTCCTGCCAACCATGAAGAACCACCACGTTGATGGCAACAAAGGTACCCGCAGCTGGGAGAACACTGTCAACAAGATCATTATTGTCATCTTTGTTTGGACCATTCTCAATTTGATTGAGAAAATCATCATCCAGCTGATTGCCATCAGCTTCCACCTGCGTACCTATGCCGACCGCATCGAGATCAACAAGTTCCAGATTGGCAGCCTCGTCAAGCTGTATGCGTGGTCCCGTGACCGCATTGAGGAGACCGACGAGGCTTTCCAAGAGAAAGAAGACACACCAACTGGCGTCAAAACACCCTTACGATACGCCGGAATTGCCCACAAAGCCGCGAAGGGTGCTTTGAACAAGGCCGGTAACAAGGTAGCCGATATGGCTGGGGTCGTCGCTGCGGATTTCACGGGCCGCAAGATCCACGCCAGCTCTGATCCTTACCAGGTCATTCGCACTCTGCTCCGCACTACATCGGGTTGCCAGGTTCTGGCTCGGCGTTTATATCGTACTTTCGTTCGGGATGGATTCGAGACCGTGTTCTCGGGTGACCTCAAGGAGGCATTTGATAACAGCGAAGAGGCCGAGGCGGCCTTTTCTATGTTTGATCGTGACATGAACGGTGACATCTCGATGGAGGAGCTCGAGTCTGTCTGTGTGGATATTGGCCGTGAGCGCAAGTCGATCACTGCCTCTTTGAAGGATCTCGACTCGGTCGTGTCCAAGTTGGACGACATCTTTATGTTTTTCGTCATTGTCATTGTCATCATCGTCTTCTTGTCTCTGATCTCGACCTCCGCTGCTGGTGTACTTACCTCGGCTGGATCCAGTATCCTGGCTCTTTCCTGGCTATTCTCTGCTACGGCTCAAGAATTCCTCCAGTCCGTCATTTTCGTGTTTGTCAAGCATCCTTTCGATGTCGGTGACCGCGTTACTATCTACGGTAACACGGGTGATGCTGGTCTTGGCGACGATTTCTTTGTCAAAGAAATCACCCTTTTGTATACGGAATTTAAGAAGATGCAGGGTCATGTCGTCCAGGCGCCAAACAGCTATCTGAACACTCTCTTCATTCTCAACCAGCGTCGTTCCGGCGCCCTTGCCGAAGCAATCCCCATCATTATCAAGTACGGCACCACCATCGATCAAATCGACGGTCTCCGCCAGCGCCTCTTGGAATTCGTGCGCAGCGAAAAGCGCGACTACCAGAGCAACATTCTAACCGAGTTGCGTGCCGTCACCGAAAACTTCTCCCTCACTCTCAATGTCGTCTTTTTCTACAAATCCAACTGGCAAAATGAAGGCCTCCGTCTGCAGCGGCGCAACAAGTTCATTTGCATGCTCATGATCGCCCTCCAAGAGATCGGCATCGAGGGCCCACGCATGAACCTCCAGGGTGCCAATGTCGACATCCCCTTCCACGTCAACTACGGCCAGCCTATGATGGCACCCACCCCGAAGAAGGACCACGATGCCCAGGAGATCGAAGAGGTACCCATTGGGAAGGAATCAGGGTCTTTGGCAGAAAACACCGGCACCAGCAGTGCACTTCGCCAGCACTCTATCTTGCGCAAAGGCATGAACACTGCGGCAGCCCGCGCCCGCGGTCAGTCTACCTCGCGCAAACATGTCGACTTCTCTCTCGGCATGTCAAACATGTCCTCAAACGATATCATGGGCGATGTATTTGAGGATCGCGGCGTCCGCGTTGATGATGTCGTCCGGACTACCAATCGTGAGACTCAGGAGCGCCGCATCCAAGAAGCCGTAGAGGAGGATCAAGATGAGGTCCGCAGCCACAACTCTTCGTCTCGAATGTCCTCGCGCCACCGTCGCCCTTCAAATCTGAGTAGCCACTTACATGGCCGCCCTTCGACGGAAGCCCCTAGCTTCACGAGCGGCGCCTCGTCGACCCGGAATCGCTTCTTCCGTCACCATCATAATGCCAGCCGTGACCGTGATGATCTGATGGAGCAGGGACGCGTTGATTCGCCTCCTCCCGCGGCTGTGGTGCAAGCCACGCAGGAGCAGCAGCAGCAGCAATATGACCGACCATATTGAAAAGCTTGACAGCTTGCAATTGCATCACGGTCGAACTTCTTGGAACATATTCCTCAGTTACGCTTTCTTTCTACTGCCCACCTACATCAGCATTGTGCATGTCCTTTCCTCTTGATACAAGACCGCCCGTGTCCTGGGGTTATGGGCGTCTTTAATTTTGTGTTTGTTTCAAGCCTTCTGGCTTGGGTTGGCTCTTTGCATCTTTTTTTCATACATATATCCCAACACTGGCGGTTTACATTCATTTGCATTTCCAAACTATCTTGCAGTCTAGATGTTTTCGGAAAGTATTCATCTTAAAGATCTTTCAATCTGTGTTTCCCATCAGCGCCTCCCATAACCATTGCCATCCTGATGTAGCTGTCTTCAATGTAGTTTCAACTAGTTTTAGAGTGCCCGTGCATCATAAATCTCAGGGAGATTCCAAATATCTGAACAAAGTCCGTCCGTTGATTCATTTCACCCTGCAAACTCAAGCTCCAATATTCAGACCACTAGCGGGAGCCCGATAACCCAGGCAAATCCCCACGTAACCAAAGAACCCAGATCCATCGATAGCGAAGTAGCCGCCCCAGAACTCGTCGATGCCGCAGCCGCAGCCGAAGAGGACGAAGAGGCGGACATCACCTGCGAGGTCAGAGACGGAGAGGATGAGTGCGACTCGGCCTGGGACGTAGATTTGACTTCACCAGTGTTCGATGTCTCGCCGGCCGTTGTAGTAGTGGTCGTCTTTGCTTCGACCGTGCTAGTACTCTCCGTACTAGCAGAGATTCCGGTTGTCTTGATTGGACCGCCAGGGTTGTCGGAGGTGATATTCGGCAGAGGATTGGCTGTCAATCGGGCGGTGTCCAGCACGCATGTACCGGCCTGACAGGTATACCCCGCGTTACAGCTACCGCAGGAGTTGTCATTGCTACTGCTGGCGACGACTAACTGGCTGCTCAGCATGAGGAGAGCGATTGTCCATGGAACATGCATGGCTATGGTGGTGGTGGGTAGTGATGGTATATATGGATGAGTTGGAGGTCCGAGTAGTCCGACTCCAAGAGAAGAGAAGAAACAGGACAGCAACGCTAATTAATATACCCAACCCACATCATCGTACCCCAAATGCCCTAAGCCCGACATTATGGCAATAAGGTAAACGCACCGGTGATCTATACGACCCTGAAGATCGACGGACCAGTCGTGCCCCGGGAAGGTGTTGGATCTCCAGCCATGTTCCCGCATTGGTTCCCTGGTTTGTTTCTAATTGAGTTAGTGCAGCCAATTATGTGTAGAATTTTGTGAACGCAGAGTCCACACTACGTCGTGATCCGCCCCTGGGTGACCGGTCGTCCGATGCGCTTTCCGGTCGTTGCTAAGCATTCACAAGCCTTTTGTGGTGGGGATTTGGGGGCTTGGAGGTTGGGGGGTTACGGACTTGGCTTTGCTCTGCCGTTTGCTTGGGCGGTGGGGGGAAGTTGAGACGTGGATCCTCAACAGTATCTTTGTTTGGAGACTTCCATCAGACGGCTGGCTTAATCTGTGCCGAATCTTTAATTGTCTCGGTACCAGTGCCACTGTCGCCTAGACTGCTGAACTTAGTGGCGTGGTAATAGAGAACCCGCTGTTCCCTTGTTTGCAGGTGGTGAGCCTGAGTCTAAGCGCGGATGTCTCGCAGAAAAGAGCAGGGTCTATCATTTCCTCGATGTCGAGTATTGCTTTGCAGCGAAGACGAATGATGCAACTTTCACCATAACCATTCTAGGAAGCAAAGGTGAGCATAACATCTGCTCTACCCATTTCATCTGTCATACTATCCGACCAGTCTCGATCAACATGTATCCTCTTCGTTGCTTGGGCCTTTTCAAAATAGGCATCGAGATTTTCCGACTCCAATCCCTTTAACTCAGATTCGATACAGCCCTCTGACTCGAGTCTCAGAGCCTCATCAGTAGGCAGCTAAATAGTTATCTACCATTAAATCCTGAACGATGGTATGACGCTATACTGACCAGGGATCCTCATTGGGCAGCTCCGACAAGGGTCGCTGCCACGCTCCCCGCCACAAGGTTACGTCGAAATAGCACCAATCGGCGTTCCCCCAAGACAACGATAAAGCCCCATCCCGTTTAATGTAGCCAATCCACGGCGGATGCCCAGACCGGGGCCCCGTCGGAGCTGAGATGCTCTGTGTGCCATGTGGTAGGCAGCCTTGCGATGGGAGTACCTTTTTGAAGCTGCTTGAGACCGAAATTCCCTCCCAATTTGAACATTTCTTTGCCATCTCGCAGCCATGTCTTGTCCGCTTGGAAGTGACAACGTATTCGGACCTCGAATACTCGAAGAATGTCGCCCATTCGACTTTACCTTGCTTTTTGAAGATGCGATCTTTGCAATTTTACCAGCGAGCACGTTTCTGTTGTTGGCAGCGTGCCGTCTTCCATCACTGATCCGTGCGCCGATCAAAGTCACATCGCATCGGCTTGCGACGTGGAAACTGGTAGGACAACCCCAATTGTGAAACGTAGGCTTTTGGATCCCTGCAGTGCTAATCTGGATGGACTAGGGAACCCTGGCCGTATTGTTGACTTTCCAAATTCTACACCTAGCTTATCAACAAGAAGTGTCATCCCTACACACAAATGCTTCGCTGGCAGCGAGCCTTCTCCAGCTATTCGCAGTGGCTGCAGCTACACTACTATCATGGTTAGAAGATCAGCGCTCCGTCCGTCCGTCGGATATTATGGTACTCTATTTCTTTGTTGCTACTATTCTCGCTGTTCCTCGAGCACGTACCTTGTGGCTACTTTCGCCAGTCGTTGAATTACAAGCCATTTTGTGGACGTTGGTTACTATCGCTACGGCAGGAGTTTTATGCGTCGAATCAATTCACAAAACTCAAGTTCTACGCCTGGCGTATCGGCAGTCAAGCAAAGAGTACACGTCCAGCTTCTGGGTTCGTAGCTTTTTTATCTGGGTTCTTCCACTGTTCCAAAGTGGATTCACCTCCATCCTTGCTCTTCATGATATGCCCGAAGTGGATCGTGCTCTCCAAGGAGAGTCGGCAGAGAGCCGGCTTCACCAAGCCTGGTCGAAGAGTAAGTAGTCCTCGTATCCACGCCGAATGACCGTTGACTAAACTCGTTACCGCCAGGCCAAAAAGCCCGAAAGTACAGATTGGTCCGCGTGACATTTCGTGCATACTGGTGGCCATTTGTCAGTGCAGTGGTGCCTCGACTGTGTCTGACGGCATTCAAGTTCTGCCAGCCATTTCTCATTTCGGCAACTCTAGATTTCATCAGTGATACATCAAACTCGGAAACCCGCTACTATGGACCCGCCCTCGTGGGCGCCTTCGTGTTGACCTACCTAGGAATGGCTGTAAGTTGACAGACTCGCAGACTGTAACTATCGCTTGGCATGACTCAAATGTCCCCTCTAGATATCCACCGCTGTATACTGGCGCCAGACTTTCCGGTTCAACACGACAATTCGAGCAGGCCTCATTTCTTTAATCTACCGACAGACAAACAAGATGCACGCCAGTGAATTCAAAACAGAATCGTCCATCACACTTATGGGTACAGATGTGGAGCGTATTGTGAGGCACTTCTGGAGTATTCATGAGGCATGGGCGGGCCCAGTCGATGTGGCCATAGGTGTCTTCCTTCTGGCTCGCCAGCTCGGTGTTACCTGCTTGATCCCTGCTGTCATTTCAATCAGTAAGATCCTCATATAAATATTTTTGACCAAGCACTAATAAGATCAGTTGTGGTGGTTGCGACCATTCCAGTTTCCCAAAGGTCTGGCACGGCCCAGAAACGGTGGATCGAAAGAGTTCAGACGCGCCTGAACACAACCTCCAGCATGTTGAACGATATGAAGTCTGTCAAGATGTTAGGTCTTGGAGATAAGCTCTATGCTTGCGTTTCCACACTCCGCCAGGTTGAATTGCAAGTCTCACAGAAATTCCGTGTCTTGCTCATCTGGCAGGTAGTTTTATGTATGCCCTCCACATCACCCCAGAGTTCGCGAGACTAACGCTTATGTTGAAACAGCAAACATGCCTGTGACTTTTGCACCTTTTGCCACTTTTGCGATATATGCGATCATCCAATCCGTTCGTGGAGGCCAATCCCTTCTGGCGAATCGGACGTTCACATCTCTGTCGTTGATCTCATTGATGACCGACCCGCTGCTCATTTTTATCCAGACACTCCCATCACTATGGGAGTCCGTTTCTTGCTTCAATCGCATTGAAAATTATTGCACCAAGGCACCAATGGAGATACCGATTGATAATGCGACTATCGATGATGGACTGGAGCTCTCCTCACAACCATCCTCCAGTGCCTCTCCGACCTCCGTGATCGAGTTCCAAAACGCTGGATTCTCGTGGACTGCAACCGGGCCTCAATTTCTCCATGGCATCAATTTTACCGTAAAAAAGGGACACATCACTGCTATAATTGGGCCGGTAGGGAGCGGCAAGAGTACACTCTTGGAGAGTGCTCTGGGTGAAACAACCCTCAGAGAAGGTTCTTTATCGCGATTCGCAACAAGCGTCGCTTATTGTCCCCAGACGCCCTGGATCATGAATGACACCATTCGTCAAAACATAATCGGTCCGGCTGAATATGATCCCAAATGGTATAGCTTTGTCGTCTGGGCTTGTGCCTTGGAAACCGACTTTGAAAACATTGCAGGCGGCGACATGTCCAAGGCTGGCAGTTCCGGAATAACATTGAGCGGAGGACAGAAACAAAGAATTGTGAGTATACCAGCCGCAACTGATACCGAACAGTCTTTCCCTGAAATATACTCATGCATAGCAGTCATTGGCTCGGGCAGTCTATTCTCGCGCGCCGACACTGGTCCTTGATGATGTCTTCAGTGGCCTTGATAATAAGTCTGTCGTTGCAATCACAACCCGCCTGCTAGCATCAGATGGTCACTTTCGAGAATCCGGTAGAACGGTTATTCTCGCGACTCACAACAACCGCCTGTTGCCGCACGCCGACAACATAATAATTCTCGAGAATGGTACAGTACGCAAGACTGGTTCGTTCCAAGAAATCGAGCCCGACTTGCCCCAGGACCACCACAGTGACAGCGACGATTCTCAAAACGAAGAGTTGGTAGTGGCCGCAAAGCAAACACCCTTGAGTCATCTTGATAGGGTGTTGAGCACCACAGAGGAGGAGTCAGCTGTCGAGTTGAATCAGGCACGTCGTGATGGAAAATGGTCCGTCTATTCGTATTACTTCAAATCCGCCGGCTGGACTATTATGATTATGTTGGTCGCAGCTATCTGTATCTGCGGATTCACAGATAGATTCTCAAGTCTGTGGACAAGCTGTCCCCGAGATGCAGTCATTTACTGACATTTGCACAGCTATTTGGTTGGAACAGTGGTCAAATGCGAACGAGAATAACCCCAACCAGTCTCCAGCTAAGTATATTGGGATTTACTCCTTGCTCATTGGAATATCGCTATGTGGTCTGGTTTTCTCTTGCTGGCAAGTGACTCCTGTTATCTTATTTCCATCGTTAGCTAACATTGAGTCAAAATGGAAGGGCGCTTCTCATTCCTATCATCAGCAATACGGGTCGCAACATGCATGCCCACCTGCTCAAGGCCACTCTAAAGTACGATTCTCGATTGTCCTGACGACTTGAGCGCTGAATATTGATTTAAATAACCAATTTATCTAGTGCACCATTTAGCTTCTTCCAGAAGACTGATGCAGGTTTAACAACCAATAGGTGAGTGATACCTCTTACCAGTTTGAAAGAAACGATACTGATATTTGCGTAGGTTCAGTCAGGACTTGGAACTTATCGACATGGACCTTCCACTTCAAGCGATCAATACTAACATGTGTATGTCTCCTCGCCGGCTCTGTCTTGAACAATGACTGTCATTTCTAACGTTCTAATCAAGCCTTTGCGAACTGCGTCGTTCAGCTGATTTTACTTTGTATCTTGGGTAAATACCTCACGATAACAGTCCCCGCTCTTGGCATAATCCTCTTCTTCGTGCAAAGTTACTACTTGCGGACCTCTCGTCAGGTGCGACTGCTCGATATAGAGGCGAAATCCCCTCTTTTCTCACACTTTGTGGAAACCATGCAAGGCATCAATGTCATTCGGGCAATGCGATGGCAGACGCCTTTCCAAGATCGCCTCCAGGAACTACTAAGCCAGTCACAAAAGCCATTCTACATGCTATTTTGCATCCGACAGTGGCTTCAATTGGTGCTGGACTGTATAGTGATGGGGCTTGCCGTTGTTCTCGTATCATTGGTGGTCTCTCTCCGAGGCCAATTCAGTGCTGGCTCGATTGGTGTCGCCCTTAACTTGATTCTAGTGTTCAATCAGGATCTGATGCAGTTTATCAAATCCTGGACTCTTCTTGAAACCTCGATAGGGGCGGTGGCTCGTATCCAGGATTTTGTCGAGAGTACTCCATCCGAGGAAAAGCAGCAGCCCGAACTATCGACTGTTCCACCTCAATGGCCTGAACGAGGGGACCTGATATTCGAAAATGTGACAGCTTCATATGGGTCAGTCAATTGGAGGGGAAAATTGAGTTTCCAAGCTAATATCACACCTTAGACCTGATTCCCCGCCGGTGTTAAAGGAGCTGTCCTTAGCTATCAAGCCCGGTCAGAAGATTGCTGTCTGTGGCCCTTCTGGCAGTGGCAAAACGTCTCTTATCCTAGGATTGTTGCAGATGATTAATTTGCGAGAGGGCAGTATCCTTTTGGATGGAATAGACCTCTCTACACTGCCCTGCAGCACTGTACGCTCTCGAATCAATGTTGTACCGCAGGAACCCTTTTTTATGCCTGGAACATTGCGTTTTAATTTGGACCGCCAACTGGAGGATCACCCAGTCCCAGACTCCACTCTCATCCAGGCGCTGGAGGCTGTCGGACTATGGAAGAAAGTACGCGAAGACTGTCCCGGTGGCGGGGAGTTAGACGCGCTTTTGTCGATTTCCAACTGGTCCATGGGTGAGCGACAGTTGCTTGCACTTGCTCGAGCACTGGTTATGAAGAGTCCGGTACTAGTTCTAGATGAGGCGATGAGCAGGTATGTTTCCATATATATCCCTTCATGCTTCTTATTGCGCTAATGCGACTGTTTTCCCGGTTTAGCGTGGACTGGGATACCGAAGCCGCAATGCAAGAAATTATCGAGCGAGAATTCAAATCTCACACTATCATTTCCGTCATTCATCGGCTGCGCTACGTCGAAAGCTATGATCGAGTTGCACTGATGAAGCAAGGCCGACTGGTGGAATATGCTAGTCCGCAAGAGCTCTTGGAAGCCCCCTCTCAATTTGCGTCATTTTATCACGCAAAAAAGGCTCCCCGCTGAGAAAGAAAGTCTGGAAGCCGGGTATAGCTAGAATGGTCAAGGAGCTTAGGCTTATCCAACGGACCTGTTATGTTGCGTCATGACATGTCAATCCACTCAGTTACAATTTTCTAATATTTCGATACCATAAACGGTTCTTGTAGAAAATTTTGCATTCTAATTATAGATACCATTCCTATCGGTACACTTTCCCATCTACAGCTATGTCCATCACTAAATCGCCGAGACGCGCGCTCCGCTATCAGCAATACTTCAAATCGCTTGATGTTGGATGAACATAACCTCTGTCAACAAAACCTTTGTAGTTCCAGTAATCAGCCTGTGTCCCTTGCCCATCAACCGTGGCATTTCCGGAGAACTTCCAAGTCCAGTAAGAACCACCGTGTGAGTACTTATAGAACGCCGCGAGTCCCACGTTGAGGTTGCGCTCTCGTAGGGCGAAGCTGTTGTTATATAGTGCTTGAATTGACCATTCGCCAACAAATGTAGGGAACTTCCCATCCCCAGGAGTCGCCTTGGCATCTGAGCAGATGTATGACGGAACGTTGGCAGATGTTGTGTTTCGTCCCGCAAAGTAGTAATTATGCACATCGAAGACTAAGTTTGCCTTGCTCGAGAAATTCCCAGACCAGTATTCCTCGCCCTTGAAACTACCCTGGAACATGACCGGGATCTTTTCATTGACGCTAGCCACGTGGCTCAGGACGGCTTGAATATACTTGAGAACCCAGGCAGCACCAGAATCGGAAAGCGCAGCTGGAGTACCGAATGTAGAGAGATCTTCATTGTCAGCAGGCTCATTCATGGGCTCGAAGGTGAAGGACTCGGGGTAACCAGAGTTCTGAATAAAGGCGATCGCGGCGTCAACAACCTGCATAGAATAGGCAAAGTTGGTTTCGTTATGGAACCAGTTCCAATGGCCTTCGGCTTCGCCAATGGTGAGACCATTGATACCCCCAGGAAGACCATGGACATCGAGAATGATATGCATGCCATACTTCTCAATAGCGTAGGTAGTAATCTCCTTGAGATATGCCTTCTGGTTGCCAGAGTACAGTTGAGAGCCGGGATATTTAATCCAAGCCGCATATGTTGTCGGAATGCGCAGCAGAGTCACACCCGCACTGGCTGCATCATCGATATCGGATGTGGTAATCCAGGTCGCGTAGCGCTTTTCCAGTACAGGGCCGCATTGGGAACCGAGATTTTTGCAGAGACCCCACTCGTCTGAAGCTCCTCCAGAGTAGGTGTCCCACCAGGTGGTGTCGATTGTTGACTCCTGGACAAGCCAGCCACCAAGATTGACACCGTACGCCTTGAAAGTCTTCCAGTCAATGTACTTGTTGTCCCCTGAGTGACGGGCTGGGGCGCTCAAGGCTCCCCCAATGCATGAGATGAGGAGGGCAGATCTCCAACTCATTGTAGCTGAAATGAGATTCCAATCACTAAGTAGGAGGGCGGCCGATCTACTTCAGGATGCCTGATGAGCGTATAGTTGTCAATGTTAAGCCGAAGGTCGCGAGGGTCGTTTATATAGTCTAGTTCGATTTGGCCCCGAATAAAAAACAACCACTGACACCATAAATAACCTGGCCATCTATCCGAGGGTGGACAGCCTGGGGTCGGCTAGCCTTTACGCTATCTTATTCATCACTAGAAGAATTTCTATCTACTTTCCATTTGCCAAGTTTGTCCAAGCGACCTAGGGCACATCCTGTACGACCCTCTTACGAGGGACATGAGTGGCTGCGGAAATGGTATACGTTGACCAAGTCGAAGTCTACCCTCCACATCCCATTTCCCAGGATTTGACCCTTCCATCTAGCGCTCCCAGTTAGGCTAACCAAGCTGCGTAACACCCGACGAGGACCACCACATGCAGGATGAGTGTGGGGAAATTGCGGGGATACGGTCGGGACAAAAAACCGGTAGATACACGAGGTCACCCGTATGTCCAACCTTGTCAAACCCGGAGAATGCCGTAGCCCGAGCCAATAGTGTGAGCCTTTTCACACGATTTTAATCAAAGTTAGTTCTAAAACTACGCTAGCGGCGTTCTCGAGCTCCGATTCGTTACTCGCCGCTTTCCCCGCTTGCCGCAGTTTTGTCGGCAAAGCGAGATTCGGGTGCAAATGGCCCGAGGACTCCACTTTGCGGATATGCCGAAGTCGCTCGACGGATTGGTCGTGAATCTATCCTTTGGAACTTGATACCTCGCATAGCCTCTTTCCCTTGCACCATTCTAGCGGCTGACTTTTGTACAGTTACCCAATTTGAAATCCGTGTCACGGACTCAAGGTGTAACGTATATTCATGATGCAGATCACACGCTGTGGCATTCATGGGTTCCATGAGGTTCTCGGTATTGATGCTGATGAGCTTCGCTTCTACTGGGCATTGGAGAGCAGTGTCGAGAATTCTGTTCAAGTCGCTTACCGCGTCGTGCTGGCAACGGAGTCAAAGCTTCTTGAAGTAGCCGAACCAGACGTGTCGAGTCTCGCATGGGACTCTGGTCGCGTAGAAAGCAATGAGCAACGCAACATCTTGTGCAAGCCATCCGATGGCTTTGAGTCTACCTGCAGTTACTTCTGGCAGGTCCGACTTTGGGACAATAAGCAAGAAGTCCACTATGGCCCGATCCAACATTTTTTCACGGGTTACCCCCGATCGCGTCTGCTACCTCCCTATAGCATGAACCAAACATACATGCCACACTCCAGTCTCATTTTCCGTACATGGTTTGAAGATGAGCCAAACAGATGGAAGGCTGTCTGGATTGGAGATGGAGGCGATAAGCCCATCTATCTGCGAAAGTCATTCCAACTAGCAAAGCAGCCAACTCGCGCTATCCTCTTTGCTTCGGGGTTGGGCCACTTCAATATGAGCGTCAATGGCCAGCCGGCGTCTGATCATCGCCTGGATCCCGGTTGGACCAACTATCACCGGCGAGTTCAGTTTACATCTTATGATGTGACCTCTCATCTCAGCGCTGGCAAGAACGCGTTGGGCGCCCATGTAGGCAACGGATTCTATGCCGGTGACCAGGGCGAGGATCGCTTCTTCTGGCCAATGTATGAAGACAACACATACGTCCGATATGGAAACGAGCTTTGTTTCTTCTGTGAACTACATCTCTTTTATGATGATGGAAGCCATGATACACTCATCTCCGATCCCACTTGGACAGTGCGAAAAAGTGCAACTACGCTTGCCAATATCTATGCGTCGGAAAATCACGATCGTCGGCTTTACCCCTCGAAATGGGATACGCCAACGTTTGATGATAGCAACTGGGCTCCAGCTAAGCCCTTGACAGGTCCTAGAGGTCACATTTTTTACCAGACGCAACCACCAGTGGTGCTGCATGAAACTTTCCAGCCCGTGAAGACCTACAGCCCCTCAAATGGGGTTGTGTGCTTTGATCTCGGTCAGAACGCATCAACTATGGTTCAGTTGGTACTTGAAGGTGCCTCGGGCTCGGAGGTAATTGTACGGTATTCTGAAACCGTCAATGAAGATGGTACCGTCCTCATGCCCGATCCACTGTTCAAACAATTTGAGACAGGTGTGTTCTCCAGAATATACCTCGCTGGCACTGGAGAGCCTGAGATGTGGGAGCCCGACTTTAGCTTCACAAGCGCTCGCTATATCCAGGTCGAGGGCGTGTCATTGACGGAAAGCGAAGGCCTTCCCATCATTCACTCCGCTGTGGGCCGCCATATTTCCTCTGCCGCCAGACGACTTGGCACTATGAAGACCGATAAGGAAGACGTCAATGCACTTCTCAATGCTTGCTATTGGACATTCAACAGTAACCTCTTCAGTTACCACACTGATTGCCCACAAATCGAGAAGTTCGGCTGGCTAGAGGTCACCCATCTACTCGCACCTGCGACACAATACATTCGTGACATGGAGTCTCTTTACACAAAAATCTTGGATGACATGCTTGATACCCAGGAGCCCAATGGCCTTGTACCAACCATGGCTCCCGAGATCCGTTATATGTGTGGCCCGCTTCATGATACGATCACCTGGGGCTGTGCTTTGTGCTTCTTGCCAGATATCTTGCTGAAATACTATGGTTCCACTCACGTTATTGCCAAGGTGTATCCAGCCGCGGTGCGATATATGGAATACATGAAGACGAAGGAACGCCGCGGTGGTTTGATCGAGCACGGTCTGGGTGATTGGGGTCGTGATATTGCCTTTGGTAATCACCAGGCTAATATTGAGACTGCAATCTACTATCGATGCCTTCAGTGCGTTGAGATGATGGCCCGGGAGCTCGGCAAGGTCGATGAGGCTAAGAAGTTCAATGCATGGGCATCTCGAATTTACAAGGTCTACAACCAGCACCTCCTTGTAACGGATGATTCATCACGTCAATATGCCTATTATACTTCGTTGGACAATTATCCCGAGCGCGATCGCACTGCCATCGGCCAAGCCATGGCTTTGCAGTTTGGTCTCGTTCCTGCTGAGCACGAGAAGGATGTCATGGCCGCCTTCGTGGACGATTGCTCTGACGGGAGAATGCGGGCCGGCGAGATCGGTCTGCGCTTCCTATTCAACACCCTCGCAGACGCCAAGAGGCCGGACTTGGTTCTTCAGATGGCACGACAAGAGGAGCATCCCTCATACATGCGCTTCCTTCGCCGTGGCGAAACCACGCTCTTGGAGTTCTGGCAGGATGAGTGCCGCAGCAAGTGCCACGACATGCTTGGCACCATCTATGAATGGTTCTATGCTGCCATCTTAGGCTTGAAGCCCGTGGACAATGCCTATCGGACCTTTGAGATTGATCCTCCGTATGAAGCAGAATTTGACTTCGTCGAGGGAGCGGTGGACAGTCCGTACGGGCTGATTGAAGTGAAATTCCAGCGTAATGTTACAAGAGTGGTGACTCTGGACCTTCGTGTTCCCTTTGGAACCTCTGCCACCGTAAAGACCCCCACAAATGTACAGAGAGTGGAAATCATCAGAGAAGGAGGCTCGAATACAGTGCTGGGTGCTGAAAATGTGCAGCTTCAACATGGCAATTACAAGATTGTCATTAAGTCATCTTGATAGATAGAAAGTTGAGATACCATATTTATTGTGATAGACCTTAGAACGCTCTCCAGAATGAAATCCGTCACTTCCGAAATAATCTCTCTTTTTGACCTTGAGTGCCTGTGTAGATATCGGCTCCACATCCAGGCTACATGTTCCTAGCTGTGTCTGCGTATGACCTCGGCGGTTCACTCACAGTAAGCGGAAGGATGAAACCTTGCATACCGGTCTCCGCCGAAATTGACAGCCGTGGCACGATATCCTTTTCTCAACGCTTCACCTTTCGCTTGGCTTCGGCAATCGCACCTGATGAAGTGACTGGTGGGGGTGGGGGAAATCCCAATGGTGCTTTTGATTGGCCCACAGCTCGGTGGCTTAACGTGGAGCACCTAATTGACTCGAATTGACTGAGTGGCCCGCCCCGAGACCATTTGGTGCCGACTCCTACATCGGACCCTCGAAATGCATGAGGGCAAAGGGTCGAGTTCAGTCGGGATTGATCTACACCGAGAGGTGGAGTCGGGCTTGCTAAACCTTGTCATAAATTAGCACCATGTCGTTGCGTCGGGATTTCCGGCTCCTTGCCCGAGCCGCGTAAACCCCAACTAAACGCTAAGCTAAACTTTGGCTGTCTCGCTTCTGTGTCCCCGCTTGATTCTGGAGTAATCGCTCGTGTGGAGTATATAATGTGCCCCATGGGGAGACAGTCCAGGTGAATTTTTTATCCCACATCTGGTTCAGAAACCGTGAATCTGAGTCTTGGCCATGAAGTTCACTACCTTGCTGTCGGCCGTCTTCTTGGCCATCGGAGGTGCGATATCACCCTAATATCTCTTTCTTTCTTTCTTTGTTATTCCCCCGAGTAACCTCTAACATCCTGATCAATAAAGGTTTCCTCTTCGGCTATGATAGCGGTATCATCACTTCCACTATTGGCCAGCCCGAGTTCATCAAGTACTTCTCCAACCCCAACGACAACACCACTGGTGGCGTTGTCTCCGCATTCCAAGGAGGTGCTATTCTGGGAACCATTATCAACGTCTTCACTGGTGATCGCCTGGGTCGAAAGCTCAGCGTTTTTGCTGGAGCATGTGTCTCAGTCTTCGGGTGTGCTCTGCAGGCCGGTGCGGTCAACATGGTGATGCTCATCATTGGACGATTCATTGCCGGTGTTGCCGTAGGCATGCTCACTTCTGTTGTCCCAATGTATGCCGGTGAAATGGCTGAGGCTGACTCACGTGGTATGATGTCGGGTCTGTTGCAGTGGATGTTGAGTTGGGGATATCTCGTGGCCCAATGGTTGGGCTACGGATGCTCCTTCATCGAGACACCCTTCCAATGTAAGGATTCGCCCCCAATGGTGGAGTGTGATTTTGTTCGGTATTAACAAACATTCTTTAGGGCGATTCCCACTGGCTTTCCAGTGCATTCCTGGTATCATCCTCGCCTGCGGTGTGTGGTTCCTGAACGAGTCTCCTCGCTGGTTGATGGAAAAAGACCGTCATGACGAGGCCTTGTCGACCCTCCAGAGACTCCACGGTGACGGGACTCCTGAGAAGGAACAATACATTGAGCTTGAGTTCCAAGAAATCCGTGATACCATCGAGGCAGAGCGTGCATCCACCAAGATCACCTGGTCCTCGATTCTGACGAAGCCTACTTGGCGCCGTCGTCTAATCTTGGGCTGTGCTGTTCAAGCATTTGGTCCTCTTAGTGGAATCAACGTGATCAATTACTATGGAACCCGTATTTATGCGTCTTTGGGCTTCGATACTCACACTACTCTCATGATTATCGGTATCTCCGGTGCCCTGTCCATCGTCTACTGCACCGGCGGTCTGTGGGCCCTGGAAAGAGTCGGGCGAATCAAGCCTCTCATTATTGGCTCCGCGGGTATGGGTCTAGCACTGGTTTGCAATGCTGCCATGTCCCAGCACTATGATGAGAACAACACCAACCAGCTCCGTGCCATGGTGGCCATGAACTTCGTCTTCAGCTTCTTCTACACCTTCATCGGCATCATCTCTTGGGTCTACCCAGCAGAGATCTTCCCCGTGGATATTCGTAACCAGGGCAACTCACTCACGACGTTCACCAATTGGACCATCAATCTGGTGTTCGCTCAGTTCTCGCCCACGGCTCTGACCAACATTGGGTTCCGGTACTTCTATGTCTTCTTTGTGTTCAACATCATTGCCATGGTCTGTTATATCTTCTTCTTCCCGGAGACCAAGGGCAAGACCCTTGAGCAGATGGATTTGCTCTTCGGAGATAGCAATGTGCCTCCTACTAGTGCGGAGAAGCAGGAGACCACCATGGTGGAGCATGTGCAGTAAGCTCGGGAGAGGAACTAATTATTGTTGAATTTCCGGGTTATTTCTCCAAGTTTGGGGCTTGTGCTTGTGATTACGGGCAGGGACAGTTCTGACATGTAATAGTTGGCCTAAATATATAATGAAGCATGATAAGCCGACCTTCCATCTTCGCGAACCCAAGCACTAAGCCGAGGATCTGGTCTAAGCGCGAGCGAATTTGCGCCTCACTGTTCTGGAAGCCTTTGTTGGCGCCCTCAATGCAGGTAAGGGCCCTGGGAAAGGGTGCGTCCGCCTCCAAGGAGAAGGATCCAGCTAGGAAGAAGGCCGCAGACGACGACAGCAAAAAAACGACCGGCTCGTACGAGACCCCATTAGATGAAATCCCCTCTTTGCGACCCTGAGGTCCAGCAAGATCCTACGTTGGCCCTCACTGCCTATAACCTTATCCCGGAGATAATCGAGCGGTTCTAGAGCGACCTACCATAAGGTGCGAGAGTTAGAAGAGGAGGAAACTCAGAAAGGGGTTGCCAGAGACCATCAGATGCATACATTACCATGCGGTTAAGGAAGCTCTTGGTTCTCCAGAGCTAAAGGATGGGTATATTTATGGCGCCTGTCGAGGGAGAATTCGCAGAGGCCAGAGTCCTCGGACAGTTCAACAACAATAGTTCTATCGATCGCAGGTGCAAATGCAACTCGACAGAAAGAATGGGGTCACGATTCTCTGCGTTGGATGTGGGAATCAGGAAGGCTTGGGCGTGACGACACGTTTTTCGGTACACACTGAGTCGCCTAGCCTAGTGGCCTCGAGACGCTGATGCTCACGAAAGGAGAATTGTTGACGGTCTTTTAGCCGTTAGAATCTAGGCTACGGGCCTACGATTGAAAAGGAAGTAAGCAAAATGTAAGTTCAAACAAAATTCATATAGTCACATTCACAATCAGATCTAAAAAAGCAAGCTTACGCCTGCAAAAGGCCATATTCCTCAAGCAAATAAAAGCTCCTGCTCGCCAGTATTTCTCTCCGATTACCATCCTCCCATGAACGCCAAGTAAAAACCGAGAAAGGAAACACTTAATAGGCATACTTTAAGAAAGGATTCTTCTCTTCCTCCTTTTCTTCATCCTTCATAGGCACATCCTCGGGCTTAATGAGCCCTTTGCTCACGAGATAGCTCCCGAGGATAGCCCGATCACTATGAAGGCGGGAAACCATGTCCGGGATTGCCTGAAAGGCCGCGAGAGCGATTGAAAAGTCGTTGGGATCCCGCACATCGGGATCTCCAAGTGGGGAGCGCATCCAATTATTCTTCCAAGGGCCTACTCGGGCGGCTTTGTTGGCATCCATAGCCTTTGGCTGCCCGGCCGGGTTATCCTTCTGCTTCTTTACAGCGGTAGGGCCAGTTTGAGCAGTTCCAGGGACGCTAGTAGCAGGCGTAAGGTTGCCTTGACCGGTGGTGAGATCGGAAGGGTTAGAGGTCTTGACCTTCTCGGAAGCACGTCCACCGCGGCGCTTGGGATCGGTTCGTAGCTATATTTCCGGAGCGTAAGGAAAGGACACGGCAGCTCTTGAACGGGCCTTGCTGGTAACCACATTTTAGGCAAGCTTCGCCGATTGGGGCCAAGAAGCCGCTTTGCTGCACGTATGCGGCCCGACGCTGGCTCGAGTTATAGAGAGGCTTAGGTCCATCTCGCCAGTCAACATCCCGAACGGCCTTAGTAGCCAGGGTGGCCCGCTCCATCGCGGAGGCGAATTCAGACTGGAGGGGGTTGCCGCGGGAATCCAGGCCAGCGAGCTCTGCGAGAAGTCAGCGGATGTTAATCCAATGTGTACAGATTTCTACACTGACTGCTATCTTTATTCTCTTTCTGCTTAGCCTTGGGGTCGAAGTCGGCGCCACCATCCTCGTCATTCTCGTCATCCTCATATTTTTTTTCCTCGTCGTCTTCATCGTCCTCATAGTCGTTGTCGATTACCACGACCTTCCGCTTCTTGCCAGCGGCCTGGCGTGCCCTACTACCTCGGGCAACGGAGCTGGAAGCCTCAGCGAAGCCAGAAAGTAACGGCTCTCGGGCGTTCATTTCGTTCAAAGGGGTCTGGATGTCAGCGGCAAGGGAAGGGCGTGCAGGAGGGCCAGAGTCACCTAAAAAGAGGGTATGACCCCAGGAAGTGCGAGCCCAGGAGCGGATTCTTCTATCTCAGAATTCTCAGCTTCAGAGCGTGTAGATACTGTCGTTTATGTCATTCCGGGGCTTTGGGGGATGATTTCTTGACGGATTTTTACCGATACTGCAAGATGTAGCGCGAAAAGGTCAAGAAAGTTGTGTCAAGGAGAGTGGTGGCGATCAGTGGAGAGAAGTGAGCAAGAGGGGCAGAAGCTCCGTATTTGTGTTGTGAGGTTTGGTTGTTTCCTTATTTCGTGAGTCTGCCACCTTCCTTGAGGGTTGATCGCGGTTGCCCAAGATGGTGGTAACGCGACCGTGTCTCCTTCCAAGACTTAAAAGAGAATGAAGATACTAAATGACATCACGGATCTTTGTGGTCATGAGAGTTTTGAAGAAACAATGGGCGAGAATAAACAAAGAATTGAACTGCATGTTCGTCCTTGCGCTGGATGTCGAATTTCATCCAATTGCGATCAGGTTTATCTTTGCGAATCGGTCTGTTGGTACTAGTTCGGTGGCCACTGAGGCTCCGGTTTCGCCATGGAGACAACAAACTATTCTGCCATCCTGGTGGTCCTGGCTCTAGAGCCCAGCTCTACTATATTCCGTGCTAGTTGCCTATGAATACGGTATTGGCAGTCCCTTCTGGTATGGAGCTAGGATTGCTTCGCGTACCTTGGAACCATTGCAAAAGATGCGTGCACAGCACTATGCCGTTTTGGAAATCCTTCAAATTCAATCTAGTCATAGTTTTTATGACTATCGAATTGAGTCCACTTTTGATGATTCTTCTCGGGGACTCTTGCTCATCTAAGGTTTACTCTTTTGGGCTGTCGTGAACGACCTGTTCAATACCATCATGATTTAAGGGGTTCTGCTCGACTACCAAATTGCTTGTGAAAAGAAAAGACTATGTAGGGACAAAGATTGTTTAACGCATTCCCACGGAATCATACGGAGCCTTCTTTAAGCTCTGCTATATCAGCAGACCAATCTTTGAACTGCCGACAAGAAAGCTTGCTTTCAAACATGGCATCAATCTCCAGGGCAGTACGACCCTTCATTTCGGGAACAACAAGCCATGTCACGGCACAGGCCAGTAAGCACCATCCACCATAGACGAATCCAGTCTTTCCCTTGAGATCCCCTGCGTCTGTGTTGTAGATGTAAGGAAGAACAAGGTTGAAGACTACATTGGCAAGCATGTAGCACAAGACACCGACACCCTGTGTTTTCGCGCGGAGACGCAGATTGGAGGCTTCGCCAGCCACAGCGAAGGACGCTGGCCACGCTCCCATTCCACAAACTACAACAACTGCCATCATGCAAGCAGCGGTATACCTAAGCACGATCAGAGTTAGTGATGGATACTGGGATTTGGGCTGGGTTACTCACCATATAACGATATTACCGGACCAACACCCAGCGATTCCCATACTGGTCCACAGGGCAGTCGAAATACCCAACGTGATAAGCATGAGGCTTCGTCTGCCACAACGACTCATTAGCCAGACACCAACTCCATTCGCCAAGAGACCCAGCACAATGCCTAGGATAAGCACGATGATACTAGTGCTTGAAGCCATTCCAACCACCTGCATGAAATAGCTGGCACTGGCTAGAAGCGGGACACCAAAAAGACTAGGCACCACGAAAGCAAATGACACAATTGCAGTTCTGCGAAGGTTGATCCCCTTGAAGCAGTCGAGGTATGACAGCTCTTGAGCGAGTTGCTGCTCATGAGCAATTGAGACACGCATCTGAGCAAGGAGCGGTGTCACGTCAACGCGTGAGCCGTGCAAGGATTTCATCGCGCTATGGGCTTTATCGTACTCCCCCTTCCGAATCAAGTAGGACGGACTCTCGGGAAGGGCAATAGCCAAGATAAATGGCAGGACGGTGAAAATCCACTGGGTACCAAAAGGCACGAGATAGGCAGCCGTCGACTTCTTCTTCTCACACGCAAAAATCACGGCAGCTCCGATAAGCTCGCCCAGCAACATAAAAGTCGGTGAAAGTGCCATTGCAGAGCCGCGCAGGCTTGTCGGCACCGTCTCCGAGAGATACGTCTGAGCTCCCGCCATGGCTCCTCCAACTCCCCATCCCTGTATCAATCTTCCGACGAGGAAAGCGCCCCGACGAGAGTCCTTATCCGTCGGCAGATTGGAGCAGAACGCAATGGCAATGCCGACAGCACAGATGACACAGCTCCAAGCCAGCGACCAGCGACGGCCCAGGCGGTCCTGCATCCAGCCCGCTACTGCTGCACCAACCATGGAACCGATAGGCGCCATTGCACTCCATACGGATAACCAAGTGGACGGGATAATATAGGAGCCATTGTATAGTTCGCCGAATTCACGTTTGAAGTACGGGACGGCGGTGATGGTTCCGAGAATAACGGTGTCGTAGCCAGTGAGGAGGAATGCGAGGGCTAGACCGAAAGAGTAGGCCACGATCTTGGGGTATCGGCGGATCTCTTGGAACAACGGAGTCGAAGACTGCTGTGTCTGGTCAGGAATGGAGGAGCTGACGAGAGGCTGGGCCTTGTCTTGATCTGTCCTTGAAGGCTCTGGTACGGCCATCTTGGCCTTCGAAAATGTAATCAAATAATAAGAGGGGAGTCAAATAAAAGGTTTCAGTCCAGCATGGAAGGCATGTCTCTGTATTTATGTTCGCCTAGCTGACTCTCCTATCACAACATCTGCGCCACGAAGACGAGCAACATGGGTGGGTATGGGGTAAGTTGTTTAAAGTCCAATAGGAACTCGGTATCGGATATTTTTCTCCATTTCCTCGGATAACTCGTTACGCGTCTCAACAGTACAGTAGTAGTTCGAATTTTTTGAACAAGAGCCCTAGTGGAAGAAAAGGCATAGCCAGACACGCTCCAACATCCTCTGTTTCTGAAGATCTTTCGAACTGTCTTTTGAACTATCTCTCGGAAGGTCTTTTAAACTTTGTTTCGAACATTTGTTGAACTGGATTTCCGAATATCTTTTGAACTGTCTTTCTGAATATCTTTTGGACTATACGTCCGAATATCTTTTGATTTATCTTTCCCAATAGCCCAGGCATTATATCTCGGATTTTCTTTCCAAAATGTCCGATTAGATGATTTTTTTAGATTTTGTTGGGATTTTAAACTGATGAAATACCACTGTATGCCTCGAAATTCTTATGGAGAACGCGGGGAGGAAGGAGGAAGAATGGGTCGAACTATCGAGTGGAGCCTCGCGTCCTCTTGGTTGCCGAAGTGGCCAATCGCAAGCAATTCGCCCCTGGCAAACTTGGGAGGAAGCGGATGCTGATTGGCTCAATCGGCAACAAGATTAGTATCCATGCCTCGCCTGGAGTCGCGATGGCATCGAATGTTCTTTCGAACGTTGCCTATCGCAGAAGTAGGCGAATTGGGTCTTATAGGGCAATTCATTTGAGTACGTGTCCACTTCTGGAACCGAGGTCGAATCTTTCAAAATCGCCTGGTGATAGCAGGCTCGATATAAATAATTGAGGGGGGCTTCAGATGAATATATTTTTCCTATACATCCAACATTCGCAAGTATTCGCAAAGATTTGCCACCTACCAACAACATAATGGATCTTTCTCGGATTATCAAGCCCTGGAAACTGGATCCGCCGAAGACTTTGGTCTTTGTGAACGCGACTATCATCGACCCTGTTGAAGGACAATTAATTCCCAATGCCAACGTCAGGATATCCGGAGGGAAGATTGCCCAAATCGACACCACCGGCTCCGAGACAGTAAAGACGGGCGTCGACAGCTCCGATATCATCGATCTCAGTGGAAAGTACCTGTGTCCCGGCCTGATCGATTGTCATGTGCATATTGCCGTCACGCCTGGGGAAACCGACTTAAGGGCATACCAGGACATGACTGAACGAATCAGTCTGCTCCGACAGCCTCACGTGCTCAAGACCATGCTAGAGCGCGGATTCACCTCAGTCCGCGACTGCGGTGGTGCGAGCCTTGCCATGAAGGAGGCCATTGAAGAAGGAGTCGTACCAGGCCCTCGCCTTTTCATCGCTGGCTTTGCGCTCTCTCAGACCTCGGGCCACGGCCACATGCAAAATCGCCATTCCGATGAAATCTGCTGCGGCGGTTCAATCTCTGGTATTAGCAGAATTGTGGATGGACCCGCCGAGTGCTACAAGTTCGCACGCAACGAGCTTCGACAAGGTGCGGACTTTATCAAGATCATGGGTGGAGGCGGTGTCGCAAGCCCTACCGACCGCATTGAACACGTGCAGTTCTCAGAGGAGGAGATCAAAGCCATTGTGACTGTTGCACAAAACGCGGGCACGTATGTGACCAGCCACAGCTATACGCCCCGGGCCATTCAGCAGGCCATTAAGCTGGGTGTTCGCGGCATTGAACACGGCAACCTCATCGATTTGGAGACGGCCCATTTAATGGCTGAGAAGAAGGCATTCTTGACACCGACTCTCATTGCGCACGTCATGTCTAAGCAGATGAATTTCCTGCCAGCAGAGAGTGCGGCGAAGAACGACGAAGTTCTTGAAAAGGGACTCAGAGCGATGAAAATGGCTGTTGACGTTGGTGTCACCGTCTGCTTCGGCACTGATCTCCTGGGCCCGATGCACTTTGCTCAGAGCAAGGAGTTCTCCGTCCGTAGCAAGGTTCTGACCCCGATTCAAATTCTGCGAAGCGCTACTATCAATGCCGCTCGTCTTCTCATGCAGGAGGACCGACTCGGTCAGGTCCAGGAAGGCTTTGCCGCAGATCTGCTGATCCTGAACGCCAATCCATTGGAAGATATCACAATTCTGGACCGGAGTGAGCAAAGTATTCTGGGCGTTGTGAAGGATGGAAGAGTTATGACCTCCCGATGGGAGAAACTGCGAGCGGACGCTTGAGCCGGTCCGAAGGTTTCTGGTATTCAAGCCTAATTAATATGGAAATTATTTATCAAGAGAGCATTGGCATTTTGTTTTGCATAAGTATGTACATGTGCAAGATAAGAAGCCCAAGTTTCAAGTCTCCGTTGGACAAACTGGGATGAAATATTAATACAAGCTATGAGTTGACACCACCAATCAAAGAGAAGATTGGGAACATGGGGTGCCGTATAGTGTCATAATTACAGGAGGGACCGTATAGACGAGTGTGTCATCCGATGCATGGAAGGGAGTAATACATCGCGGGAGAATGATGGGGTTCTTCTCAATTGGGTCTCGACCTCGGTTCCATTCCTTGGAGATAATGGACAAAAGACAGAAACCGTTTAGTGGTTCTTCAAACCATCGTCTTCGGAATCAAAGGAACGGTGGGAGCTTCGGGAGCTGCGAGAGCTGCCAGCCAGTGGCAGACCAGAATCGCCAAACTCGCGGTAGGCGCGTTCCCGAGCAACGGACTTGTCCTTGCGGATAGTGAGACAGTTGATGCCGAGGAAGGTGGTAATACGGTTGATGACCAGCACAGCCCAGTGCATGTACACCACCAAGGCAAAGAGGAAGTACAGACGCAGGTACCAGACCTCCAGCGAGTGGCTTAGAGCCGGGAGGCCGATGCGGGGCAAGTTCGCCAAAATAGCACCGAAGACAAGAGGGCCCTGCAGCACGGTCCAGTAGGGGAAGGGCTGGCGCAGCAGATGGGCCAGAATGATCATGGTAGTCATACGACCGAACACGAAAGAGATAGTCCAGCAGAACAGGACCAGGTGGTTCTCGGTCAGCAGACAAGAGTAGGGAGAGAAGAGCCAGGCAACGGTGCAAAAAGTGAATGCGATCATGGGAACCCACTCTTTCAGCAATGGGGTGAAGGGCAGGCCTTGCTTCTTGCGTGCAGCATAGACATTGAGAACACAGCCGGGGAGGTGAGCCAGGAAGAATCCACCGAGCAGGATTGGCACCCAAAGGTCCTTGACCGAGTTGTTACCGAAAAGCTGCGGGATATCGATGAGATCAGTGATGGGGCGCGACCAGATTTCAGGTCCCCAAATTCCAGAGGCAAGCATAATGCTGATCGCAATGAGGAGTCCTTCAGTCGGACCATTGAAATAGCCAAGATACAAAGTGTGGGTGTGGAAAGTCTCCCAAGTCGAGAAATACATCGCGAGACAGGGCACCAGCGCGGTGTATGCACCAAGGTGAGAGGCACCAAAGCCCATGGCCGCAGTCTCCAATAGACTGGCCAGGGTGCAGTTCAGCGAATCAATGCCGTGACTGTGTGTGTGGTCTATTAGTAAGGCTTCCGTGGGTAGGCCGATGGCGGTACGAACTCAAACAACTCTCCCAGCCCGCTGGAAGTTCCAGTTCTCCGTGCCTGTTTACCATCGACATTGTCCAAGGTAGAATACCTGTACCTGGTCAGTTTTGAGTTGCCGATGCCGTGACCGGAAATTTCGACTCACATCCACACACCGATAGCGAAGCTAAAGTACAACCACCATGGACCCTATAGAATGAGACACTTAGCGGAGGCTCGGATTCTCGGAATTTGCGGGACCTTACCGGTCCGATCATATCAGGCATGAAAATTTCAATCAGGAAGACATTGAACACAATGAACAAGAAACCCAGAAGGGTCACCATGTTAGGGGCGATCCACATGGGCAAAAGCTCAACAAAGGCATTCCACTGATATCCATTTCCACAAGTCAGTTATCAATATCCGGTCATGAAAAATGCCGCTCAGGTGGGTTCGTACGTAGTGCTTGAGGATATATTGCGAAATAAAGGATTTGTCAACGCTCGAGTACTTGTATGATTTCAGGGGCATCAAGGCATCGTCGGAGAGCGAATCTTGGGTCTCTGTAGGCATGAACATGATGGATCAGTAAGTTATAATGAAGAAATGAGTTTACAAACAGTCTGCAATGTCAACCCACCTTGGACCATCCGCCAAATCGCGCTCATTTTGAGAATTGAGACCGCGTCGCGTGAGCACTGTCAGGGTCCCTTGAAGCGGGGTTGTAAACTATATCTTGACACCGCGGTAGGGAGGCAGACGTTCCCAAGACAGAAAGAAAGAAAAACAAGACTAGCAACGTCCTGGATATGACATTCGCATGAAAAGAAGTTGCAGTAAGCCAAAAATAGTGAAGCAAAGACAAGTTGTTGGAATGTTTCAAAAGAGGGATTTTCAGCCCGTAAATCACGTGCCGTCCTCCGCAAATGGAACGCGAGGTTACCATGCTCCACCGCTAAAGTTGACTCGGCCATCGCAGATCGTCTGCTTCGCCAAGTTGCGCCCGTGTCCACCTTTTTTCCGTGTTTGTTCCAGACCTTGAACCCTTCCAACCGTGACCTTCCACGACCTCTGCGCTCCCGGCCCCCAACTTGCCTCCGTCCCGGCCCCCGCTGAGGCCTTTCTCTCATTGTTGACCTGATCCGCCTAGCAGCTCATTCGCGCGCATTCGATCTCGATTCACGTCATCGCCGCCGCTACCCACTGGTCATTTCTTCCTCTTCGGCTAAATCGCGCGTCAACGTTGGATGGACATGACGTTTGGTGGTCCTCGCAGCGCCCTTTGCGCAGCTCGACAGTGAGGATCTTTCGCGATGCCGGGCGTCGTTGAGGTACCCGCGGTGCCGGCGGCGCCACCCTTCAGTCGTGATTTCAGTGTTGGTCAACAGAAGGTGGAGCTGGAGATTGACTTTTTGAACAAGAGTCTGAAAGGAAGCACTGAGATCACTCTTTATCCAAGCCGCGTTGACCTCCGGACGATTCACTTGAACTTTCGCCAGGGTGAAATTAAGCGCCTAACAGTCAACGGAAAAGCCGCGACGTTGAAATATGTCGACCCCTACGAAAACCTTCATCTGTATGGACCCCAGTACCACGAGCGCCTCACCCGAAAAGTCGATGGTCTTTTGAAAACCCCACCCGATCCACAGCTCGAGATCTCGATTCCGAAGAGCGTGCACATCAGAGAATTGGACTCGCGGTCTACGGAGGCTCGTGAGCGCATTGCGTTGCAGGGAGCTGGCGAAGATGTCGATGGACCGGCGGGAAGCAAAGCGCCAGAGAGCAACCTGCCTCAATTCTCAGCCGTTTCGGTCCATATTGAATTCGTGATTGATCGCGTTCGGGATGGCCTGCAGTTCGTCGGCGTGGATAGTGGAGACCGTCGGTATCCGCATGCTTTCACTACCAACTCCCCCGAATCAAGTGTTGGGTGCCCGCTGTTCCCTTGCGTGGATGACCCGTCGTCGCGTTGTGTCTGGGAGATCTCGATTTCGTGTCCCGCCTCGCTGGGTGATGTTTTCGACCGCAAAGCTATCAGTTCTAGTGCCCGATCAAAGGTCCAGAACCGATACATTTCCGCTGATGATGGAGGATTGGATATGTCTGTCGTATGCTCTGGTGAACTGACGGATGATATCACCGACCCCAAAGACTCGACCAGGAAGACGGTCTCGTTTGCATGCTACACCCCTCTCTCCGCCCAGCAGATTGGGTTTGCGGTTGGACCTTTCGAGTATGTCAACCTCGCAGACTTCCGCGAGAGTGACCAGGATGAACAGCTGGGACAAAATGCGATTCCTGTACATGCCTTCTGTCTTCCAGGCCGGGCCGACGAAGTGCAAAACACAGGCTTTCCCATGGCTCAGGCTATCGATTTTTTCTCTCTATCCTACGGTTCATACCCTTTCTCCAGTTACAAGATGTGCTTTGTGGACGATCTTGTGTCAGAGACCTTGCCCACTGCAGGAATGTCAATCTGCAGTAGTCATCTTCTCTTCCCGGCGGATATCATCGACCCCATGTACGACTCAACCCGTGCTCTTGTACATGCTCTGGCATGCCAGTGGAGTGGCATCAATATCATTCCCAATGAGCCCGCGGACACCTGGGTCACCGTCGGTGTAGCTTGGTTCGTGACCGATACATTCATGAAGAAGCTGTGCGGTAACAATGAATACCGATATCGACTCAAGCAGGCGTCTGACAGAATATGCGAGTTGGATTATGAGCGCCCTTCAATCTACGACATGGGCAACTTCTTAAAAATTGACCCGTCAGAATATCGATTCATTGCATTGAAGGCACCTTTGGTCCTCTTCATTCTTGATCGTCGTCTGACCAAGGCAAGTGGAAAGGCCACGATGTCCCGCATTATCTCTCGGCTCTTCCTCAACTCGCGTATGGGGGACATCCCTAACGGTGCAGTGACGTCGGCCATGTTTCAAAGGTTATGTGAACGATTCGGCCACGCTAAGTTGGATGTCTTCTTCCAGCAGTGGGTGTATGGGGCGGGGTGTCCACGCTTCCAAGCGACACAGCGATTCAACAAGAAGAAGCTGGTAGTTGAAATGATGATCAGACAAGTCCAGTCTGACCAGCCATCTGCACGGGACCTTGACAAAGATGCCTTCTTGCGTGATGTCAAAGAAGAGATTCGACATGTCTATGCAGGGCCCATCCAGCCTGTTTTTACCGGATCAATGACTATCCGAATCCACGAGGCTGACGGTACTCCATATGAGCACATTGTTGAGATCAAAGAGGGCGTCACAAAATTCGACATCCCATACAACACCAAATACAAGCGTCTCAAGCGCAACAAGAAGCAACGAGAGCGTGCGGTCGCGTCAGGGGATGCCGAAACACAAGAGGAAGTTCTCTTGTATTGTCTCGGTGATGTTCTCCAGACCGAAGAGGAGACCCAGGCCTGGCGCTTGGCAGACTGGACCAAAGAAGACGAAGAACGTATGGGGCAAGAGTCTTATGAGTGGATTCGCATGGATGCAGACTTCGAGTGGCTCTGCAGATTGTCCCTTGGCATGCCTGGCTATATGTATCTGTCGCAGCTTCAGCAAGACCGAGACGTCGTTGCCCAGCTCGAGTCACTTCAGTACATGGCAGCTCAACGAGAGCATCCATTGATTTCCACCATTTTTGTTCGAACGCTCATGGACAGCCGGTACTTCCACGGGATTCGTGTTACCGCAGCCAAGGCACTCATCAAGCACGCAAAGGACGAGGTGGATTGGATTGGATTGTATCATTTAGAGACAGCGTTCCAGGAGCTTTTTTGCTTGCCTGGTTCTCCGATGACACGCTCGAATGACTTTTCCGACCGGGCGGCCTACATTCTGCAACAGGTGATTCCCGATGCTATCTCGCAAGTGCGCGACAACGGCGGCAAGACCCCTCTGCGGGTAAAGCGTTTCCTCTTTGACAAGCTAAAGTTCAACGACAATTCGAATAATGAGGTAAGTCTAAGTCAAACCATTCTCGGCTTGTCCATGATCTTTGCTAAGTCAAGTTTGATTTAGTACTCGGACAACTTCTACGTAGCTTCTCTGATGCGCTCGCTTTGCCATGCGATGCTGGGGAGGACTACTGAGCCCCGACCCGAGGATGAATTGTCCCATTTCGATATGGAACGCGTCATCGAGGCTCAAGCCGAAGAACAGCTAGAAAAAGACGCCATCGCCGAGTTCGATCGTTATCGCCGAATGGACGAATGGTCCAGCTCATACCAAAATCTCTACGCTCGGGCAGCCTTGGAATGCCAGGTGCAACTGATGCAGGCCAACGTTCTGGAAGTTGATCTGATGCGCTTCATCCCTTACACTCGCTCTGGCACATACGACCTCCTTCGCATTCAGGCTTTTGAGTGCCTTGTCGATCTTGACATCGCTAAGTACCATGATCTCTTCCGGTGGCTCATTTTCACGATGACGAGTGACTCGTCGGCCTATGTTCGTCATCATTGCCAACGGCTCTTCGGGCGTGCATTGGCGCAGGTTGCTTTTGGCCAGGCCCCACAAACCGAACCAGTCCAGATGGGTGGTTTGATCATCGAGCAGGAATCATCCACCGAAGTCCGTCAGGCCGATCTTGCACGCCGACAGACGGTGCCTGGTGCTATCGAAGCTCTGAAGAAAGAGATGTCTGTAGAGCCATCTCTGCGTGACTATATGTGGGCCGCGTGTAACTCCACAACCATTGGAGTGCACGAGCTTTCTGAGCTCACCGACGTGTGCAGCATTCTATTTGATCCCGTCACGTCTAAAATCGCAAAATTGAAATACCCTCGATTCTGGAAAGTCCAGCACCTGGGCCACGGCCAACTTCGGTTCTACAAATCCAACCAAGTCCGTACCAGTCTGGGACCCACGAAAGACAGTGCCAAACGCAAGCGGGAGGAGCAAAGCATGCAGCCTCCTGCTCCGCGTATTACTTTCAAACAATCCAAGCCGAGTGTCACCCCGAGCACCCCATCCACTCCGGCAACCTTCCCCAAGATATCTATCCCAGCTAGCGTACCACGCGCAGCCCCGAGTACACCGATCTCCGCCACTCCATCTACTCCAGCAAGTGGCGGTGGGCTCAAACTGAAGCTCAAGTTTGGGCAGAAGAAATGATCCTCCCACATGTATTTGCACTTGCCTCCTTTTTATGTATTTTACCTTGACCTCTTATTTCTCATGTGGGCCCTATCTGCCTATCGATCATGGTGGAGGGAAGGGCATTTGAAGCATTGTTCTCAGGCGCGATGGACGGTGACGCATATGTTTCTCAAAGAATAATACCACTTTAGCTGTGTCTCATTTGTTATATTTTGAGTGCCATATTCCTAGCTAAACAAAGTTCTCTCGCTGGAGGTGCCCTTTATCATGGAGACGTTCGTCATGAAGGCTCTCAGAGACATCGAACTCTCGAAGGTAAGCCTGAACGCATTGGTAGAAAAACAAGCAGAAAAAAGTTTGATTGTTCCCGTGTGGTAAACCGGCCCAGAAACTCCGAGTATCATTATGGTCTTGGTTTCTCGCAGCCGCCGGTTCAAGCCGCGTGCCTTATTTGGACATTGCGAAAATCGAAATCGTAGGTTTTGCGTATTGCCGTACGCTTATTTGTCGTTTATCCGCTCAAGGGCCTCAAGCATGACGACCGAGTTTCCGCGAATGACCTATTGAAGAGGCTATCAGTAAGTGCTTGAAGAGTCTGAAAGGATCGATACATACCACCATGCCGATAGAAACCTTCTCGCCGCCAGACTTTTCTTCGAAAGCCTCGTCAAGGACAATGTTCATGAAGACCTGTAAATGCGAAGTTAGCCCTCCTGCTACTACTATTTCACATGCGCGTCCTGATGCCGCGTCGGAACCAAATAGGCCCAATTCGTACACACGACAGAGCACGTCAAATGCTGCGACTCGGTCACCGGGAACGCCAAGGGAATTTGAACGTACATCGTAGCCACGGAGGATACCAATGACTTTGCGGTTGCCGTTGAGTTGGCAGAAGACCCGCTTCTCCATGTACTGCAGAGCGCAATTTGGTTAGCGAGGGCTGTCAGAAGGATGACACGACTGGTAATATTGCGACCCACCTTCTTCAATTCTGGCTGAGCTTGAGGCATCTTGGGCAAGCTGATGTCTGTTTTGCGGTTCGGCAGAGTTCGAAGATCGCGGTTGCTTTGGGGGTTGAGCGTTCGGAGAAAGGATGTTCCCGATAGGAGCGATAAGAGCTCGAGCAGCTTGCATTAACTTCGCCTTTCTGCAACACAGTGGGGTGAAACTTTTCTCTTTACCTTTCAATTCCTCACAGCAGAAAATCGATGAGTTCCCAGTTTGCGAATCGCAGGAAGCCCCGAAAGGTCGGTGGAGATGACTCGGAAGAGGAAGATGGCAGTGTTGCATCAGGTGCGTCTACAATTCCTGACTTAGTTGCCCTGCGAGCACAACTTTGTCCGGACCAAAAGAACACTAACTTGAAGGCTTACAGGACCTGTTGTCAAGCGACCGATTAAGTCAAAGGCGAAACCCAAATCCAAATTAAACCTCTCATTCGGCCCGGAAGAAACGTCCATGACCGAGGATGGAGGGCAGGAAAGCGAGGTCGTCATCCCCAAAAGACATGGCCTAGGCCGAAAGGTCATGGAAAGGAGCACGTTTCAGCGAAATCTGATACCCTCTGGAGGACATGATACACTTTCTGCGCGAGTTGGTCATGATCGAGATCGACCGAGCTACAGCCGCGAATATCTGAAAGAGCTCCAGGACTCGACACCTTCGACACCAAAAGCCAGCACTGACGACGAGAAGGACAGAACGGTTGATGTTTCCGCCAAGTTTGGAGAAATAATGACCGTTTCCGGCTCATCGGCTATTCCCAGCGAAGCAGAAATTCGTGAAAAAAAGGCCCGGCGCGCACGGTTGGCATTGGAACACGGCGCCGCTAAAGAGGACGATTTCATATCCCTTGAGGACAACATCGGTAGCGACGACGATTGGGACGCGATAGCACGAGGGGAAAAGATACCAGAGAAAGAAACGGTCACCCGGCTGGTTCGCGATGATGAGGACTTCGCTGAAGGATTCGATGAGTATGTGGAAGACGGAAAAATTTCGCTCGGTCGAGAAGCGGAGCGTGAACAACAGCGCAAGCAGCGCGAGACGATGCGCGAGCTCATCGAAGATGCCGAAGCGCTCTCCGACAATGAAGATTCGGATATTGAAGAGAAAGCGGCATATGAGGCCACCCAGACGAAAGCTGCGATCGGAAGTGGCCCGGGCGATAGCATTGACAGGCCTCGCACACCCCCCAAGATGACTTCATTGCCCAAATTAGCTAGTAGTCTCGAAAGACTGCGCACGACTCTTGCATCGATGGAGACGTCTAAGACGCAGATGATCAGCCGAATGGAAGACTTGCGTAAGGAAAAGGAAGAGATTGCCAATCGCGAAGTGGAGATCCAGGCTCTAATCAAAGAAGCGGGTGACAACTATGAGCGACTCAAGAAGGAAGCGGGCATTGACTCTACCGCCAATGCATCGGAAGGTGCGCTTGTGAAGCGTGGCCTCGAAAGCATTGGTGCTCCCATGGCAGCATCGTCCGATTCCAGCTCCGCAGAGCCATGATGCGTTGTTCCTTCCTTGCGATGTGCTATAGCGTCGACACTGTTCTATATCAAACATCCGGACGGATGTTTCTCTTGTGGAGTCCACGCTTGTTCTTTTGATACCCCATGGTCTTTACTTTTCTGTTTTATTAAAACCCAATACATTATTCAACATGTTGTTGCAGCCTCGTTTCATTTCCATCTTCCGCCAGAGCTATAGAGACTCGCTTCTGGAGAAGTACGCGCCGTAAGTCGATTGCAGCAATTTTCGGCTCGGAGCGGTCTGACATCTGTCAAGTACACAGTATCATGGCTTGCCTTGGATTGCTAGCCCTCTCAGTCAAACGGGAGACGGTCATCATTTCTATCGGCATTCGGACGCAACTCCCATCGAGCTGTTTTTTGACCTTTTTTTCGCTGCCAATCTCTCAACATTCACCGCCACACATCAGATCAACAACGTCCATGGTAATGCCCATCTTTCCGTGCTGTCTCAAGACCCATGCTGATTGACCCTCAGCTTTGTGTGCGTACATAGGATTCCTTGGTGTCATCTGGTTCACTTGGCTCCAGGTCACTCTATTCGATGTCCGCTTTGCCCGAGACTCTGTCTTTGAACGAGTATGCAAGGCGATCCAGCTCGCTGCAATGGTCGGCTTCGCGTCGGCGGGATCGAGGTTTAGCACATCCGTTCGAGAGGAAAATGCCTGGGCGTTCCAGTCTCTTACACTAATCTTGGCCGGAAGTCGGGCATTGCTGGCCATCCAATACACTGTCAACATCGTCTTTCTCCATCGGTCTATGAAATCTGCTGCCCGGGGTGTTTCCTACACTGCACTGGTCTTCTGGGTGACAACGCTCTTTTATCTAGTGGTACTTTTGTCCCTGTACCCCTCCGCACACTCTGGGAGTCAGGAGCATGCTAATCCATATGCCAGATGTATCTGGCTTTCTCGGGAAGGAATGGGCTTCGTCCTCGGATCTGGTCCGTTTGGTTTGTCCTTTTCGGCGTTGAAATGTGGACGGTGACGGGGCTCTCCTTGATGTACCGGGATATCGGGTTCAGAGATACCCACCTCAATACGCGGATGGGCCTACTTACGCTGATCATCATCGGAGAGGGTGTCATTTCTATCACTCGGATCGTCAACAAGACGGTACGGCCCGGTGGATGGACAAAGTGGTCGTTTGTTCATATATTGGGAGTTACAACCAATGTGGTGAGTTTTGCATCAGGCATGTGTTCTGGATTGGCCGATGACTGATTATAGAAAGTACCTTGTCTGGCAGGTTTACTTCGATGTATCACCTCGTCACCAGCTCGGAAAATTCAAGCAGCAGTTATGGGCACAGTTGCACTTTCCCTTTCATGTGGTGCTGATTTTACTCCTTGAAGGATCACAGATTCTTGCACTTACGCTAGATGTGACCCTGAAGCTGAAGTATCTGAGGGAGACACTTCTATTTGTTTGCGAAGCCCCACGTCCCAGCATAGCTAGAGCGGTGGCGCTTATTCGAAGCACGATTGATGATATGGAGATCCCGTTCAGCCGGGGAGCTACACAAGAATTGGCCGCGATCTCAAGTCTCCTGGAAGCTCTGGCTCTACAGCCCCTGTGTCCCGATCGTGGAACCTTTGACTATGAGTATACAGCAGACTTGTTCAATGATCTCACCGGGAATGTAACGGCAGCTCTGTTCTCGAGCATGGAGATCTTACCCAGGAAAAAGGTCGACATAAGTCTCCTCACAAACCAACAGTTGCTCGAGATGTACATGAAGCTGCTAGCCTTCGTGTACATTTATTTCTTTGTGGTGGCCAGTATTTGCATGGGCCTCCTTGCAGCCTTCCAAGTGCTCTCCCATCGACATGAAATTCATTTTCATCGGAACGTCTCGATGACCGTGCGCATATTTCTTGCCATATCTTTAGCCAGCCTTGTTTCATTCGCAAGCTACTTCCCATTGGCCTATTCATTCATGACCTCGCCCATTATCCTGTACGCATTCACTTTGACCCTTTTGTTTGGTTAGTTTCCCTTCCCCGCGTCCGTTGTTGACTATAAAATCTGATGGGCCCCAGTACTCCTATTTGACCGACTTTTGGACCATTTTGCATCTGGGAGAGATGCAGCTGGCCGTCGGCACGGGGAAAGCGGCGCCGAGCTTGAGTGTCCTGCCACTACACCGGGGATGGTGGAAATGGATCCGATTCCTGTTGGAAAGATCAGTCCAAACGAGTCTGTCTCGCGATCGATGACGGAGAGGGAGAGCATTCGACGCTCTGGAGAGCTGGTGGCGATGCAGGTCTAGCCGGGTTGGCCATTCCCCACCCTCCCATAATTAAGTGGTGATGCAAGTCATGTCGGAGAGCTCTGGATATCCTGTATGTGTTCATCATGAGGGGATCCACTGATTTTGAAAGCGCTAAGTATTGATAAGAATCCATTACATTGGAAGGGGATGATTCTCCATTTGTGTATAAGAATAAACATGATTCGAGCTCTAGTGTCTTGTTCCATCTAATTCGCAGCTCTCTTTTGCTGACATGAACAGTGATCTGAATACCAGTGGGGACAAGGAGCCGTTGACTTTTGAAGCCTTGAATTGGCGTACCATGGGATTGGAGGTCTATGATGCAAAGTATGCAGAAGGCCATTGCCGAGAAATTTGACAAGTGGAGGTCATCAGTTCGCCGTAAGACTCACCACTTACCTCCACCAATTATTTCTTGGGTCTGTGTCACCTTCGACTAGTAAATAAGGGTCTCAAATTTGATATTGATACTAAAAGCTTGAATATCCTCCCATACGAATCAAAAGCACAGTATCAATTTAATTTAACCTTTATTAATTCATCATTCGTTCTTTCGCATGTATCCGTTTTCTCGTCCACCCAAAACATACCCAGCCACCTAGCAAGATGCCTTGCCTTCCACGGAACTACTTTGCTTGAGTAATTCAGCTTTGTCTCAGATGAGGAAAAATGGATAGCCAAGGGCCAGCAGCAAATGGAGAAGAATAGCGCACTCCTGATCTGCATATGCGGTCGAAACTCTCATCTCAAACTCCAATTCAGTCACGGTGGTTAAAGTTTAGAAACTCACATTTCTTGCATCAGCTAAATGGCAAGATCTAAGCTGACTCGGTTACTGAGAGTCCAAAGATTACTCAGTTTGAAAATATCTCCGAATAGGTATGCTAAGCTGTCATCCCTTGGGCAGGATGTGGACCTTGACCGTTGGGCGTTCGCATCGACCTGGACCGGTTCTCTATTATGCCGGTTCCAACGCCACCTAGACAATCCCAAGTTCACTTAAAAGAAGCTTCTTTGAAACAGGGCCAATCGCTGGATGTGTTAGTCCGGGGTCGAGGTAGGTCTACTAGAGATCTGTGCGGGCAAATCGTGGGACCTACCCAGCGCTTCACCTGTCGTCGGCCCACGAACTTACTTACCAGAGACAGTAACCACCCAGCACCAAACTTTGCATAACTATAGAGGGTTACATATTATCAAAGTTCTTCCTACCTATTAGATGCATGACTAGGTATTATGGTATAATCCAGCTCTAAACTATTCGCTAAATGGCATCCCCGGAATAGACATGTCACTTCCGGCTCCAGAAATTCCTTTGCGGGTCCCGGCTGGAGATTAGACACCGGATGACCCCTATCTTCATTGCTTTTTTATGGATGACCCTGGTTGGCTTCATTCCGCCTCTACTGATTGGATCGGGTGGCGGAGAGCTTCTCCAGCGAGCCCTATGCGGCCCTCCGTGCAAAATGGGACATTTTCAAATCACCCAGACCTGTGTCAAGACTGAACCTGGAGGCGAACTCTATCAAATGAGTTCCTCATAACTGATATTAATAGCTGACAGTCGATCGTGGTCTGGGTTGATCTGGTTCAGGGCTAGGTGCTTAGGTGTGGGCTCGGGCTGTCACAGTCAAACTGAAGATTAGACCCATTTAGTAATCCAGTGATCCATGTACAAGAAATACAAAGCAGATGTTGCAAGATAGAAAACACTTCCGACGAGTCTCAAAATTCAGACTTGAGAGCAGGTATAAACAGTAGACAAGAGCTCGACGAGACCTTTCATGCCAACCCCGTCAAAGATAAAATCCGCTCCCGACCCCCAGCTCGTCTAGTTGTCTCAGTACACCTCAAACACTGACACAATTTCATTCCGAGATCGAGGGCCGGACAAAACATCGCACCATCATAAAGGACATATCTGAAACGAGCGGCAAGTGGATCACCCCAGCATTGGATCTGAACGTCTCGGGGATTTTCGTCCTGGCTAGGATCGAGAGTCATTTCGGCAGCCAGTATACTTGTTATCCACCTCTGCTCTGCCGGATCTTGATTGTCCACAACGGTCTCGGCCCCAGAGAATTTCCAACGGATTTTTCTAGACGGGCCGCACTCCGGGGATGAAACGAGCTTACAGCAATATCAAGTCCAGGGATGTCACTTCACGCATTGATGAATAGCATAAAGGGGAATCTGATACAGTATTAAAGCTGAGACAGGCCAGCATTACTGTTCATACCATATCTAAGCTTTTCATGCAAACTTTTCATTTCATTCAAAGCCACCAGGTTTCAAGCAGCATCCAGGGCCCCATGCAGGTCATAGCCACCGTCTTACATACCGACCAAGCTCAACATACGAATTGCCGATAGATCTGAGACAGCATTGCATTCAACGGCCTAGCCGCTGCTCCAAGGAACCCATCATCCAGGATCTGAACCTGCGGTGAGAACCTTGTATGCCCAGATTGCCACACTTGTGATGTTCAATGTCTGCAAGCAATATATGCACCTGATGACCTAGGTTTGAGAAGTTCATGAGCAAAGTGAGTAAATTGGCGGTATGAAGTCCGAAGAATATCAAAGCGAAGACAGATCAAGCTTATATGGACGTTATCTGTGCAGGTGTTCTCATTTTCCTCGCTGCGCAGCCGTTGCGCACTGACAATTCTGCGTCTAGAGACATGAAAAGAGGGCCCACGGATCAACGGTAATCTACACGCCGCGACAACCCGTGTACAACCAAGTTCTACAACAATCCAGCAATTGCGGTGAACCAAGAAGAGACTTTTGGGCCGGCTCTCGTGCCTCCAGACAATTCCAGCCACACGCTTGAACATGAATGATGCGCTTCTCAATTCTGGGGTTCCGGAGCCATGGCCTGCCCAGCAAAAAGAGACCTCTGCGCTGGATTTTGGTCTTGGCTCTGAAGAGCACTTATCTCATCTTAATATAGACGAGTTTTTCATTTTTCAAGACTCCTCGATCCAGCCTGCTGGAAATTGCAATCCTACTATCAGCTTCGCAACTCGTCAGAACCACCATCAGCTTCCTCGTCAACAAAGTAAACCACCTTCGCAAAAGCATATCATGGACACCAATAAGCGACTCATTCCATCACCCAAAACTGATCCCAATATGAGCTCCATGCATGCGGCTATGTGTCATCGCCATGGCAGGAAGGAAAATTCCACCCATCAGGGAACTTCCATAATTACAACATCCTTTCAAAACCAAATTACTTCGAATGTATACCATTCTACTGCTTCCCCCATGAAAGCAACACTTTCAAGCAGCGGACTATCAGCGAGTGGTCAATTCGCAGCTGTTCAATTTGAGCCATCCAAAGCTTCACTCGTCAGTACGAAAATGGACGGGTCTTACGAGCCATTTCACTCAATGGCGGGAATGGAACTCAACTGGCCCTCTAAGACACCTCCGTCTTTTGGCTCTGTGACAGAGAGCTCACCATCGCTTTCGTCCTCATTTGAATTCGTGGATCTCCCGAGAGAAGATCGTATTCCATGTGGACTGCCGCTACCAGAAAGTACTTTCATGGGCCCTCTGCCAGACAAGGATATCGCTGCGGAGGCCAGTGTTGCACCGCTCATTGCAGATCATCTATCAGGAAGCAGCAACATCGACACTTCATTTCAGTATCCAATGGGCACGGAGACTGAGTCTTGGCCTCCCCAATATTACCCAGACAGACTAGCATGGCCAGCTTTCACAACGCTGCCATCCTGCTCATGGCCAATGCCCGATGATTTAGGAATCAGCAGCCCCGAGACTCAGTCTATAGCTCCCCACCACTTCTCCTCTAACAATGTTTTACCATCGCACAACAATCTTGACAACATCCCTGCAGCACGGCCAGATCAACCAGAATACCCCGCAGTCACATCCCTAGGAATGGGGACCTGCCAGCCCCAGCCTACCAACATACTACAAACTTACACTGGTCTACCAGCTATGCCTGATTGCACCGTATCATTCCCTACTCTCGACCTGTCAGCTCCCTATCCAAACCCCCCACAACCCCAAAACGAGAACCACGCCATAGAAGCGAGTCTACACTACAGCGACGCTCGCAACGTACTACTCATTGAGTGGAAGCGAGCCGGACTATCCTACAAAGATATCAAACGCATGGGTGGCTTTAAGGAAGCTGAATCGACTTTACGCGGACGGTTCCGAACCCTCACCAAGGCTAAAGAGCATCGTGTGCGAAAACCCAAGTGGCTCAAGAGCGATGTAAGTATTCCCCGAGCGAGAGGCAGCCCAATCGTGTAGATAACAAGAATTAACTGCTAATTTGTTTTCTCTCACAATGCAGATTCAACTCCTCTGCGAAGCAGTGGCTCAATGTGCGAGCCCGGCTTCCCCGTCTGGTTCCAGATATACATCCCTCACGCAAGCGAACATGAACTTGACAATGACTGGACAGCCACCCAAGGTATCGTGGAAGAAGGTGGCGCAGTATATTTGGAGTCACGGAGGATCTTATCAATTTGGGAATGCGACTTGTAAGAAGAAATGGTGTGACATTCACGGGATCAAGATATGAGGAGCGAAATTTGCAATATTCCTCCGAGGGCTGGGGCGTCTCTGGATTTTGTTATCAGTGTTGTGTCTCGAAGGAAGCTCTTTCCATCAGCAAGGATTTACGTGACTGGGGTGTTATACTTCTCATCTAGGCGTTGATCTTGGAAGGCGTTGGGATGAGCTGTACCCTTCAGAGTCGTACTATAGACCGAATGTGTCCTTTTGAAGACTTTTAAAGGGAAACTCTTCGAACTTTAACTTCAACGTCTCCCCGGCCATATCGACGAGCTCATTGGTATTGATTAACTTGTAAGTTGTCCAACTCTCTTTGCATATACTTGAAGATCCAAGAGGGATAGAGCCGTCGAATGTCCAGCTCTCTTATCACATATATCATAAGCAATCAAGAGGTTTCCTTCGCAGAGCCAATGTGTTTCTTACATTGTAACCCTTACTTTCGCAAAATGCGCATTGAAAACCAAGATTCTAGTGTGGCCCTTCACTCATTACACCCAGCACCATCAATATCGGATATAAAACTTCATTATTGCTCATTCTTTAGAACTCGGTCAAGGCACAGGAGGTGTGTTAGTCCAGTGTCTCCAATCCATCCGGTAGAAACTAGGATCATCAAGCCTCTCTGCCTGTCGCTGCTGGGTATAGTCAACCAGATTCGTTCTCTCTGGAAGGTCTTCAAAAGAAAGCTTTTTTCCAAAATAGCGACAGCTTCCGACAATTCCAATTGAGTAGCGAGCTGAAGATCCCGGCAATCTGGCTGAACACCATTATCTAGCAGGAGCTTCACAATAGAGAGATTTTTATATCCGATCGCATACCCGATCGTAGAACGATCGCCAAATTCATAGAATGCGCAGGATAGGTGTGGACTCGCCCCATTCTGAATCAAAATTTCAACCATACTCAGATGACTGTGGTAGATGGCGCGGAATAGTGCCGCGTGACCATATACGGCGATCTCTGCGCCGACATCGATCAGATGTTGAAGAGAAATGATATTATTAACAATAGCAAGCTTTTCCAGGATCCAAGTAGAGTCTGGGCGAATATAATGTCTCAGAAGCTGTAGGAGAGAGTTGTCCTTTCCCTCGGCGGCGATATCGAACATGAGACGTTGGCGTTTGGGGGGGGGCGGTCTCGCCCCCTTCTGAAGAAGACATTCAATGATCGGTTCGGTTCCTAGTCGAAGGGCAAAATGCAGAAGGCTACCGGTATTGACGCTGCTCAAACGACGGAATGAGGGCTGATCCGTCATTATCAACTAGAAGACATCTTGAGTCTGAGTTTTAATTGCCCATCTCATTGCGTTGCTCAGTTGGCGTTGAGAACACATCTGGTCTGGTCGAGTTTCGGAAAGCAATACCTTCAAGACCGCTAGATGGGGGACTTAATCGTGCGGCTGAGACGAGGAGATTAGGATTAGATTCGTCGGGGCTGACGACCACGGAGTGACATCCAAACAAAGCTATATTGGCACCGGCGTCCAGGAATTTCCTGGTAAGGGAACAATTGCCCATTGTGATTGCCCATGCTAGCCCAGACGCGTTATGATGTTGAACATTGTACTCGTACAGGTACGTGTTGAAGAGACGATATAATCTGCAGTCGGTTTGTGAGAGCCGTAATGTCTTTCTGACTGGAAAGTGACTGAGCGACCAGAAGAAGCATTTCGTTTGGCATCTCAGAAAAGGTCTCCATGGCTATATTATCTTAGAACATACAGCAACTGGTCGTGGCAAGTGGCTGCGAGCAAGAACCAGGTTAGAAGGAGTGACAGATAAATCCTCTCAGCCTCAACCCCGTGCCTGGTGCGACCAGAACCTAGTCAAATTGGATATAGTCCGTCAGATTTGCCCCATCTTCTTGAACACTAGAGAAAGAGTGTCTATTCATTTTGCCCTGGTTATAAGTCCACTCTCTTCGCTTCCATAGACTTATGTGTTTAATTGACTGGCCTGCTTCAATAAACATAGAATATTGTGTACCATCGTAGGAGATTTCTATTCCAACAGGTGTCGATTTATCTCGAGATTACCCATCATTACCAGTAGGCATGGTGTGACAGACCCATGGCACTAGAAGAGACATTCATGGCACCATGAAGCTAAGCCTAATTAGAAATGTGCCTCCCTGGCGAGTACAAAATAGTACAATGATACTAAGATTACCTACGAGCAGCGGTCATGTATAGAGGTAAACAGTGGAGTTCCATACTAAACTTCTATAGTATCAATTGAAATGAGAGATCTTACTAACCGCTCAATAGAGAATTGGAAAAACATCCCAAAGATCTTTAGACATAAATCGAGTTGAAGCGTACCTAGATAGACCTTTCTCTTTTGCTCTTAATTCAAAACCTTCAACTATCTCTAGTTAGTCCTCGGGGTTCTTTCCTCACCAACCTTTCTTCCGAGTTTCGTCCGCACTCCGAGGTTCCCCGGCCGCAGAATGGGAACAGCACTCTCCCAACCCCAGGGGAGGAGAATATGGTCTGTTTCCGTTGCGGAAAGACAGGCCACCGGGCATCGAACTGTGGGGAGACCCCTCTGCCGCATAAGGAGCAGGCTCGGAGCCGTCAGGCAGCTGCCCTTCGCAGTGCAGCCCGGTTCGACCAGAATGCCACCCGTCGAGACCCTCCATTGTCCCAACACTCCGGAGACCGTGGACACTGACGATTCCGGGTCTGATGAGGTCGATGAAGATGACCTGGAAGGGGACTTGAGCGCAGTGATCCGGGAGGCGGAGGAAGAACAATACCTCGCCGACAATTCATCTTCGGAAAACTAGGAGCGCCCGCTCTGGGGACCCTGACCCCAGCGGGCGAGCATGACTGTCAATTATCAACCCACCAGGTATACCTTACTGATATCACTGCGCCGACATCATTACAGTCATTCACTACACTTACTTTCCCACATTCAGTTCAACGACTTCTTCACTCCTGTACATGCATAAAGGCTTATTAAGGATTATATAGCTATGGGATGAGCCATATACTCCCAAGGTACGTTTTTTGATTAGGTTTAAACATGGTTATGACATCATATTTATAGGCTACTGTAAGAGAGCTACCATCGCCATCGGCAAAGCTACAGTAAAGCGTACACATAATGTCCCTAAATCGTTGCTGAGAGGACCTATCACGCGAAATATCTTGATCCCGAGACCGAAAATGCTTGACTCTGGTCCATTTGCACCATAGATCTCTCTCGACATGATTCTTATCATGGATCCCGACTAGTGAAAGCCCGTCATATGTACGTCTTCAATAAACAATACAATCAAGAATCAATTCTTCAATAATACAAACACCATGAATGCCCACCCCCGCATACAATATACAATCCCCCCTTACCCCACTCTAAATCTTCCTACAATGACGCATGCCCCGTCCAAGGTATACCAACATCCCTCAACAACCTCCCCAAAACCTCCGGCTGGGCCTTCAAAACATCCCACTCCCCCTCGGCCTTAACCATCAGCGTCCCTGCAAGAATAGTCCCATTCAACGAAACAACCCCGGGGTCCGCAATATCCCCCGCCGCGGCAATATCTACCGGTACACGAGCCGTTTCCGCACGTCGCGGGGCAATCATCATCGTCTCGAGGGTCATCGCGAGATTATAACTGATAGCGGAAGGCCCATGGGTCGTGATGGACGGGAGGCCGTCGCGCTGTTCTCGGCCCTGCACTGCGCCGAGGGCGGCGCGGTAAAGGGCGATGTAGATGGCGTGGAGGGTTTCTGGGGTTGGGTTCTTCGGGAGGGGGAGGGCGAAGTGTGTGAATGGGAGGGAGGGGTGGGATTGGAAGGATTGGGACGTGTGCGGTTGTGTTGTGAGGAGGTCAATGAGGGGAGTCCACGATTCGGTGCCCGGTTGGTGCATTGCCTCTACAGGGAGGAATTGGAGGTGGCGGTGTGGTTGGCTGGCGCCGCTGTCTTCGCCGGAATTGAAGAAGGCGAAGAGGCGGTTGGGGTTGTCATTAGTCGAAGTGGTAGAAGAGCCGTCGGTCCAGGAGCGGAGGCATTCGTACGTTGCTTCGAGGTCGGCGGTTTCGAGGAGGTCTGTTTGTGCTTTCCAGGTCTTTGTGGCTAGGATGAAGTGGTTCGGTATCACGGGGAATTTGTTCAGGACGAGGGCGTGGGTCGGATTTTGTGGGGGGAAGCTTGCGAGGAGAAGATCCGGGGAAGGGTTCTCGAAGGGGTCAACTTTGGGAGGTTTAGGGCCTGAAGATACGGATTTCTTGAGATCTTGAGGCTTCATAGCAAGAGCAGGGCAATAGCGGAGTTGGTACTAGATGTGTAACTGTGTGTAAGAGACCCTGGTTCCGGAGACTCGGGGAGCAAACATACCGGGATCCCTGCTGTAGTGATTATTGACAAGTGGGTAGACGAGAATATAAGATGCCCGCCATCTCTGGCAGCGGTGAACCGTCGCGCGACCAGCGCGGACAGGTTCTCGGAGAGTCCTAATTGCATGGCTGATGATGTGATATTGGAATTGGAGGAGTCGAGGTTGGGGTGGATATGCGGGGAGCAAGCGATAACCAAGGCGGTGATGGATGGCACAGCGGTTGTGCCGGATAAAATATCCTAACGAACGAGGAGACGCTGCGTCGAAACTATAGATCGAATTTTAGAATTACACTTTACTTTCAGGATGGAAGCAGTATCATCATGAGCATATTCTCATTAAATAAAAGTATTGGGTTTGAATATTTTCAGTCGTCCCGCCCATCATCACCTGTACCAGCCAGGATTGGGTCGGTAGCAGTCAAGGCAATCAAAGTATAAAGAAGAAGGGCTCGATAACCCAACAATGAAACCAGTCAAAAATCGAAAACCTCAAACATCATATCGAACACATCGAAGCCAAAGGTATCACTGGTAATCCGTATTCAGACAAATTGCTCGTTCAGACGCCGCTCGCTGGTATACGGAAACATGAGACATCAAGAGAAAAGAAAAGAACACAAGGAAAAGGAGGGAGGAGAGGGGAGAATGGGAAGATGAGAGGAGTAGGAGAAAGAGGGGGGGGAGGAAATGGAATCAGCTCGCTCAAGCCATGAGTTCATTCAAAGAAATCTCATCATCTTGCGGCTGGCACATATCTGGTAGCAACATCGCAGGTTGGCCCATGAGGTGGGAGACGGGACCCTCAATCCAAGGGCCGCGCTCTGCCTCATTTGCGCTGTGTACACCTTCGACACGCTTCATAGTCTCGACGTCGAGATCCGTGACATAGGCATCACGATGAGTTCCATCGCCAGCCCCACCGGGAAGACGCAGACGGACCTCAAATTCATTATTGAGCACCATCTCGTCCTTCCACAAGCGGCGCTGACCATCAAACACACACAGCACACGCTTCTTAGTCTTCATGCTGGAGTTTGGGCAGCCCCAAGACTGCGGGTAATTACCGCGGTTATTGCGACGGCGAGTAGCAACGGCACGACCGCCGTTCTTGGCTGTCGACCCGGCACCGGATTTCGAGATGGCATTGGCAGAGCCAATAATGGGCCTTGAGGAGTGACCGGAGGCTTTTGTGGACTTGGGAGCGCCGCGACCGGCGCGCCAAGAGGAGGGGTCGTGGGAATCGTCATCGTCATGAGAGTCATTATCGTCAAGGGCGTCAACGGGGCCAGCCACGTCCAACAATTGGTGTTTTTCCATGGTTTTTTGCACCTCCTCGTCAGCAGCGACTTCGGCCAGCCGCTGTTGGTTAATCGCCTCGGAAGGCTCTTCCTGCTGCACCACGCGCAGCACACAGTCGTCCAAATGCTCATAGAAGTCCTGGGCGTTGCTGAAAGTGGCCGAGCAAGTCGAGCACTTGCCCGTGGCATCGCTGCCGTAGTTCATACCCTTCTGAGTCGAGCCGGTGGGACTGCGCTTACGGCAGTTGGGAGGGGTTTGCTCCACACCGTGCACCGAGGTGAGATGGCGCTTGAAGACGTCGGCGCGATTAAAGCTCTTCTCGGCGGGGGAGCCAGAGCCAGGGCAGAAGCCGCACACCATCGTACCCTTGTAGTGGGTCAATGTGTGGCGGTTCTTGTCGTATTTGCGGGCGAAGCCCTTGGTGTGATATTCGCAGGTCGTGATCGGGCACTTCTCTGGCCGTTCGGATTGGTGGGTGAGCATGTGTGCCTTGAGGTCCTTGAAGACGCGACCACAGTCTGGCTGTGGGCAACGACCCTTTTGGTGAACCTCGTCGTCGGCTTCAATGCTGCTGAGCGCGGGGCTCCGGTGGGAGTGGCGGGAGTGGATAGAGGAGATGGATGACCGGCGGTCGTAGACCGAGACCGGTCGTGAGTGGGAGGTTCCCGGCACCATGAGTGGAGATGCCCGTTGCGGCTCTAGGTTGTCGCTATAGGGCACGGGAGAGGCGACGGGAGAATGGGGAGCAAAGTTAATAGGCGCGGTAGGATAGACATATGATGATTGATCGGGATAGGAGATGGTAGGAGTGAAGCCAGGGCCGGATTGAACTGGCTGGATAAGAGAAGGGTCTGTACATTTCGTTAGTTCGTTTATCCCTATGGTCGAGGAGCGATCCTGAAATTGTGCAAAATCCCAAATTGCTCGATTGTGATTAAACCTACCGACAAAGGTGTCTGGGAACTTTTCATGGTAGAGCCCGTCCATATCGACCTGGCCGCCCATGTGGCTATAATCATTGGCAAACAGATCGTTCATGACGGCGGCAGGTAGACCGAGGCCGTGATTCGTGTTCATCCAGTTATCCTGAACGACTTGCGCGCTCCCCGAGTACGGAGAGCCCAATGCAGAAGAAGGTGCACTCGCAATGGAGGGCCCCGAGGCCGCAGAGCCGGTGGGAATGTGGTGCTCAGTCGAGTATGAAGCAGGAGCGGAAGGTGGCGTTGCGGGCATAGAAGGGAAAGTTGAGGTCTGGTGAAAGTCCGACTCGGCGAAGACGGACGGTCCCTCAAAGTAGGATTGTGGGACTCGGGAGAAGTCGGTGTGCGTGTGCGTCTGGGGGTATGGTGGGACGTCCATGGAATACGAGAACATGTCGACGAAGTTAGGGTCCATAGCCATGGTCTGGAAGTATGCAGATTGTTTCGGTCTGGCAGCCTCGACCGCGAGCATCTTGGATTGTGGGGCGGCGGTGTCGATGTTTTGCGGGAAGAGCACAAAGTCGGAGTCGGCGGGTTGCGTCGACATCTATATCTCTTTCTTGGTTGGCAAGCTTAGGCACTCTCGAGTCGGATATTTTGGAGGCTCTTTATGAAAAAGGAAATTGGAGGTCAGTCGGGCTTCCTTTTCAATGCTTCCTCCTTCTCGGGGAAAGACTCCCATGTGGACAAACGCATTCCAAGATTTGGGAGACATACCGAGCGATAAGGTTGGGACTGCGGCATTAACCCCAACGTGCGAACCCTCGGAAGTTGAAGCAGCAGGCAACGCGTCGAATAGTGCACCCGGGTGATGCTGCAAGGGGAAACCGAAAAGCAGGCAGCGAAGACAGGTCGCATTCAGGTTGCAGGGACTGGGGTGGTCAAGGGTTGGGAAATCAAGAATCACGAGGAAAGATAGACGATGAGATGATGATGAAATGGGTCAATCTGCAAAGCCTAGATCGGGAACACTTCTGAAAGTGTTTGGCGGGAAATCGCCGGTGATGCACGAGTGGAAATGGTGTTGCGAGGCAGAAACCAGGCGCGGTGGGGAAGTTATATAGAACCTGGAGTTTCGGCAGGGCCGAGGGGAAGACGGGAGTAGTCCGGTCTGGACCGGGAGTGAGGAATCTTGACACACGAAAGAGCAGCAAAACCAAATCGACAATCAACTCTTTGCAGACCGCACTCGATCATCGAGAAGAGAAGAGTAGTAGCCAGTGGGAGCGATCTGTCATGCGGTCAGAGAATCGGAGGGGGGGGCAGGGCAAGAATATTATAGCTGCGGCGTTGGGATGCGCCCTACGCCATTTCGTGTATAGTGCGATTTTCTGGTGGTGCAGTGTCTCGTTATGGAGTGGGATGGGAGAGGGAAAAAATTGAGGGAAAAAAAATAAATCAGAAATGACCAGAGAAAGATGGTAGATTGAATAAAAAAATATATTTCCTATAGAAAAAGTTAGGATTATGGGAGGAGTGGAATAAAGAAAAATAAGAAAAATAGAAATAGAAATAGAAAATAAAAATAAAATCAATAAAAAAAGAGTGGGAAGCTAGCAAGGATGGGGAAGACCACAGGAAAATCAAATCAGATTAAACTAAACGAATCTAGTTCGTCTGTCCCATCATAAATTACCCATGGATTACGAGGGGACCGTACCGATACCAGTCCGCTGGGGCTGTGAGAACCCAGGCCCAAAAGCCCCTCCGCTTAGCGCTCGAGTCGGCTGGAGTAGCCTACAGGCTCCCAAGATCAATTCGCTCGTGACGACTAACGACTGGCAACCGACGACTGACAACTGATAACTGATGACAGGGCCAGGCCTCGGCTTGATCTTGATCATGATCATGGTCATGGCTATGGCCATGGACTGCAGGACCGTCTATACCAGAGTGTAGAGTATCTTGACCCTGATAGTGACTGGCACCTACAATGTTGTATTCGCGTCTCAACGTCATAGCATATGAATAATAGTCCTAAGTCCTGACCACCACGCCATGCCACTCCCTGTATCTCCTACAGATTTCATCGATATTTTCTTTTTTCCGATCTACAACACTTCGCAGTCCGTTCCTCAGAATTGGCAGCACCAACCACATCGATCTCCCCAGCGAACGAAGACATATTATTGTTCTACTCCAGGTTGAATTTACTTACCGTACAGTAGCAGTCACTATGTCATCCACCATCATATCGTAGCCACTCCCTATGGAGTCGACTCAGCCTCCTTAGGCCCCCCACCATCCCTCGGCCTTTGAATTTCTAATTTCTGATGGCGTGGTAAATCCAAATCCACCCAACTGGGCATCTTTCCGCACCTTATAGGGCTCACCCACTATACGTACGTACGGACTCGGACGAAGGTCATTTCCTCCGTATCAGAAATCATCAAGAGGGTGCAGGACGTACAGTATTCCTCGGTTCTGCCCTACAAGGTACGGTACCGTACATACCCGCCCCACGGGCCCTGTTCGCACGCGGCCTGATCCCGGGGAATCCCTCCCAAATGTTGCCGACAGCATTTCCATGCAAGTAGTCCATGTATGTACGCAATAGTCTTTTGACGTAGATGACGGAAAAGAAGCTAGATCCCAGGCTTGCTACCATTGCACTCAATCTCCATCACTGATTAGCGATGAAATCCCCACCCTACAACCCGGAAGAGTACCTGCATGGTCCATCCCCAATGGTGCAGAGTCTGGCGCGAGAGTCCTCCGGAGAGAACACGATAGATCGCATAACAACGCGGAAATATATTAATTCGATCCATAGCTCCTCGCCTAGTGAGCGAGCAGGGTCTCGGTCGGAGCTTCCCAGGCCCACAAGTGGTTCCAGATTGGAATTAATCTATTCACTTCCGAACGTGTCTATCATTACCTCCGGAAGAAAAGGGGGAATGGAGGTGACTACTATGGAGGCTTGACTCCGTACGGAGCTCTCTGACAGTAGGTTCTATTGGGGGGACCCGTCAGACACACGGCGTGCGGGGATCATCTCGCGGACCCGGCCCAGATGGAGATCGCCGGACCAGGGTTGTCAAATTTGTCAGAATAATCAATAGCCTCAGAAATAAGCCCGGATAGTGTACGGACTGCGGAACGATATTGATCGCACGGGGTCAAGAATGACACCGACACGCGCCCCATTCGATTTGCTACCGCGACGAGTGCGACCGAGACCTCTTCGAACTCCAGTCTAACACATTAGAAGAAAAAAAAAAACCTCCGCTGTCAAACGACGACGGTCGATGGAAATGCACGGGAGAGGCGCCTCGTTATTGCCAATAGTGCGATAGTGAACCAATTAGTCTAAAAGTAGGGAGCTTCCGAATTAGGAAATATTAACTGCTGTCAAAGTCAAGTTATGCTCCATTAATGAACTGTCTACTCCGTAGTCTACTACCGTACATAAAGTAGTAATTATCCACTGCCTCAGGTCCTCAATTTCAACGATATTCCCCCTAAATTTGAGGCATCGGCAACTCCGTGTGCATTCGGCCGGGGTCCAAGCTTGGCGCTATCTAGCCTTTTCGCCAATCGAGAGCTCTGATTCGACGGCGGCTCTCGAGTACGACTGACAGAATCATTCTCATCAGGTAACAACGCATGGTAGATCGCGCTATCTGACAAGGTTACATTATTACCAAGAGGTGTTGGTCTACTGGATAGAAACACGAGAAAATGACAGGGGAGATTATGTGTGGACGGGTAAACGACGGATAGTCCGTCATCATAACAATGGTCGTGGTTTTTCTTTGAAAACCCGGGGGAACGGGTCATAGTGAGCGAGTCCAGTTCAGGGGGTGTCCTATCAAATCAAACGTCATGAACTCCATCGCTGGCACCTTGGAAGACATGGCCGATGAATCAAGAAAGAAAGAATCAAATATATGCTATTGCATGCGCGAAACCAGGAAACCAAGGAACGTAAATTTTGTCAAGTGTGTAGTACGGAGGACTTACATCATCATCCGGACAGATCTCTCCCCTTATGGAGAGACGAACGGAAGCGATCGAGCAAACACCTCATCGACGACGATCCTGGGGCCACATCGGACCACAGGGGCCACATCTAGCTTCCCCACAAGAACAAGCCATCTCGGCAGGCATGGTTTGGATGGTGTCTCCACGCACGGTGATTGGCCAGATCTAACGTGACAGGCTAATGAAGGAAAATGAAGTCCCAACCTGCCGGGCCCAATCATACGCTCTAGACGGCTTCCGGGCGAACGCGGGCGGGGGGGTTGCCAACAGACCATTGAGAAGGAGGTCCATGCAGAGGTGGAGTTGACGAGTGGGTAACAAGTCATGGCCTGTCAAAAGATCTAGTCCGTCTTGAAGCTAGCGGGAGTCGATCATTTCACAAAGTCCAGAGAAGGGGGGGAGGGGATCAGTTTGTCTGGCCGTCCTTCTGTTCCCCCTAAGAGCCGCATGGATTCGGTTCATTGGTTGATTGCCATTTGGCCTGGTTCTTGCTGTTCGTTCGGTTGCCTCTTTCACCCCCCTTGGAGCACCCAATCACCCTACGGTGTGTAACCCGGGTCGGGGAATTGGGTCAACCCTCTGGTCCCCGGAACCGATTGAATCAGATGGGCGCTGTCACTTGTCAGGCTGCATTTGAAACTCCACAAAAATTCAACTCAAGCTAATTAGGTAGTGGAGGGTATATTCCAGTTGGGTTTGGAAGAAATAAGACTCGAGGCGGGTCTGACGCCCATCAGACGATGCGATAAGGCGAAGTCAAATTGTCTACTCCGTACTGCGTACCAAACGAGTGAATGAAAAGAATAATACAGTTCCGAGTACGGGAAAGTGGATCAATCATGCCATACAACCAAAACGGAGAGACTTCGTCAGCAGAATCGGTACTTAGTTTATTAAGTCTTCGGCGTTGCCGTGAAGCCAGCCGTGGGGGAAGCCCGTTTGGGGGCCGTTAATTTGGTGCTGATGCATGAAACGCATAAGCAGATAAATCATCATAACCATAACTACAATGACATGACAGTCAGAATGCAATCGCTGGACTGGTTACCAGCACAAGAGAGAACGATGGTCTAGAGTGCAACACCGTATCCTATCTCGGTCTGGTTTCCCTCCCTTGACCTGACGCCATGCCGTTCACCATAGCCCTATCGGGTGTAGAGAATACGGTTCATGACACGGTCCTAAATCGGTTAGATCGTTTCAAACCAAACTAGGTTAGTACCAGGAGTGACTGGTGCCGGCTAACCCTTTTGGGAAGCTTTCGTCCCCCATACGGCTAGCGTCATACCTTCCAAAGACTTTGTCTATCTCTTAGTCCATAACCTAACTCTCGGAGTGGCCGTCACTCGAGTCGGGTCGGTGAGCAAAGCGCGCCAACGACAAAACTAGCGCCACGAACCCTGCACGAGCCACAGGCGGCTGCAAGGTAGAACCAATCACCGTCATGTCGAGACATGCCCGTGAAACATGATTGGCCTTGCTGCTGCCGACAAGCGGATTGGACTACTGGCCTGAGGCGCAGCAGGCCCTTTTTTCACCGCTTGTGGGTTTGGCACGCAGAGATCTGTCGGCGATCCCGGCATGGGGTCGTCAAGTCATACTATGGACTAACCTAGCGGAGGACTAGCGGACACCCCAAACTCCAGACCCTCATGCAGGACATGACCTCACGTCGCGGCTCAGACATGCTTGGCCTCTCGTATTGAAAATTTTGAATTGAATCATTCAAGATTCCCGTCACCACTGACCGATGGTTCCACACCGTCCTTGCTGGAGTTGCGCGACTCTCCCCGTGGAAGAGGAGCGGTCGGCCTTCTAACCTTCTGCGCCTCCATCGCGGATCTCGCCCGGGCCACCTCTGCCCTATCGACAGGGGAAAACGAGCACGGGCATGAGAACGGGTCGCTTCGAGGGAAAGGGATTGGTTCTGGACGTGGACAACGCACATGTTGTCATGTTCAACGCGCAGATCGCGTGGCAGTGATGGAAGGATTCCTTCGTACAGCATCTCATTTCCTCTCCAACCTCGAATCTGGCCAACATTCAGCCAGAGTTTCTTTTTCCTCGATAAAGCAATGCCGCAACTAGTGAAAAAGGATAAGTACGCCCTCCCGGAACGGTTGCGACCGTTTTGCACATCCAGCTCATCTTCATTCCCTCCTGAAGCACTGTCAACCACCCATCGCCCGTTATTCTTCAACGTCCTCGTCATCCTTTATTTTGAAACACAGGGCTGAACTTGAAATTCACCAGTCAGCTTCTCGAACGGGGTTTCTGCGAACAGTGGTCCCCAGCGCACACGCGTGATGGGCCACGGGAGAGTCAGCCAATACGCATCGTCAGAACGGCCTCATCACGTTGGCCCCCAATCTCCCAGAACAACCTAGCTTGCCAAATAACTCCTGTACGGAGTCCGTTTTTGGTAAGGGGGTCTGTTCTGGTGTAGAGCCCCCTCGTAGGGCTACAAATTATCGTCAACCAAAGGATGATTAGGGTATGCCCGTCAGCAGGGTCTCCACCTCAGCCATCACCATGGCCTTGGGAATGTCAGACTGGGCTGTCTTGGTTGAATCCCTTATTTTCCAATAAATTGAAACTCCACTGCTGCAGGGTAATCACCGCCATGTGTATCCTGTTGAAGCAGTTACACTCCTACCGTACGGCTATGGTGACCCTCTCCGCTAGTTCCCGCAAGAATGATTCCCGGCCGAACCAAGGCCAAAGATAATGGGTCGACATGGTCCATTAATTTTCCATGACCCTCAAAACCTAATTCCCCTAGCCTTATCCAAATACAGTAATAGGTCTGAATGCCGGATAGGGTTTAGGCTTTTCACACCAAAGGAAATATGGCTGGTAAGCCCTGCGATAGGATCGGCGACCCCGACGCCATTTTTCCCAGGCCCGCCATAGTGGATGGGTTCCCTAATGTCGGGTCCGTACGCTCACAGTTGGCAGATGATCCCTGTCAGGATGATTATGGTCATACACAGTATTGGAGCCAGGAGCACACTATCTGCGGGCTATGCGGGCTATGCTGGCGGGTCCTGGTTTGGCTTCGGGTTCCTCGCACCACTAACCTCAACCTGGGTTGAAGAGCACGTCCCCGAATTCCCCGGGCTCGAACCAATTTTCCTTTTGCTTACCCCGGACCCCGACTGAGACCTCCCCAGGGTTAGTTAATTAATGTAAGCAACTAAATAGCTCTCTCAGATTGATTACTAACGCACCAAATAGGTTAATGACTAGTTAAACTGCAGAGGACTCCGTACACTAGGTAATACTAGGAATGTCGTGAAATATATTGGATAAGCACTATTCTACGGTGTATATTGACTTGGTAATCATAATCCCACTCTTCACCATAATAGCGTCTCCTCATATACTCCGAAATTTGGTCCGTGTTTGCATTTGTAATGGGTGATTCCGGCCCAACATCGCTCAAATATAATTCTAATCTGGAATTAGCAACTCCCTTCCTAAAGAAGGCAAAGCAGAGGCCCCAGGACGATAAGATCGGCCGTCATCCATGGGTCGCGGTCGGAAGCAATCCGTGGATGGACAGTCGGTCTCGTACCGCGGTTCCAACGGTCCAGATCGCAAATCTAACTACGACGTCGCACTGCAACAAAACCTTCACAGCACGTGTCAATAATGCCTGTCCATCCTAAGACAAGTTGGTATTTTCTCATAGCCTCATGAAAAGACTCCGATGACCGCCACGTGGAAGCGCATCGCATTCCCCAGAGTCTCAAAGCCACGCGTAAGATCTATGAAAATGTGCCAGAAGGGGCCGCATTCGAGACATACATGTCGCATCGAGCCATTATCATTTGGCGTTGAGTGTTGGATGCCGGGGGCGAGATCCGTACAATGCAGTACCAGCGGCTATACAAGCGTCTACTAGACATGCGAACAGCCATGCACGGCCGAATTAGGAAAAGGTAACTATCTGGCCCCCAAATAATCTAAATCAACCCCCCCCCCAAATAATGCAGGCCAACAATAACACTTTATAAGCGACCAACACTCATTTAAATTCACTAGTAAGATTCTTCGACCAAAATTACAAAAGAAACCAGTGCAGAGCCAAGACTAGCGACCTTGCAGATCGTCGCACAAGGCCACTATTTCTAGAATACATCACCGAGGCATCCAAAAGCAAAGATAAACACGAAAAGTCTGTAGATAGATAACAGGTCACATTATGCCAGGTTCCTAAATCCAGCAGGACAACACAGCAGGACGCAGGGCTGGGCAAGCCTAGCCAGACTACTCTAAGCCCTACCACGCTCCAGCCCCCTTCTTCCAGGTCAATCCACATCTCTTATTGGTCTAGTCTCGCTGTCACCCATGTGGCCGCGGCGAATGGACTGCTAAAAACAGAAGCAGCCACAGGGATGTATGGGCTTAGGCCCGGCCGCGATCGACGCCCCGTGTGTCAGTGTAGTCTCGGGGTCCTAGTCGAGTAACGAGGTCTGGCTGTTGCACCACTGTATTAAATTAATTGCATGTTGCTTTGCGGGTGTGGTATGGCAGTGCAATGATACTATTTGTAGGCGTAGCATACACCCAGATTTAGAAATGAATACTTGAATAAGCTTTGGAAATCAGCCATCCTTACCGGCCGAGTCGAGTCGTACAGAATGACCCCTTCCATGCGATGCTGATCGCACTCGTCATCCAACCAACCAAGATTTAGACTCTAGCAGGATGAGACGCTCCTGTTTTATGGAACCAGTTTGCCATGCGTCTGTTTCAGACCCCACACATAGCCGCAAGCATGGGGCGAGCATCACTGCATAACCTAACCCTTGGCCCCCGGCATTTTCCCAGTAAGAAGTCAAATATATAGAACTGAAGTGAGTAAGTCAACACCAAAGGGGGGAACATGTTACCTGCAAGGTTCATGACAAAGTAGTCGGATCCGGCCCCCATATTATCTGCATTCAGAGATAGCATCGTACAGCAAGGATCCTGTGCAGTGTGAGCGAGGCGTTTTCAATCATTGGTCATTACGAAGAGAAAAAGCCGCACAAGCCAACCAGAAATACAGCAGCCCAAAGTAGAATCCCAAACTTGAACATTCCCTGTCCCGAAATGTCGACTCCCACACCATCACGGACGACCTATCCTTGCACCGCTGCATGTCTCAAGGGTTCCAATCTGACAGAAAACGTGGCCTCCACGACATGCCTTGTTGGGACTAGTGAACCAGTTACCGGACCGGTTTCCATACTCCATAGCCATCTGATTATTCCACATCGATCGCTATCTAGGGTCTTCGTCTCTACTACTTGCTCCTTGGGGAATTTCTGGAGTATGGCGGAGAGTGGTCCCTACTCCACAACATAGTTAACGTTGTCGAAGTATGTAATACAACTACTTATTCCGGTATTAGCATACCCTCCGATAGCGGCTCGGTGGAGTCCCCTAATAATAAGAAGCTATCCAGGGTCGGTAGGGTGGCACGCTACTCGGCAAGTTCCCTAGAGCCGCATCGCGGGATCGACCACGATATCCAAGAAGGGAAGAAGGTACCCAAATAATACTCATGTACCCAGTATATCCGACTGACTAGCAATGCGAACGGCCGATCCACATCCTTGGGATCGCCTTATTAGTTCATTTACCCTATTAGGAATTGTTGGGGCTACTCTTGTGGACGCATTTCGAATTCGAGGACAGGAGAATGCACGGATTACACCGTGGCTAACCTAAATCATTAATTGTCTTAGTTTTGGGAAGAATGGGGGCACACATGGAGTAAACCCCGGCCCGTCGCGACGGGGAATGTATGTTTCAAGAAGCGATCTTGTGTCGCCTACCGCGCGCCACAAACAGCAGGGCCCAAAACAGAGAGTCAATAGACTGGGGTCCACCTTGGTGCGGGCTCAAGTGCGGACTGACCAAATTTTTTTTTTTTTTGCAAGCCTGCCAGCCGTGCAGATGTCTAATTTTCGAGAAGGTTTAAAATTCGCTTCTGGAAGTATAATCGGTGGGGAGAGATTGAACCTGTACGGTTTGATCATCGGTAGACAACACTTGTTTCCCAGTGTACTCTGTACATAGTAAAAAATGGAGTCTTTGGCAGCATCTCTAATTTTACAACCCAATATATCTCACGTCGCAGGGAAACTGACTGTTTTTTTCCCTGGTCAGGGTTATATCGATGAAATTTTCAGTTCGATAATTTCCATCCGCTTTTTCAAGCGTTTCAGAGTAGACTACTCCGTGGAGAGCCATCAGATTATTGAGCTCTGCAGACTGATCTACTGCACCTGGAGAATAACTAAGCTCCAACTGTTACAAGCAAGGACTACCTTTGGCAAGTCGAAACGTGGATCCAGGTGTCTAACGGTGATATCTGCCACATGTAAAGTAAACCTTGTGTCCGATAAGCATGGTCGGCGAAGACAGCCAGAAGCTTCCTAGTAGTAGCTTTGACATGTAGTAAACACTCGCTAAACGAGACTCAATCCACTCATACCAATAAACCACAAAGTCAATCTACCCTTCGCTTGTTTTTTTTTTTTTTTCTCACTAACCATATTCAGGGAATGCTAGGCGAGTTGCCTTGTCCAATGTCTCGGATCTCACGCCCGGCTTATTGGTAGAACGAGGCGGGAATGCGGGCGCGGCAAAGTTGGGGCTTTCCTAAGCGGGCCAACAAAGCATATTGTCCATCCCGTTAATCTCTTCCCCAAAAGTTCCGGAGGTAATGGTCCTCTTTTTTTCCTCGGGTAATCAATCAACTACAAATCATCGGGCGCTCCGAGGATAATCCAAGTCATGACGCCCCAAGAGGTCGGTACCAGGCCGGCGGGCCTGCCGCGAGGAATTTTGTGGCATCAACGTGGACCTTCCAAGTCCGGGCTACCCGCTAGGACTAGCGATCACACGGGAATCGATCCACTTAACAACTCAAAATATAGAGTTCGCGATGGATCATGGGAGGAAGAAAGAGATCCATCGATGCTCCACTGAGACAGGGGGGCAATGTTTCCTCGCGAAACAATTTTGCGGTCGCCGTCACGGGTCGGCCGCTTGGGAGACGCGCTAGCGGCATATTGCCGCATTGGGAGAAGAGCGATTGTCCCTTCTCCATGAGGAGCTTGAGAGCTTGGTGGAAAGAATAGTGGATAGTGCCAGTGGTTAATGCCAGCGGATAGTTCACAATCCATACTCGTAGACGAGGGTCTGTTCGAGAGCCTCGGACATGAATCGTTCACAGTTCGTGCACTGCCGATCATCTGCTGAACGAGGGTCTGGATTTGTCGATTAGCAACATCCACACTATCTTTCAGTAAACATTTTTGAATGACCGAACCTGGGAGTCTTCGTTGACTGTCAACCAAGCTAGAGAATGGGCTTGTCAGATCCTTTGTCACCATTAACCCCTCGAACGCCAAAAAAAAAATGCTAACCCAATTCCACCCCAACCGGGCGTTTGTCTGCAGCAGCATCCATTCTGTCACTTCGGTCCACCGGCCAACCATCCGCTCCAATGCGCAGATTGTCCGTGCCTTGTACACATGGCAGGACACGGTATGAAGAGACACAACCCAGTTCCCCCCCTGATCCTCGTAGTTCCTTGGGCTCTGGTATCCCCGGGTGCACGAATAATCACCTCGTCACATGGCCCCCTATTGACAGGCCCCCCTGCATTTGGGGATGCGGGTTGGCACACGTCGTAAAAAAGCGACAGGGAAGGTTTCTCTTGAGTGCCCGGGGGCTTGTCGTGATAATGAGGGCGGATGATTGGTGCCAGGGAAAGGAGGCGGGATGCCGGGGAGCGCGGTCCGATCCTCGAGCGGGAACCATGTGGCTTCTCTGGTCTCCGGTGGTCGAGATACTGTCACCGTAGAGGAGATGTACAATGCCACATGATCTAGGATAAAGAGGAATGAAATCCTCGACTGGGGTGTCACTTGTGCTATCCTAGCCGTATTCCTGTTTGTAACTACAAATTTCTTCAGTTAGAGTAGCCAGAATAGACAAAGTGTAAAGCCATGACTGGTAAATGACAGTACTGTCTCCATACCTCCATCCAAAGGCAATGATGTACATCAGTCTCCCTACTGAATTGGGATGTCGCAGGAACCATAGTTCTACCACGAACGTGCCCCGGATCTACTGTACGGAGTACTGTGCTGCCCGCCTCGAGCTCCCGCCACCAGACTTGTTGACTTGCTACCTGGCCCAATAGTGGGTACAATATACAAGGTACAGAGCACAAAGGTGCAGGATGCAGGATGCAAGACTGCAGTGCAGAGGCACCGTGGTGACAGTGCCAGACTGACAGTGCCCGAGCGTCACCCGGGCTCAACCATAACGAACCCCTTCAACGGGGCAAAAACACACCCAATCACCCCGGTTTGTGAACTGCCACCGACGAGACTATTCATGCGAGATAGACTTTGAGGGTGGTGGGGTGAGTTGCGAGATACCAACTGACCTACCAGAAGACCTCCGTAGGTCACTACTTGCATACCCCTCATTGACTAGCCCTGTGGCGTGGACCACAATCCTCGTCCGAACTAGCTATCTAGCTACAGTAGTATCTACCATAGCTATCAACCGTAGGCATGAACTCGCAATAGGTCCAGATCATCTATGATCGACTAGCGATCGACACCCTTCGCGACTCAGTCAGTCTCCTTCCAAATCAGGGTCATGACTCGGACCATGGGCCAAGCAACCAAGGGAACCAAAGGAACCAGTGTACTTGGATAATTGATAAAAAAGCATGTGAGATTAGGAGCCTCAAAATGTGACCAAAATCTGTCTCCGCAATAGTCTCGGTACTGGCTACATTCAAGATAAGGCAACCCGGCTCTGTCTGAGATGGACGATCTTCAGGGTCCAATTGCCTTGAATCGTACACTTTGAAAATGGGGGCCATGGAGATGACATCATTTGCAGAAATTCACGCATCAACAGACACCCTCCGCACTCGGCTTCCCTCGGGCATAACATCTAGATTCGGCCTCAAGTTCACTCTCATATTCCAAACTGGCCGTGTTCCCGCTATACCCGGCTCTCACTCCCCTCCAACCCTCGTTCACTACTGGCACCAGTGGCGAATCACGATTGCCTATCAGATGATCACATACAATCTCGGGCAGTGTGTAACACGGCGACCTAAAATGGAATTAAAAATGCTGTCCACGAATCGGCTGGACTCGGGCAAGATCATCGTTGGTAGGACAAGATCCAGCCCTAATCCAATAAATTCCCAGTTGATCTACTCCGTACGGTACCCACCAGCTCGATCAAATAATATGTATGACTCCAGATCTACACGATTACGAATATTGCCAGTTCGAGTAAAGTGCTTGTAGTACAATAGGATAGCCGGGCGCGAAACTGCGCGAACCATGCTCAGACCCTGGGATACCACGGGGGCGACCCTATCAGAAATTGGATGCTAGATCATATCCACTTACAGACACCTTGTGTAGCGTAGAGTCATAGACCGAACATTCCCGAAGAGCGCTTCCTAGACATTAATCCCGATAGTCTAGTTGATATTCATCAACCACCCATGTCGAACAGGTATTTGCTACGAATGCTGGATAAACGTGTTATTCCTTTAAATTACCAAACTGTCATTCCTATTTAGGAAGGACTCGAGTCATGTCCAGCGTTTAGTTAACTAACTTGATCCATTGTGATGAATAATACCAAAAGTACCGTCATACAAAACTAACCGACGGGTTATTAAGGGTTCTACAGACAGGCCGTGTCAATCATTGATCCCGCATGTAGCCGAGGAACTTTCAGTAAGACCTGCACCCTGGCACCTAATGCTCAACCCCGGAGCCCGGGTGAATTTCAGGCAATAGCAGATGCACCCGATGGCATGTGAATTTAGGTCCAGGACGTGTGCTTATATACATCATCTTGCAGACGAAAGATTTATCTCGCCGTCAAATGTAATAGGCCACTATTTCCACCTTCAACTCCTTGCAAGATTTCTAAAGTATTCCCAAAGTTTATCATGTTCCTTACCATACCAGCTATTCCTGCGAAGTTGAGATCCTGCACATCCCATCACATTTAATATCGCCATGTACTCCATATATCAAAGTTCATGCATCTTAATATAAAGAACAAATCATATCGTCTGCCGATGCATGATCGACAGTTTGACGCGAAAGTCGATCGCGGATGGCAGATTGCATAAGCGCCCGACTTGCCGGTCAAGTACGGGAGGGAGAATGATCGACATGATCGATAGGTCGTTTCGATGTATCATTTTTCAACTAATTACCCTCCGAAGCGCTGCGTATTCCGCACGAATCTTCATGGAATCTTGAGATATACGGCCCCTTTTTCTCTTCACCGCTGGTAAGAAGCTCGTGGGTGAATCGGATGATTTATCCGTCGCAGAAGCAAACATTGATGGACAGGAGTGTTGTACGCGAGGGACTCCTTAGCTTGTGCTTGGAGTAAAAATTTTGCGCCCGGAAATGGGAAACAGGAACGAAAGATAAGAGCAAGCTATCCTCCTAATCCACTCTTCTTCTGATTGACAAGTTTCCATAATATTTACACTAAGGAGTACTCCTCCACACATATACAGTAGACCCAATCCAGTAGTAGTCTAAGACTCTCATCCGACCATGCGTATCTCTGCCCAATCCGAAATCAGACCCCATCGTCGCCCCTGTGAGGGGGACCTGCCTCTTAGACTCCACCAGAGCTCCCCTTTCCTCCCAAACAAAGCAAAGACATTATTTTCATTCAGAAGAAGTCTAGATCGTGCAGTCCCGCTCCCCGCTGCAAGAGTTCACTGCCGTGCCCCTTCGATCAGCACCAGCCACCAACCAATGGGTAGCCATCTCGTCTGGCCCGAGATATGCTGCCCTTTTTTCTTTTTCGTCCACTACGATCCGACCCCACAATAATGGGCTTGTTGAGATTGTGGTCTCAAGATCCGATCGACAGATGCGATCATGTTTTTTTGCCTACTAGCTCCTACTGTATTCTTTTCTGCTTCGTTCCGAACGATAATCGCTGGGTAGGAGGTGACCTCGCAAGTGGCACGGCAACTTCTTGCTGAATTCGGATAAAGAATATGGCGTCTTCACGCTAATGAGATAGTACGGAGTACATATAGAGTACTGTAGCTGTCTCTTCATGCCGTACACATACATACAGTTTGTAGTTCTGTTTACAGTATTACAATACCCACGCTTCTACCCTGTGGACCGCCTCGTCTCGAATGGATCATACTTATTGCTTCCTCGTTTGACATGTCCGGACTATACAGGGTACAAGATTAGCCATCTACACCCTACCCCGTATTCCACGAAGTAAATATCTCATTCACAAAATCAGAGAATCGGCTCGGCTTCCACTGCCATAAATCGGCACTCGCCACACAGAAAACGGTGCATGTATGCGGACGTGACAGGAGATCCATCATCCGTCATCCAACACGAACAGTTGTGGCTTGAGTTTACGCGGGAAGTCGGCCATTCAATGAGGTAGGCTTTGTTTTCCGTACAACAATAGCCGAAGGCAACTGCGAAACAGTCATGCGATTAGTGATTCCAGATTTTTTTGCTCGTTCGTATATAAATCGGATAATTCGAGCGATACGATATGTCTGTAGGATTTGAAGTTGATTTAACGGTTTGTGATTTTTGTCGGCATGCAGGGGTTAATGATTGGCTGACATCTTTTCTTGACGGAGACGGTAACTCGGTGCGAGAGACTTGAGTAGATTCTGCGAGTAGCAGTATGACTGCTATTTGCTCTGAATGGCCTGCTGCATTCTGGGAATTGATTTTATTGCACACAGGAGATTGAGGTCACATGCCAAAGCCTGTGGGGAATACTCCAGGACCTCGTGGAAAAAAGAGCAGTTGGATATCGGCATACGTTGACGGTAAATGGACTATCGGAGGTAGAAGCGGTGGTTTCACCCAGAGTCCGCCTTCTTCTATTCGTTTTGCCTCGTCGGTTGGCTAAGGCATCTCCAGGGTCAGTATCCAGAGGTCACAACGACCGAAAAGTCCGGAGTAAAGAACGAGTAATCGCAGGAAAAGGATTAGAAACAGGTTCGGTCTTTTTTCCATTAATCGGTGCCTTTGAGGCGAGATACGGTTTCATTTCCACATTGCTGGTGTACAGACCATGGGCATCATGAAACGCGCCTCCATACTAAGAATACACACAAAGTTATACAGTTTAACCTTCATGTACGAGTCCCTCCAACCTCGTGTAGCAAGTACAACGGTCTGAAAATCACCGATTATACCTTGGAGATACTCTCTAGCCAATACACCGTAAAAATAACCAAAAAACGATACGGCTCCTATCCTCAACCAAAGAATCAACCCAGAGCCTCTCACCATCCACTACAACATCCCAACCCCGACGCTGTGTAACTCCCTCAAACGCATCAGCACAAACAAATCAGCACCTCACCAGCATAGCCAATAAAATCAAGTCCCGACTGATAATAAACTCTTACCAACCCATTGGTAAGCACAACCACGTTTTGCCAGCATCAGGTGTGGGTGGGATGTACAGCTGCGGAAGAGAGGGTATCCCAAAGGAGGAGCAGTCTATATTTACGATGAAATGTATGAGGACATAGGGTGTGGAATCGACTCCTGTCATCACTCTGAAACGGAGCTGTCCTACCCCAACACCTGACTGAGATCGGTACAATGAATCAACGTGGATCTGGGGGCTCCGAATGAAAGCCCACAGACTCAGCAAAAAGCTTAGACCCAGATAGAATCTGCTCCATATCCCAAATTGACTAGGACAAAGGTCTATTCTGAGCAATTGGTCCTCTTCTGCACTCCGTGATATAATTAGGATGGAAGCCAGGATATTAAGAGTCCTCAAATCCCACATGTACAACAACTAAATCTCCAAAGTCAGTATTTCCCAGCTTCTCATTCTGATTCTCTTTCTCATGCGGGGATCATCCCGTCCAGTCAAGTCCAGTCGCAATCCAAATTTCTAGCTACCTACTCTACCTTATATCGTGGGTAACACCTCGACCCGAAGAATCCCATGCATCCCATTCATCGAACTTGCTGCCCGGAGAAACGGAATAGAGTAACCGCACTGGTAAGAACATGCTGCTATAACTCGATACGTGTGGCACGGCAGCAGTGTTAAACAATTCGGGTGTGTAGAATAAGCCAAGTCGTTCATGAATCAAGATGGGTTCAAGAGAATGGCTCGACCATGTGATGGAGATACATTACCGGTCTGGAATTGATTCTAGAATAAATCAGTCTAGATCGTGATAGATGGAATACAGGAATCTTTCTCTACTGGGGATATTATGAAATAGATGGGAAAAGAGATGAGGAATATCAGGATGCGACGTCATAAGAAAGATGTACCCGAGCGAGGTAATAATATTGGGTATCGCAAGTAAAGAAAAAGGCCAAAATAAAGTAAGGAATAAAAAGTGACGATCGCCTTATAATGCATCAATGCATACGGAAGGGAATTGGGGGGGGGTGGTATGTACATTTCCCAATCGCTGTATCCCGCGACGGAATCCAAATTCCAGGGAAAAGGGTGAGATCCAAAATCCCAAGTTGAAAGTAAGCCAATGAAGCCAAAGGACCGATAAGGTAACAGCCAGGCCCACCAGAGCCAGATCAAGTAGAGCAAAGGTCTAAGGAGAGACTGCCGTCTGGTTATAGTATAAATCGCACGCATGCGGATGCTGCAGACAATACTTTGGTACCAAGTTAGTAGCCATGACACCATTCGCGACGAGGTACTCCCGGAAATTAAGCAGGCGCTGGGTAAGCTGGGTAGTACGCTTTTGACCCGATGCGTCACGATTTCCAGACCACAGCAGCTCACCAAGTGCCGCAGCGCGTGGCCACATTTTGCTGGAGATGGTGACATCGTCGACCTGCTCGGACCAGAGGGGAGCCTCGGCGCCGAGGACGTGCTTGGCCTCTGACGCGGTGAGGTTGGCGGTGAAGTCAAAGTCGTAGATGCGTTGCCAGGACTTGTATGGGGCGCACCAGGAGCCACCGTTGCCGCCAAAGTTGAAGGTCACGTCTCCGCCGGGGTTGGTCATCACGTCGTAACGGGGATCGTTGGTCACGAAGCCGGCGAATCCGCAGTCGAGGTAGAGGAAGTCGGAGGAGGAGACGATCACGTCGTAGCCGCTGGCGGTCAGGTTCTTGATGTTGGTGAGACCATTGTTCCAGGACTGCAGGACGATATCCTTGGGGACGTGGTGCGCGGCGTCGGTGTTGATGAAGATGTCCTCCCACATCATCAGACGACGCTTCGGACCACCGGTTCCACGGAAGATGGGCAGGGCGTGGTCGAGCCAGTATTGCGAGAGGTCGTTGTACGTGCGCGAGGGGTCCTCGGCGAACCACTCGTTGATATACGAGCTGAAATTGAAGCAGTTGGACTGAAGCTCATCACCGCCAACGTGGAACCAGTTATCTGTGAAGATAGCCGACAGGTCCTTGTATACGTTGCCCACCACCTCGTAGGTCTTGTTATAGATGACATCCAATTGACCCGGGTTCGGCTCGACAGCGGTATGCTTGGGCCAGTCATCGTTGGACCACCAGGAGTTGATGCAAGTCACGACATTCGGGTCGACCTGCTTCCAGCCCGAGGACGAATGACCGGGCATATCGACCTCGGGAATGACGCGAACGCCACGGGCACGAGCGTAGGCAATGATCCGGCGCATATCCGCCTCGGTATAGATCTCGCGGCTCGAGTAGGCATCCTTGGTCATCTCCGGGTAGGATCGAATCTGCATGGGCCAGGATTGGGTATCGTCCAAGTGCCAGTGGAGGACGTTGAGCTTGGAGAGAGCCAGGCCGTCAATCTGCTCGAGGATCTTGGGAACGGTGATAAAGTTGCGACCCGTATCGATCATGACACCACGGTGAGGATATAACGGAGCATCCTGGATCTTGACGGGCTGCTCGATGATGAGGTTGCCCTTACCATCGGAGATGATCAACTGTTGCAGAGTGGTAAACGCGTGAATTGCGCCCCAGACGGTCTGGGAAGTGATCTTGACACTGCCGGACGAGGCGGTCACCTCCAGGGTATAGGATTCGTCCACACCATGCTGTAGATCGGCATCTCCATCGGCCACGGAGAGCTGAACGGAACGGATCGCAGTCGCGGTGGAGTCGCGCTTGGTCTTGGCCGAGCCGGTCGGGAAGGGCTCGAAGGTCGGGATGGGAGCTTCAGTGGCGGCGGGCACCCATTGGAGATCGACAATGGCCGACCAGGTGCGGTCCCAGGCGTTTTGTACGAGGGCGTTGTTATGGCCGTGACTATCGGAGGTGCGCAGGTTGACCTTTTGGACTGGGATCGGACCGGAGGAGCCCCAAGTGATGTTGCGGGGAGCGGGAAGTGGATTCACCTTGACGGCAGAGGCACCCGAGACGAGGAGCCCTAGCGCACCAAGGACGGTGGCGCACTTCATGGTGGACGAGGTTTTTCAAGGAAGGTGAAGTGGGTGAAAGAGAGTAAAGCCCACGAAGGAGGAGGAATGGGTTTATTTATGAATGTTTCAGGCATGCCGATCGCATCGCTGATCACTTGGAATGCAGCGAGAATGCTATGGGGCCTGGGACTCGTCGCGGTGGGACGGGGAAACTACGTAAACAATGGCCATCTTGGGACGTTACCACCTTCGGGTCTGGGAGATTAGCATCTCCCACCGACCACTGACGGCTGCTCAGTCCAGCGAGATAGGATCCCGTCAACAATCACCACGGTCAACATGAATGTCTCGGTTCCATCCAGCTGCAGAGGTTACATCCCTTCCCTACGGACCCCATGCGACTAATCCCATTTCTCTCTAGTTGGACCCCAATCTTTAAACGCGTTTGACCCTGAAGACCCAAGACTCAGGGAGAGGCCCTAACGGTCCTCCAAGTACGACCTCCACATACTACATCGGGGGTTGCGCCTTATCATGCCGAGAGAGAGAGAGAGAGAGAGAGAGAGAGCATCGGCTATACATTTTGGTTTTCACGATCGAATCTTGATCAAGAGTAGCGTCGTGGAGAGACTGGAGATTCTGCAGTCTGTGCTCCAGCCCATTACGAACGAGGGGGATGAACAATCCCCGGTCGGATTCAAAGGAGGGCACGCGACTTGAGGGCACTCGAAATGCCACTGTGACATTGCGCAGAGTCCGTTGTATATCAAAGCTATCGTGTGGCTTGTGGTCGAAGCTACGGTATGGATATTTGATACGAGCATAAGCCACCATGCGGGGAAGAACAGGAAGGAGAACAAGGTATCATGATTCATTTGCATATTCAACAGATCGCTTAGTGGGATCTCTTGTTTGACCCCCCTTCATCTCGACCCTCTCTCTCTCTCTCTCTTCTCTCAAGCGGACTTCTCTAATGATCGCTCCAACTCCATGCCCTCGCGGTACTCCTCGTGAATACCTGCCGCCGCAGTCTCCGTGGGCACCACGCACGGCCGGCGTGGCAGAGCCCCATAACCGCGATACGACTGCAGCGCACTCTTCACCGCAATAAATCCGCCATGGATAGCCGCCCAGTCCGCCCTCGCCACGATCGCCTGCAACTTTTGCGCCTCCTCAATCTTCCCACTATCGTACAGCTCCACGAGCTTCAGGCACGACCGTGGAATCAAATTCGCCGTACCGCCAATGATGCCATCGCCACCGGCGATCAGCGTCTGCAGAGTGAAATCCACCGAGCCACCAAAGGTCAGGAACTCGGGCTTCGAGCCCGCCGCGACACGCGCCAGTTTACCGGTATTACCACAGGTCAACTTGCACCCGATGATATTGGGGTGTTTGGCCAGTGCCAGAATATCGTCCGAGGACAGATCGAGACCCGATGAGGCACCGGGGTAGTTATAAATCAGGACCGGCACGGGGGACGCATCGGCAATCGCGATGAAGTGTGCATGCAGGGCCTCGGTACTGACGAGGGGCTTGTAATAGCTCGGGGGAAGAACCAGGACTGCGTCGGCGCCCGCAGCACCAGAGTCCCGACAGAGTTGAATGGCCTCGCGGGTGGAGGCCGCCCCGCATCCTGCGATGACCGGCATGTGTGGGTATCCGGCGGCATCGACGGCGCGACGGGTAGCGGCCGTGATGGCTTTCCGCTCGTCACGATCAAGGTGGACGGCCTCGCCGTTGCTACCCTGGGTGACTAGGCCGGTAACACCGCTGCGGGCGAGGTAGGTGGCGTGTTTCTCGGTGGTGGCCAGATCGATCTCCTCGTCGGGTTGGAAAAACGCCACGGTAGGCACGTAGAGTCCCTTGGGGAGGGGGTTGACCTTGTGTGTGTCGCTGGCTGTCATTGTGAAGGGAATTGAGGTGATGATGTAGGTTGTGGTGGTCGTGATGTGATGTTGATGCTGATGGTAATAAGTGGTGCGGAGTTCTATCAGGTCACTCAATCACTTTGGTCACTAACGAGCAATCAGCTAAGGTCGAGGATACCACACGCGATAATAGGTTCTTACTAGGGTAATTTGAAGAATCCAAGTCAACTGTAAAAGTGAAGTCTCGCATGCGAATTGCCCACGGGGCAACAGCTAAATAATAAACCTCCGCACTTGGCTGATCGTCTCCAAAAACCCCCACGTCCCCCACTGCTTCCGATTTGATTAGTTCTTGACTTCAAAGGTCCACGGTCATTCTGGCTTGCCCCGCGTGGGAGAACAGTCCACAGAGGCCGAAACCTTGACACTTTTCTCACTCGGCCATAATTTCCTTCCTTCAATTTCCCCCACGCTCGTCTCATGCGGGGTTGAACATCGGGCTTGGCCTCACGGATGCTTGTGCGACGCCAGTGGTCGGAAGGATGTCCGTCAATGAACCCCGGGATCTGGAGCAATCAAACCGCTTTGAATTGTGAGTTCAACGACCTGGTACCTCATAACCAGCGGAGAATATCTCATCTCTACAGCTTTGGTCTGGAAAATCGTGCTGTTTGGTGGACAACTTCCGGACCATCTTTTTGGCCAACGACCATTTCCCCACTCGCCTCCAACGTGGGGGTTGATCGGGAATGGAATCTTCCTGTACTGGCCTGGATGAAGAGAGAAGGACTTTCCTGGCATAGCGGGTGGTCGTGTAGGAAGATTGGGTCTTTGTATTGTCTATCCTCGTTGTAATCGTTTTCATGCGTAGTTCTGTTGCTGTCAGTGTTCCGTTCGTGTAGTGCATCGTCTTACATTCAATATATATCTCTGGGTATGGTGACTCTCTCGAGTCCATCCCTCCACGCCGGTCGCTTGCTCGAGGTAGATAATTTCAAAACACATAGCTTCCAGTCTATAGAAACGAATAAAAGATCCCTATTCTCTCAAATAACTCTTAGTGATCAATGACAGCCCCTTCATCTCGTCAGAACGGGAACAGCATCGTCCAGGTGCCGCCAAGAACCTCTCCTCCTCGCAATCACCCTCACCACCTCATCCAAAGCCCATCCCGAGCGCCCTGAGATCAAACCGCCAGGCCCTCGGATTGACCACTGTGGAATCCATCTCCTTCAACCCCCCGCCATCTCCCTGATGAAATCCATCACAGCATGACTCTATCCTGATTCACCCGTCACGACCCCCCTCCCAATCGTCCAGCAATGGCCGTCCTGTCGCGGTCCTCCCTCCGCGGCTCCATGCGACGGATCCCAAACGACCACCTGGACTACGACCGCCAGGGACCTCCGATGAAAAGACAAAGGACCCTTCACGATCTCTGGCCCGTCAACCGTCGCAGAAGCTCCCCGGACTGCCTCGACGCCACCACACCAACCCACGATCCTGCCCCGAGCAAAGCTCGACACGCCCTGCCTCCTGCCAAGCCAACGCGCCCACGCTCAGTGGCCCGTCGTACTCGACGAACGTCTGCTTCCTCCGTGGACAGCGTCTCGTTGGGCGATCAATTGACCACCCCGGCAACCCCTCGCGTCTATGGTAATGGCGTCACGACTCTTCGGCGTGTTTCCGATCGGGAGATACCCGCGGGCACACGCTCCGCGACGGATTTGCTACGCGACGAGCCCGAGTCGCCCGATCCATTGGATACGATCTCTCCAGTGGTGACGGCGAATACGGTCAAGACGCGTCCGGGAGTGTATGCGCGCTCGGCAGAGTCTGAGAAGAAGCTGTCTAGATCACCTGCCGCGACGCGCTCTTCCTGGCGTGTTGGTCATGATGCGAAGCCGGAGCAGGCGGATACAATGCAATCGACTGTCGAGTCGGAGGCTGTAAACGCGATGCGGGTGCAGTCGCCCGATGTGCGACCGGCAGATGCGACTCGGTCGCAGCAGCAGCAGCAGGTCGAGACGGAGCACGATGCTTCAGCACCGACAGGAAACGAGAGGCGATCGCTGCGCTCCGCAGATACTGGTTCTCGATGTAAGAGCGAGCTAGCGCAGTATTTCCATAATTACGAGCAGATCATCAGTCTCGACGATCCTAAACCTGGTAAGTCTGGGCCTCGACACTACAGAGGAGGTGTTGCGTGAACTAACGGATGCATCCTAGAACTACTCGCTTTCAACACGATTGTCACATTGATTGACGACCTACCCGAACCTCTACCATCTCTCTCCTCCGATCCATCACCTTTTGGCAACCCGCTACAAAAACTGTACAATTGTGAAGTAGTAACATTGCCCGAGCCGGCATCGAGTACGGCGGGTATCGATCCTCTGAACGAAGACCTATATTTCCGCGCGCACCGCAAATTCGAGCGCCAGGAGAAACAGCTACGAAATATTGAGCGAGATCGTGCACAGCATGAGAAGCAGCATGTAGATCGTCTTCTTGAGGAGCTCCGCAGTCAAGATTGGCTGCGCGTGATGGGTCTGACCGGCATTCACGAGAACGAAAAGAAACTATACGAACCCAAACGTCAGATCCTCATCGAGGAGCTCGTCGCTCTCGTCAATAAGTTCCAAGTATGGAAGGACGAAGAGCGGAGACGCAAATTGCTCAAGGAAAAGCATCTGCCAACGGGCGAGGCCGAGACGGACGCACATGGCCCTCGACAATCCCGCAAGCAATCACGACCCGTCGAGGATGCCGCAGAAGAAAGCTCGCCTTTACCAGACACCCCCAGCACCCCGGACCCGAACGACGTGGACGCCTGGGCTGCGCGCCAGCTACACCAAGAAGCACGATCCGCCTCCGTCGCCAAACGGCGCAAATCTGTCTCAGAGAACCGCAAGTCCAAGGCTGGACGTGCAGAAGCCGACCACTCTACAACAACAGAAATCAAACCCAACTCCAAAAAGCAAAAGCCCCAACAACCTCCACCCTCGTCTGTAGCTACATCACCACCCCCTCCTCCTCCGGCACCTTTCGTCTACCCTCTACCCCCAGATAAACCCTTTACCTCATTCTTCGAACAGCCACACCACCGTGAGCTGGCCCTAGCTGCTGTGAATGGCACGCGGCGCGGTCGTACACATACTATCCTCGCATTTGGCCATCCCATGCCCGACATGTCTGAACGAGATTTCGAACCTCCCGAGGAAATCTTGACAGACGAGGCGATTTACGCCTCGCAACGACAGCGGCGGCTTTTGAAGCGGCGTAGTCGTGGGTGAAATCGAGTCCGGGCTTGAATGGATTTGACAGCTAACGACACCGATCTTCTTGGACTGGCGTTGTCATCCTCTTCCGTTCTTCTTCTTCTTCTTCTTCTTCTTCTTCTCCTCCCTACTATTCCTCCCCGCTGATTCATTCTTGTTTACACGCATCTATGTATCGGCGTCTGTATGATTTTGGACGATAGCATTTCGGCGTCTGGGCATGGCATTTTGGGTGTGTTTCTTCTTGGACGGGGAACGGGAGTTTTGTCTTTTTTTAACATGGCGTTTGCAAATGTGGCCACGCCTTTTGCGTGGGAGATTTGCATAGCTACCCTCGCAGCCCGTAAAGGGTTGTCGAATATCAGCCTAACAGCTTATGTTTTCTCCTCTTCCATGGCGTGTGTCGCTCATGATGTCATGATTTCAAGCAACCTCGTATGTAAATTTTAGATTGCAGATTCGTGCATCGCACGTAGCCCGTAAGATATTCATGCGTGTGTGCATTGTGTTGGCAGAGCAGTGGATCTTGCTTACACTGCTGCAAGGCTGAGTGAGATTGAAAGGATCCGCGCCCGAATCCTTGACTCGGCTCCATTGTCTCGCACATGATTTCAGATGATAAGTCCTGTTTCGCTCTTTTGAGAGTCGTAAATTGAAATTCCATACTCTATCTTTCTTTACGGTGCACAAGTTCTATACATTCTGTACTGTAGCGCTGCCACTCTGCACTTGAGAACCCTGAAATAAATACCTACAGACCAATTTTCTGAAGACTGATTGCCCAAGGACCCACACTAAATAAGCCATGTGGTCAGGCCCCCAAAAAGCAATAAACAACATCAGCTTCAAGCCTCGTCAATATTCTAAAAAATCCCCAGACAAAACCCCGGCCTCTCTTTCCATCTTTCCCTTCTCCCAACCCTACCCTATCCCTCATACACCTCTCCCATCCACACCTCTCTCCAATATTATCCATCACAATGTTAGATTTACCCCCCGACCTCCCAGACTACCTTCTCACCGCAACCCTAACCGTCCTCCTCCCAACAACATCCCTAATTCTAACCCCCAAAAATTCCCCCCTCCGCTACATAACCCTAGCAACTATTACGTACCTCTCATCCCGCTTCATCAAGGCCACTCCAGATGCAAGTGTAATCCGCACCGTCGTCTCCGCCCAACTAATCCTCATAACCGCCCAAGCCATCCACCTCCTCCTGATCAAGCGTCTAGACGACCGCGACATTGCGCGCGAAATCCCCCACCGCGCATTCTTCCGCTCTGATAGACTCTGGCATGCGGCCGAGGCCCTCATCCAGCCGCGTGGTGTCAACACGCCACGGGAAGTTAAGAATATTCCCGCGCACCCGGGTTATTATGCGTCCCGCCAGACTGCGAAGGATGGCGCCAGTGACCCTATTCCCCGTGGTCAGTTTCTGACACGGCAAATCAGCATTTTCATATGGCAGTATCTAGTATTGGATATCTTGCAGACGGTGGCTCGAGAACAAGCCCTCCGAGATGGTGGTGGTGGGTTTCGTGGATTCACACGTATAGATTGGTTTATATCCCCGGAAGAATGGCTTCAACGCGGTCTCACGAATTTGATAACTTGGTTCGTGGCGACCAGAATCTTGATCGATGCGAATTATCGATTCGCCTCTATCATTTTTGTGGGACTTGGATGGGATGGCCCTGAGAATTGGCCGCCGGCATTTGGCCGGATGAAGGATGTTTACACGGTTCGGAAATTTTGGGGGTGAGTTAGATGTCTCTACACCGTGATTGCGCCTAAACGGCTCGAATTGACCCCATTTACATTCTCCATTTTGTGAGTATTTGGTTGTTGGTACAAGAGATACTCATGCGGATTACAGAAAATTCTGGCATCAATTCCTCCGCGGATCGTTCCAGGGAATAAGCAATTTCATCGCGAGAGATATCCTGCATCTTCCCCGGCCGTCAATTCTAGAGCGATACACGAATATCTTCATCGTGTGCTTCCTCTCGGGCATTCTACACGTTTGGACAGATTACGTCCAAAACATTCCATTCGAGAACTCGGGCGCCTTGATCGGGTTCACCAGCACCGCGCTCGCGATCATGTTCGAAGATGGCGTGCAACACCTTTGGAAACGCTTCAGCCCACCGACTGAGAAGAAAGATTCCAGTGAAGACGATTTACCGCCGCTGTGGCAGAGGGTTGTGGGTTATGTTTGGACGTTGACTTGGTTGGGCGTTACTTCGACGTGGTTTCTTTATCCTAACAATGAGTTGCCGAAGGAGCATGCGATGATTGTTCCGGTGAGCTTGGCGGAGAGGGTTGGTATGCAGCCTCTGGGGGGCGTTGTTTTGGGGACTGGGTTGTTGGTGGGATATCTCTTCAAGGCTGAGATTTGAGATGTTTTGTTCGTGTGAATGGAGTTGCGGTCGATGTGTGTTGAAACCTGGTTCGCATGTATAGAAATCAGTATGGTATAGATCATTTGATGATGCTTATAAGGATTGAGAAAGGAGAGTCTACAAAAAGGAGTGAGAGCATATCTGTCCATGGGCATAACCGAGCGTGCTTGTATGGAAATTAGCGCTATTTGAGAGACATGTTTGAATGCAGGAAGACCTTATGGAGGCTCTCACGGTGAGTAGTAAAATGCGGTAAACATCGTTGGAGTTTAGCTCAAACTTGTACGATAGAGTTCCCGAGCGAAATTCTAGTGGACTCGAACAATGGCTAGACTAATTGTAATCTGTAAAAGAAGAATAATGAGTCCCTAGCGGTCGATTTTTTCATGACTTTTGAATGTGAGAACCGAACTATAGATTGGTTCCGAATCTCGAGAGGAGAATCAAAAGGAACTCCCCTACGCATAAAGCTTAATTCGTCAGTGGCCATGATCTCTCGTTCTCGAGAAGAAGGCTGCTAACGCTTCTAACGGCTTTTCATTGGGGGAAGCCTTTGCTGCGACCATGGCATTTAATCTTTATCTCCGTTCTGTAGAAGAGAGAACTCGGAGAGAGATTTCCCTCGCTTATTCAGTATTGGGTATCGTTGGGATCGGACTTACCACGTGGGACCTTTACATAGATCCGTGTAAGTAGACCATCGACACAGCCAACCATATAGCGTTAAATCAGCCTTATGAGCCGAGAACCCATAGACACGAGCAATGTTGCAAAATCTGTCTAGCCACTGAGTCACGCTTCAAATCGGTGACGCGCCAAAAGTGGCCACCGATGGGACTTCGGAGGGAGACCGCGCAAGGTTGAAGGCCGATTTCGCAGCGGCAGATCTACGGCTAAGCCACCTGCCTCAAACGACACTATAGACATCGATACAAGCTCCAAAGAATTTAGCCTGGTGGCTGACCTAAAATTTCTTTGGAGCCGCCAGTCCCTGCAGAGATCTACGGAGCTTATCCGCCATATCAAACTTGCATCGTTTTTCAAGATTCTGGCAGCCAAAACTAAACTTGCATAAAAATAGCTGCATTTACAAACACGTAGCCACGCCGGCATCGGCGAAGAACTTTTTTTTTCCATTCGGTTTCCCCAGTTTTTCACAGGGGATTGGACTCCGTCCGGTGCCTTTCGCATGGTTTCTATTACGTCTCGGGGCCGTGATTCGTGCACTCGGGCCGAAGGCCAGTTCCATCGGTGGCTGTAGGACCCACTCCGAACCGGCCCCGTTCTCTAAAGAGTGGCCGAGAACTGAAACTGTAGGAATTGAGTCAAGCGATCGTCTGGTGAAATTTCTTGAGCTTGATATTTTCTGATCTTTCTCGACTTTTATATCTCTCGCGACTGGTGCATCCTGGTATTTCGATATTTGGTACAGCTTGTCCACGATTTTGTGATAATTACCGGAGACTTGAATCATTCGAGGACTATACGACATTACAAAATCGACTGCTACTATGAGCCCTCAGGTGGATGGCCCAGCTGAGGCTGCGGATTTGGAAAATGCTCGTCAGAAGGGCGTCGATGTCCCGCCTGTCGAGTTCGAGCCCGAGGACAAGATGAACAACACGCCCGAATACAAGCAAGATGCCTTTGGCAATGAGGAATTCGCCGAGGTCAAGTATAAAGTCATGAAGTGGTGGTATGTACAGAATCCGATCCCATCGAGCTTGGCATATTAATTAATTCGCTGGTGCTAGGCAATGCGGTTTGCGTATGTGATTTATACGAATTGAAGAAAAAAAAAAGGATATCTATCTAACACATCCCTAGTCATGGTTGCTGAGACCGTCTCTCTCGGTGTTCTGTCGCTCCCTGCCGCCGTCGCAACATTGGGTCTTGTCCCGTATGTTTTCCAAATAAGCAAGAATCTCTACCTCGATACTGACGTCTTTGACAGTTCAATCATTCTCATTCTTGTACTCGGCGTGCTCGCTACCTGGACCGGTTACATGATTGGACAAATGAAACTAAAGTACCCCTACATCATGACCATGGCTGATGCAGGAGAAGTTCTCGGCGGCGCATTCGGCCGTGAATTCATGGGTGTCTGCCAAATTCTTTTCCTCATCTTCATCATGTCGAGTCATCTTTTGACCTTTACCGTTGCTATGAACACTATCACCAACCACGGCACCTGCTCGCTCGTGTTTGGTATCGTTGGCACGATCATCTCCTTCCTATGCTGTCTGCCGCGCACACTAGAGAAAATGTCCTGGTTGTCGCTCGTTTGTAAGTACATCCCTACCACTCTCTCCCCATCGAAACCATGCTCATCCCGCTTCTAGCATTCGTGAGCATCATTGTCGCAGTCTTCATCTGCATGATCGCCGTGGGCATTGAAAACCCCGGCAGCGGAGTCGTGGCTGTGGCCAAAACCGATCTCTACCACGGCTTCTCGGCCGTGTGCAACATCGTCTTTGCTTTCTCCGGCCACGCTGCCTACTTCGGCTTGATGGCTGAGTTGAAGAACCCCCGTGACTTCACCAAGTCTCTCTGCCTGCTTCAGGGCATTGATATCTGTCTTTACCTGGTTGCCTCCCTGGTGATCTACCGCTACGCCGGTGACGGTGTTACCTCTCCTGCTTTGGGATCAGCTTCTCCTCTGGTGGCCAAGATTTGCTACGGAATTGCCCTGCCTACGGTAACTATGCTTTCTTGCAGCTTACATATCATTGAGATCCACTCCTAATAACTGATGGATTGTAGATTATCATTGCCGGTGTCATCAACGGCCACGTCGCAGTCAAGTACGTCTACGTCCGACTTTTGGCTGGAACGGACCGCATGCACAAGCGCGACTGGGTCGCCGTCAGCTTGTGGCTCGGCATTGCTGCCGCTCTTTGGATCATTGCGTGGATTATCTCGGCCGCGATTCCCGTCTTCAGCAACCTGCTGAGTCTGATTGTACGTCTCTGCACAAGAAAAATGCGTCTTTCATTGCTAACCTCAAGCCTTTAGACTGCTCTTTTCGCCTCCTGGTTCAGTTATTGCCTGGGCGGTGTTTTCTGGCTGTACATCTACAAGGACCGTCTGACCTCGCCGCGGATGATCATCTTCAGCATTATCAACCTGATCCTTATTGGAATTGGATTGACAATCGTATGTTACTCTCTACTTCACTTTGGAGGACCTTGTTGCTAACTCTCTTGACAGTGTGGTATGGGTCTTTGGGTGTCTGGAAAGGCTATTCACGATAATCCCAGCAGCGCGAGCTTCTCGTGTGCAAATAATGCTTGATGTTGATGAGGTACCATCATTTACTGTCTATTTTACGCACTAATTAGCATTTACTGCGGCGTTGTGGGTCAGAAGGGTTTCTTGTGAAAAGCATTTTCATCTATAAATATACCGAGGCTTTAATTTGATATTCGTTATTTATTCTCAAACAACTTCCTTTTGATAATGTAGGTGATAAGATAGCTCCTGGCTCTCGAGAACTGCAGTGAGGAGGGTGTAAATTCTGTACGCCCAATGGGACGGAAATGATCTTCCTGATCACTGGGCGATGGTGGCCCTGGTCATCGATCACGAAGCGCCCGAACAAAAGCATTTGGACGGAGCGTGGGAGGATTCGAGCTCGCGCTGGAAACGGCGACTCGATGATCTGATAAACAGTTCTAGATCGATATCATGCGACCTAGACTAGGCAATATAGAAGTGGCTACAACGCGCTCACGTTGGAGTAATACCACGTCGCCAAACTTGGAGCCTGTGTCTTGGATGAGGAGCCTACACCGATATTAGCATATCACTCAATGCAGCGTACAATGTGACGAATTTGACAAGAAACAGCATTTCAGAGAGAAGATTAAGGTCGTCAAAGCCTTACACATTTGCTAGATGGTATGGTCTTCCGACTAAGGATGACTTGTTTTTTTTTCATCATGGTATGCTGGGGGTCGAGGGACAGAAAGAAAGGACTCGACTTACCAAATTTTATGTACGAGGCACCTGGGAAGGTATTGTCAGACGCTTGGAAGTTTTTCCGACACAAGAGTGCACTATCACCGGGCACCTTGGCCAAACTCATTTCTGATTGAAGCACCCTTCAATCCTCATAAGAAATGATTCTCCGTCCAGGATACGGTGCGCGCGGGTCAGTCGGACGTGCGCTTGGAGCTTGGCCCTGCTCGACATCTTCATAATCAAGAGTCTGCTCCGGCTCATTATGCATTTGGCGATAACCCCTTTTCTTCGACTTGGCTCCGCCTGAGGAACGACGACGGCCCTGATCCTGGCCATGAGCTGTGTGGTGCGCGTTTTTCTCATCATTCAAGTTTCCCTCATCAGGGACCAGCTCTTCCTGGCGAGTCTCTACCGCAGGATCCGCTGCATCATCGATAGAGAGCTTCCGAGCTCGGGCTTCATACTCTGCCTCATCCTGCTCCAACTGTCTCTTGCGCAGCAGGGCGTGGATCTCGCTGTGTCTGAAGATGCGGATTTGTTCGTCTGTCAAGGTACGCTTCACACCGTCGGGATAATAACCGAGATCATCTTCGTCGGCGTAGAGCTCGTCTTCGACGACAGGTTCTGCGGCAGGCGCGTGCAGAGGTTGGTGGTGGCCAGGGAAGTGAGCTGCTTGAAAGGCTTGGAGATCTTCCTAAGAAAAACAGCTTTGTTAGCTTGGACGATTTACTTTGACAGTAATGTAGGGACCTGTTGACTTACTAGAGTGACAGTTGGGACCTGCATCGCGTTTGAGGAGAGATGCACTTGTCAGGTTGGGAAGACGCGCGCGACGAGGTTACGTAAGATAGGATTCGGTAGTTTCCTAGTCGGGACCCGACGAGATAATCGTAAGTGATATTTGATTCTTTATGAACATGAGGGCTCAAGTAATTCAGAGGCCGGAGATTTCTTCAAGGGTGTTTCAAGAGCGCTGATACGTGAGTGAAGTTTTTTGAGGGCCTAGAGCGATGCTAGACTCGAGATCCAAAGCTCAAATTGAAGCTGCTCTTCTCGAAGCAGATTTGCGCTTCAAAGCTGTATAACGGTTTTAGTAGCATATAATCATCATTCATGATCTGTCGTGTAGTTTTCCCCGCCTGAAAATATCATATTTCACTCGGAAATACAACACTCTCAACATGATTTCCAATCTTAACCTTCACACTATCAAAGCTAACCCTCATACTCCCTACATCCCCCAACTCCAACCCCCTGACACGCTCCTCATCCTTCTTACTAGGTTCAACCAAGCTCCACGCCAACGAGATATGGAAACAATCCGAGTAGTCCCCGCTAAATTCATTCAGATCCTGACCCCGGCCATGTGCGACCGGCGCACGGTTCCGACGAGCCCCGCGCGAGGACGCATACAGCGATGGTTGGTCAAACGCAGCCAGTGCACGATTCGACAGCGCAAGTAAGCGATTCAGACCATCTGATACTGGTCGCGCAACGTGGAGGACCAGGAACCAGCGTGTGCGCTCATGATTGGATACCCATTTGAGAGTATCCGGGATGACGGTGAAACTGGGAATGTATGTTAGTGGGGTCACACTTAAGAGGAGAAAGATCTGAAGTGTTCCGAAACGATGCACGGGCGGTGTCTTGTCTTACGGTGGAATGTATGAGTCTCGTATACTTCTAGTCAAGGTCTCGGTGAACGAGGCACGCTGCTCGGTCCGTAGGACCACGGGGGCTGATAAACTGATGTGCAGTGGGAGCTGGGCGCCCAAGTCGCTATGCAAAAGACTGTGCAGGCGCGGGGTGCTGGTATTTTCAGTATCGCTGTCGTCGGACAGACCCGCCGGACCTTGAGCGCGAGCTATGAGGGCTGCAAGGAGCGCAAGCTCATCCTTGGCCGGGTACCCTGTTTCTCTCCATTAGCGATGAAACTTGAGACAAAGCGAGGGCCAAGAGCGCACACACATTCCACGTAGACATGTGTCGACCAGTTGCCTTCCACATGGGGTATGACGCGTTTCCGGCCTCCATGGAGGCTGGGGTCATCCTTTACACTGACGCGCGTGCTCGAAGCATAGAGGTCGTGGAAGGCTGCTGGCAATGGAGGCAGTGCTAGCCCTTTGGAGGGAGCTTCATGGCGTGGTTTCTTGGCGGGAGGTGATGCGGGCTGGCAGTCTGCATCTGACTCGGAGTCAGAATATTGCACCAGGGACATGAATTTTGGGTGGTGACTCTTGCTGGTGAGAGTGCAGAGTGCAGGGGTTGGTCTATGCTTTGTTTTTTTGATGTGGGGGGGTTGGGTTTTCGGATGCGGAGAGCCTGAGAATCAGTGTCTGCAGTTGGTTGATGGTTTCGTATGTAGTTTACGCCGTTCGTGTCGACGTTTAGGAACTCGGTCATTCCAAACCGAATCTCGGTTTTGTCAGCGAGGACTACTCAATGTGTCCTCGCACAGGTTGAATTTGTAGCTTTCTCAATCAATCAATTCATCCTGTCTGGGTTGGTCCCGCTTGATTCTGATTCGCTAAAGCGTATACTAGTACGATTTCACAACGCTCTGTTAGATAGAGAATCCTTCGAGCAGCTGCAAAGCAAGGAACAATCCATTTAAAGTTAGCAAGCCTTGCAGCTACTGTAACGCAGCATTTCAATAGTCGAAGGGGCCAATAGGGCCATCCGAATAGCCATAAAGAATTTGAGGGGGATTTATGCGCGGCGTATAAACGCTTACATGCACTGAAGCGATCGTGCACAGGAGGCAAAAGGTCGTGCGATGTAATCGTACATCCACAATTATGGAAGTAAGGATGATCAAGAGAGAACAAGGATCGTCTTATTAGATAAAAAGGTCGAATAGTGGAGGTTCGACGCAGAATGGTCATGTATGCCCCGGAGCTCTACTCAAGATCACAAAAGATTTCATTATGCAAGAAAAACAGGTAGAATGGATACTGTAACGAGAGGTACACAACAGGAAAAGATCAAGAATATTCGAAATAATGGAGGGGGAATGCGAGAGTCTTAGGAATATCGTTGCTTTTTCGTCTGATGCCATAGTTGATGATGATAATCACTAGATAACATGGCAGTCTGTACGAATGCGCCACATTATTGATCCAAGAGCTTATGTGTGAATGCGTGTACTGCGGGAGATCGCACACCCAGATGATCTGCCTTATAAGCATTCTTCACTGGATATATATAACAGATGAATATCTGCCCTTGGTTCCGCTGACCGTGGTTAAGTCAGACTCGAGATTTTGGCTACGCTTTGTCTGACTAAAAAAGATCACTTCTTCTTTTCATCATGCAAATTTTCCTGCCTATTGCCTTCCTTCTCGCTGCAGTTCCGTTAACAGCAGGCACCTGTGGTGAAAACGATGTTAGTATCTTGCTTTCTGATCATGATCACTTCTTGATATGAGTCCGTAGTTATTTAGACTAACACTTTGGTTTCATACCTAGGTTTGTAAGAAAGTGTACAAATGGTCGATGGAGGATTTCATTCCAACAGACAGTAATTGCGACTGTCCTGATGGGGTAAAAACCAGGGTCCATAATGGAATATCTTTTTGGGCAATTGCCTGCTAACTGCTTTTGCCTAGACCTCGTGCCAGTTCTATCAAACTGACTACCTCACAAACCCTCAGGTCAGCCCCCCGTCTATTCATAATACTAAGATGAAAATACTAATAACGATTAGAGGGTTGTTGAGGAGTGGAGATGTCAATAAACCTAAGCCCTCCTTTAGGTGTGGATATGTGATGTTTAGTCCAAATCTGTTTTGGCATAATGTATTTTCAACATAGATACCTATCTTTGGGTTTCAGGATCAGGTATCATATGGAGTTATGCCGCAAAAGATTGCACTCAATTGACTATTCTTTGGCGTTTGATATGATCGCACTGTAAACTGAGTGTATGTTATACACTAGCCATTGGTAGAATGTGCTTCCCGAACCGCTGTTCATTATGACTATGCTTCCTTTACTTTTGAATTCAAAGTTATTAAACTGTTTTATCCGGTGGTTGACGAGCTTCACTAGACGAATGCTTGTTCCAACATGTTTATCTCCTGGAAATTTGATGATTTTCTGCCATGAATGAAACATCAAGTGGTGACTGGCGAAAGTGTGCCTAGGAGATTTGAGTCTCTTAGGGAATTGGTGATGTTCGAGAGCTTGACGGTCCCGTCTGTGGAGCCAGAGGCGATCTGCTTACTGTCTGAAGTCACGCTGAATGATCGACTATCCTTATCAGGCCGGGCTTTGACGCTGTCGAAAATTCTTCTATTGAATTTCTCAATTTTCCTGTTGCAACTAGCAGCCTGTGGCATTTGCGATACCGTGGATCATGTCTGAGATAAGCTTAAGGTTAGAGGGGCCAAAGTTTGGAGCCATCCCGGTTTGGCCAGTCAAATTGATGGTTAAGTTCTTTATATACCTTCTCTGCTAAGGCGGGATAGAAAGGTGCCGAATGTCATACATCACCGTCGACTACAACCCCACTAGGTACATTTGCGGTCTGGGTAACCAGAGGTGGGGGCATGAGCAGACGAGGAGGACCGTTTCCATCGATTGGGCAGTTCAGGTCGGTAAGCATCATCATCATCATTATTATCATCATCATCATCGCTCAAAGGAGTGTAAGTCATTCCCCCAGGGCAGAAGATGCCACTGAGGAGTCTATTAACATGGCTGTGAGTTAGCTGCTACCAAGTGTGTAACTGGGCGTCAAGAAGTGAAGAATCTGGCTGACAGGCTGAGCACTATGATAAGCAGGCTCATGAGTAGGCTGCAGGTTCAGTAGGGAAGTAACGCAAGCCACTTATTCCGAGGACCGGTGTCGAGTAAGCCCCCCCAGTCCGTCACTTGGACAAAGAAGTGGCAGAGGGCAGAGTGGGGATGCCAGATCCTCGAGGCACCCCCAAGCTCTACTGTTTGACGTTTTTGCATTTCCATTATCGGTCGCCAGTTACAGTTACAAGGCACCGTAAATGAATAAGAGTGAAAGGTAGAGGAAGATTGATAATCCGGACTCTTCCTAATCCGGTCTAAATTTTTCTTCGTGGTGGGGCTACAGCGTCTCTCCAAGAGTGTAGGGTGCACCACTTTTGAGACGCACTGTAAAAGCCGTAGCGTCATCGCAATGACTGGTGGGAAGCCTCGGAATGGTAGATGTAACTACAAAACTGCGATTTCTGAGCAATCATAATGAGTCGGGCCAGTCCGGGGCCAGTCGATGTTCACCGATGCTCACCTGACCCTGTCCGCCAGTCAGCGTGGCTGCGTCTGCCTGGGCTGTTGGGTACCCGCGCCGATATCGACGTCGCGGGGCATGATGGTGTTGGTAGGACCATTCGTTATCATTCTGCTAACATTGAAGAGGGGGGGAATCTATATCATAGTGGACTCCTTCAGGGTCCGTTTTGCCCCCGGATGATATCACAAGTGTGATCGTCATCGTCGTGCAAGGGGATTAGTGTACCCGCAGGGACCCGGGCTAGACCCGAAGGGATGATTGGTGGGGTCGAGAAAGGTCCAGCATTCCCTAAAGGGGCTTAGTGCCAACCGATGGCAGTTCTAGCGTTGGAGGGGAGGCTTCTTATCGATAAGCCCAGGCCCACAGCCCCGAGTGAAGAGTTGAACGGAATACGCAAGTCAGTCACGTCACCCTCCGTCTCTTCCGTACTGGTACCTTCTCGGAAAAGTCTAGTCCTCTTAAAAGAGCCAGCATGGAAACTTTGGTTCCTAGGTCTCATCTGCCATCTCGAGATTTTGATTCTCTCCTCTCTCCCAATTTTCTACCTCAGATCTTTTCTTATACAAGAATCCTTCCCCGCTTCCTCTACACCGCATCTCTACACCTCAGCTCTGTGGGATCTACCCTGCATACTTTCCTCTCCATACCTCAGCCCCACTAGTTTCGTATCGGGTCACTCTCCGAAGTATACTTTTCTATACACCGCGTGATCTTTGCAAGGGGACAAAACTATAACTCCCCTCTTTTCCTCCCGTCTTCCCTCTCGTCACGGAAACTCTTCAACCAGTCTCTATACACTCGCACCAAATGGCTGCTGTCGACTGTATGTCGATGGCCTCGCGCCATCATCCACACCACCCTTACAACCACCAGCACGGCCGAGATCGGGAACGCCGCTCGAGCTATTCCACCCTGGGCAGCAATAACCCGTATGCCCAATACATGTCACCAGCATCTTCAGTGAACTCTCACACACACCCCAAGCGGTCTCGCTCGGGTTCCTTCCCCTCCGTACCCACCGTTTCCATGGATTCACGCCGGCGGTCCGGCTCTCCCGAGCACCAGCCGGTGTACCCGAGACAGCGAGAGAGCTCGGGATCCCGGCGACGTCGCTCGCAGCAGCGATATTCGCGAAACTCACAGCTTGTGAATCCGGATATTATTGACAAGCTGGACGATGTGACTTCCTATTCTTATCACCACGAGGGTCCATATGATGCGGTTTGCCCCGAGCGCAATCGTATTAGCCATCACAGTCCGCTCGAGGCAGTCAGAGAGTCGAATGAAGAAGCGCTACGTGCTACGCCGCGCGATAAGATTATCGATTCCTTGCACAGCCACCGCCCACTCGATGGCACGGCTTATTTCCCTCCCGGTACGACCGACCGGGATGGACAAACGTACGAGTATGAAGAAGGATCGAATATGATGGATGAATACGGGATGTTTATGCGCCTTCCTGGCCAGGTATGCACATTTATATCCATGCAACTCCAGATCAAACCCTCTAACTTTTCACCCTAGAAATTCACCGACGAGGATTTCAAGAATGACCCATTCTATAATCAGCCCATCCCCAACCCATTCGTTCAACTGAAGAAGAAACTCAGTCTACGCCGCAACAAGAGGCGGAGTAGCGCCTAGACGTGTCCTCGTGACTTTGTTTGACTCGACCCTCTCTCTGTCATTTCCTATATTATGATTCAATGACGATGTACGCACTTTTTCTGTTATGACTGGACGAGACCCTGATAATGAGCTGGAGTTTGGGATACTGGGAATCCGGTCTGGTTGATTTTATGTTTATTCCATGTTTTGAATGTCTGCGGCCTCGACCGCGCTCTTGCTCAGGTGTTTAATAGGGAACTCGGCGTTATGGATGTCACGGATATGGAACCTGAGTATTTAAGAATTATTGCAATCGAATCGATTTCCCAAGATCACAGAACCTCATGATGCGGTCATCTCACGACTCTTTGATTTGCCATTTGGTTAGATTTGCCTCCTTTCGTCAACCTGATCTCAACAATCTACCAACCCATCTCCCTTGCACACAGTAGCTCTATTCACAAATCCAAGTATTCTCTCCAATGAACCCTCCCACGAATTCCATTCCTAGATAATCAAATCACCATCAAAATGACAGACTACCAACCAAACCACCCCGTCGAAACCCTCGGTCCCTTTCACCCCCCAAAAGTCGACCGCCAAGCCATAAAACCCTCCATCGCCCGCCGCATCACCATAAAAGTCACCGACCCTCTCGACCACGAAGTTCCCGCCATCCTCCACGAACCCCGAACCACACCCACGACCAGACAACCCCCCAGCGCAGTCGTCCTCGTCTCCGGCGCCGGAGGCGGCGTCGCAGGCCCAGCAGGAATCTACCCCTCGCTAGCAGACAAAATCACCCTCCTCCTCTCCATCCCCTGTATACGGCTGGACTACCGCGAACCCGCGCAGACGGGGTACTGCGTCGCCGATATGCAAGCTTGCTTTGACTACCTACGCGATCACTTCGGTGCGGACCGGTTCGTCATCGTGGGCTGGTCCTTTGGCGGAAGTCCCTGCTTCACCGTCGCAGCGCGCGAACCCGCCCGCGTCGCTGGCGTAGCGACTATCGCGTCACAGACTGCCAGGACGGAGGGTGTGGCTAGACTTAGTCCGCGGCCGATGTTATTGCTGCACGGGGAGGATGATCACGTTCTTGCGCCTAGTTGTTCGAAGTTGCTGTTTAATCAGTATGGGATTCATGGAGATCGGGAGATGAAGCTTTATCCCGGTGATGATCATGGGTTGACGAGGCATGCGGCTGAGGTTGAGGGGAAGCTGTTTGGATTTGTGATTAAGTGTCTGGGGCTGAGTGAGGGGCTAGGGTGGGATGTTATGTGGCAGGCTGGTCGGGATCTGGTGGGCGAGAGGGAGGGGAGGGTCAAGGAGATGGAGATGGGGAGGGATTTGGAGGGGGGAGAGAGGCTGTTTTGATTTTGGTTTGATAATGTAGATAACAGTGAGATGAAAGAATGGATTGTAGTTTATTTAAGAGTGTTCCTAGTCATTCAGTGAGTCACTTTCTCGGAATATAGCATTTCGTAATTAACCGAGCAAGGAAGATGGGCTGGTCATTCATGTTAGGGCTTGATGGTCACTCATTCTCCGGGGCGCTTTCTCAATATGAAGGTTATGGGAAGCAAACATGTTAACTAACATAGAAAGTTACATACAAGCGAGCCCTATTTTACCTCCAGAAGCTTTAGAAGCCCCACTGCGTCAAATATCCCTCCAAGTTGCTTGCACTCTCAGCTTTCAACTCCTCCAGCTTCTCTGGTGTTCTCTTCTCCAAGAAGCCGTCAATAAATCAATAGGCCTCGCACAGATCCTGAGAGAACCACCATATATCTGCTATATCCCCCGCTTTCTCGATCGTCAAGGGCTTTTTAGCTCCTACGTGAGACAAAGCATTATCCCATGCTCGAGCAAGCTTCCACTTGTCTTCAACCCCTTCATCCAGAAATGGAAATCCCTTCAAGATATAGTTGCGTAGGGGGTCAGGGTCGGAGCTTCCAGGGAGTAATCCACCTAGATCCCAGAAAGAAAACAAGTACTCGGATATTGGCGCACCGATATGAGCAAAGTCGAAGTCTAGAACCGCATTTAGGCGATTACTTGTGCGATCGAAGAGTAGGTTAGGCAGGCCTGGTATAAAATGACTGATTAGATGCCATGTTAATTTTTGAAGAAGACTTTAATAGACGTACACAAGTCTGCATGTATTAGAGTTGGCTTTTGCTCGGGGATTTTATCCAGAAGCTGGTCGAGCCCCCTAGTGAAGAAATTCTCTAATCGTTCGCGTAAACCAGGTATATCCCGCCACCCATTGAGATAAGAACTTCGGTCACTCATTTTGAGTTGCCAGGTACACATTCCTCGTATAAATTGTTGATAGGAATGGAAAGGTCCACCACAAGGCAGTGTTGAGGCGGTATTCACGATTTCACCTTGATCATCAAACTTTAGGCCACCATACATACTAACAGATTAAGGAAGTCGATAATCCTGAAACGCTTTAACAACCCGTGCTATCTGATATAGCAGCGACTGTCGAGTGTTGTGATCTAGTGCAAGGATCTCATCTGGACTTAGTGAGTCCCCCTGGATAAATTCTTCCATGATCCAACTATAAGGCGTAGGGCTGGTGGAAATCTCATCTTCCCATCTGAATACTCGCGGGGTCACTAGGTCATCGATAGTAGACAATGCATCGCGCGCTAGAGCGAGGAATGCCACTTCATTCTGGATTCGCACGGAATCTTCCAAATTCACATTGTTCTTAGAGATTCGCAATACCAATTTTAACGTCCCTGCTGGGATTGCTGATGTATAGGGCTTTGAAAATCCACTCTTTGCCGGCGATGACTCTGTGAGCGGCCGATCAAGACGAATAAGGTAGACATGATTGTTGTTCGCCTTTTCCATGTCCTCGATTGTGAAACTATTCTTCTGGATTCCAGAGTGCTCCACGACTAAGGAGGTCACAAATTCATAATGCCGGCTCTTGAGAGTGTTCATAATGAGAGGTCAAAAGGGAGGGTGTGTTTCCTGAGATTTCGAGAGTAGTGGCTTCAACATTCATATCGTGCCATTGTACTTCATATATAGACGGAACATTATAGGAAGTCCGACGGTCACTGATACACCATGTCGTGCTCCTCTGTGATGGTGACGTTTGAGAGTGATCCATGTGGGTCAAAATAATCCTGGGTGCTGTTAGCTGAAACTAGGCCTACTGCAATGAGTCGGAGTAGAACGCCCTATCCATTCATTAATATCCACAGATAACAAATGACAATTCGTTATTATTGGGTGTTACAGTATCGGTATCCTTACACACCAATAGCCGAGAACTAGTTTTGATGCTAGCAGACAGGGATATTGCTTAGCCTGTTCTGGCAGCAAAGAAAAAATAGTAAATTGCTTGAATTTGGGGCATGCTAGGCTATTCCATATATAACTCAAAGTCTTCCTCGCTGAACACTTTGATTAGCTATTCGGACCAATAATCATGGCGCAAGCCTCAATCTTTATGTCACTCAGCAGGAGCTCATAAGTTTCCGTTCATATATACTCCGTATTCTGCCGACAATGAATATACAGGGATATCACTGCCCACTCTCCAATTCATTGGCAGAGTGATAGCTATTTGTGCTTTCAACACGATCAAGTATCATTTTGTCTTTAACAGACATTGTATTGCCGAACTTCCCCCGAAAATTTATCTATCTGTTCCATCGAGCCCTTTGAAATTACAAGTGAGCTGGCTTTATCATGGTCTTTGATACGAATTGAGAGGAATAGCTCAAAAACTCGAGGGGCGCTTATTTGTTTTCTAGAAGCTTGCGAGAAGCCTATCTAAACGGTCAAGCAGAGATCATTGATTAAAATATCGATCGCGAGAAAAGGCTTCAAATACAGCCAGTCGGGGCGAAATTGAATAGTACAGATAAAACTCCCTCCATGAACCAAGATTGGCTCACATGGCCTAGCCAGCGTTGTAAACAATGGTGAATCTCATCAAATCCAAACTGCCGGACTTCTCCTTTCTGACGTGACGTGCTCGGTGTTCCCCTCCCGCTTGATGGAGAAGAGAGGTGAAAAGACTAAGTAACTCCACAAGCAGATGTTTATGACAGATAGATGCAGTCAGGGACTCACTGTATATAGCTAGACCTCTAGGATTAGCAGCCATCACCTGGCTTGGTATCCCACTTAGGTTGGTATGGCGGCAGCGTTGGCTGCGCCTCACGAGGCTCGATTGGAGTTGCCGTCGCTAGAAGGATGATGCCACAAAGGGCGAGAACAGAGCTGAATTGAATGTACAACATCCTGCAAAGAACATAGTCACTTTGACAGGGCTTATGTGAATTGACAGATGGTTCCCTATTTATGTTCATTAAGGCATCACAATATCCATCCTCGATGGCCTTGATGAACCGCGGGGACTTGGTTCATTGAGATACACTTTTGGCACAAGACTCGGTTGTATCGGTTCTCACATCCCCCATTAAACTTTGTTTCGGAGTAGACTTTGGGCTATGGTTGGATAGAGATGGCCATATTTTGGTCCCTTGTCCTTCGAACATAGAATGCGCCTCCTGGAAGCCAAAAGCCAGATCGAGCCACAGCCGTGCGGCTGACAGCGATAACCTAAAATGGGTGTCAATAGGATGTAACGGTCGGGCCCGGTAGCGTATCAATTATCGCCGTTGGACGCTCGCCCCAGGTGTGGTTGGTAGGAGGGGGTGATATCATCTACGATTTTGAACGGCCGGCGCGTTGCTCTTTGTTTTTTTATCGATCACAAGATAGACGCTTGCCCTTGGCAGGCCATTGATAGGTTCTCATATGTGCATAATATCTACAGGAACGTCACAGGAAAATCGGGGATTGGAATTGGAAGACAGGCTTGAGCGAAAGCTAACTAACGGTCCGACTCTGCGCACTCAAGGGCCTGATCACAGAGACAAACTTACGCTTGATCACTGATTTTGATTGGACCTCCACTTAGATATGCATCCAAGTCTCTGTTCACGGTACCTACAGCCAAGCTTGTGAAGGTATGGTGGAATTGAGTAGGGAAAACAGATAGTAGATGGGATCATACATGTGGCTGACACCGAGATTGATGCGGCTCATCCGAGTTCGATGCATACAGTTTGATGGATTTTATTGATAATCAGAATGAAATATTTCAAGCCAACTTCTCAATGCCAAATCATTCAATTCCCCCGAGTCAATTTGCCAAAAAGAGGAGTCGGCTTCCCACCAATGGAGTGATCCCGAATAGACATCCGAGCCCTCCGCCGGGACTTCGTCCTGCTTATAAATAAACGTGAGAGAATGGGGCAAATCGATAACTGACATTTGTGACACCTTCCAGGCAGAGGTACAGTAAGCCTCATTATTTCAATACTCGTGTCTCATCTGATTGTCTTGCAAGTCGTACGACAGAACATTATTCAATTGAAATGGATAGTATATAGCACATGACGATCGGCCCATGAATAGATAAGTGACAAAGTAGCCCCAGAAAGACTGGCCAATCAGCAGTCCCCACTTGATCAGACCACGGCATTTCTTGGCACTGCGGATCGGCCGATCCATGCTGAAAGGGCGAAAAGGGCCCTCAAGGCCAATCTGGCCACTTGAGTTTCTTATGCCGGTCCATTCTTTCTTTTAATTACACTCGGCCTCTCGACACTATTTTCTCTCGGTCATGATTGCAGTCTTATAACTGTGACTTCATTTGCACCACCCAGAACGGGTCAATCCTTTTTTCCTTGCATTGCGACTGGTGACGATTCTGCGCTCTTTGCCACCACCTCGCGTCTCCGTCCCTCGCCGCATCTTTTCTGAACGACGTTCCCTTCGTTCCCCTTGGCTGCTATAGCCTGAATTTTTAGATGGTCGGCACTATGCGGTCTACGGCAGCACTGTTCTACACTGCAGTCTATGCCTTTTCGAACTTGGCCAGCGCAAGCAGCCATGGCTCAACAGATCTAAACACGATGAACAAATGCGCGGTGAGTGGGAGCAGGCTACTCGTTCATGCCCACCGCCCACATTGCTTCCTCTTAGATACTAATGTCTGTCCTATACAGATCGACCCCACAGCAATGGTTTCCGACGCGTGCGTCTCTTACGGCACGATCAACAAACTTAACGATGAAATTTACACCCTCCTCCAATCAATCACCCTCGAAACCGACTTCTTTTCCTACTACCGCTTGAACCTCTTCAACAAAGAATGCCCCTTCTGGTCAGACTCGAGCAGCATGTGCGGCAACATTGCGTGCTCCGTGAATACGATCGAATCCGAAGAAGACATCCCTCTCGTGTGGCGGTCAGAAGAGCTGAGCAAGCTGGAAGGCCCCAAGGCGAACCACCCGCCTCGTAGAGTCCAGGCGGAGCGTCCAAAGGAGCGCCCGCTCCAGGGTATGCTGGGTGAGGGTGTTGGAGAGAGTTGTGTGGTCGAGTACGACGACGAATGTGACGAACGGGACTACTGTGTTCCGGAGGACCAGGGCTCTACCGGCAAGGGCGACTACGTGAGCTTGGTTGACAACCCCGAGCGGTTCACTGGGTATGCAGGAGAGGGTGCGCATCAAGTGTGGGACGCGATCTACCGCGAGAACTGCTTCATGAAGCCCGTAGCTGAGGAGCTGGAGGAGCAGTCGCTCAACGCCCCTCTGGGCGGTCTGCAGGCTTTCTCCGATTTCCGAAACGTCCTGCAAATGGAATCGCAACGGTTGGATGGGTTGCCCTTGGATAACGAGTGTTTGGAGAAGCGGGTCTTCCACCGGCTCATCAGCGGGATGCACGCCTCCATCTCCACGCATCTCTGCTGGGACTACCTCAATCAGACCACGGGCGAATGGCACCCCAACATGCAGTGCTACAAGGAGCGGCTTCACGATCATCCGGAGCGCATCTCCAACATGTACTTCAACTACGCTCTTGTTTCGCGGGCCGTCGCCAAGCTGCGCAAGCACCTGGAGGGCTACACTTTCTGCACTAGCGAACCCGAACAGGACATTGAGACCAAGCAGCGGATCAACCAGCTCACCGAGGTCCTCTCACGGCCACCGCAAATCTTTGACGAGAACCTCATGTTCCAGGACCCTAGCACCCAAGGCCTGAAGGAGGACTTCCGCAACCGCTTCCGCAACGTCAGCCGGTTGATGGACTGCGTTGGATGTGACAAGTGCCGGCTTTGGGGCAAGCTGCAGGTGAATGGCTACGGGACTGCCCTCAAGGTGCTATTTGAGTATGATGAGACCAAGAACGGAGAGAACCCGCCGCTGCGCCGCACGGAGCTGGTAGCTCTCATCAACACGCTCGGCCGTATCTCGCACAGTATTGCTGCGGCACGGAGCTTCCACGAAGCTCTGGAGGCGGGCCAAGAGAACGCATTCCCTCTTCGACACTCTGCGCCTTCGACTCATAATCACGCCGAGACCAAGGATGAAAATCAAGAACCGCGAAAGCTGTTCCATGACGGTACCGGACAGTTCTACTACGAGAATGACGAAGGGAACTATATTTATGGACGAGAGAAAGTGGATCGCTTGCCTTGGCAACGTCCTCCCCGCAAGCCGGACGCTTCTGCCTTCGACGATATCAAGACCGAGTTCGATATGGTCTGGGACGTGACTGCATATGTCCTGCGGAGCTGGCTAGATATTCCTCGGACAATGTAAGTGCAAATAGACGGCCATAGAAAGCTCATGATCCCATCAACTAACGTCTATCTGCAGACTCGAAATTACCATATGGGAAGGACAACGACTTTGGGCCTTTTGGCTAGGTTTGCCTGTGCCTCCTCGTGCCTGGAAGATCAAGGCTCCAGCGTCCGAAGGAACTCGACGACCTCCTGCCAAGGCTCACAGCGAACTGTGATTCGATTCCTCTTGTTATACACCGCTTGCATTCAGCATTTGTTTTTCTGTACATAAGCACTACACCGACTATTACATTCTGGCGTTTGGGAAAGATGGGCTGTTTGATATCCGGGCTTCATTATTCTGGAATAACGTTGAAAAATTATTAACACCTTGTTGATAGCTTGGATACCTCTCGTTTTTTATATCACATTGGGTCTCGACTTTTTGGACTTGCTTGTCTTTGTATAGAGTCTTTGGGCGACGTTGGAGCATAATGGCATTGGTCGGGATCGAGCATTCATGCTTGGAACTCTTGTGGGGATAGATCCTTGTCGATGTAATTTGACTAAAAGCAAACCGTAGTCTAGTCTATTGATACGTATTTGACTCGCTATTTGCATGTATCTTTATTTACAGTCTTTCCCGGTGTTGCTATGACCTTCGGAATATTTGCCGCGGTCGGCCAGTCTTGCCCAGGGAGAGTTTGCCACCGCAGAGATTTCCTGCGCCCGATGGGATTGCTTTGAGAAAACTTCATGTAAAAGAAGAACGAAGACTGAGATATCATATAGTCTATATCACAAACACCAATTCTGCCTCGGGACGATCAGACGTGACCGAGTCCATTATCCTATCGCCGAGGGCTACTCCCCAGTTCTTCTTCACTTTTTCCGAGCGGTCGGAAAACGCCGACATCCTCGGCTTCTCCACTCCCGGCCACATGCGACTTGCTTGACTTTCGCTCTTCCCTTCTTCTCCGCCCGTCCCCCATTCTTCGATCCACCTCCACTCCTTCCCCAGTCCCCAAGTCCATCACCTCCCCCCATCTCCTTTGGACTGGACCCGATGCAAGGTAGAGCCTGATTATGGCGTCGGTGTCGCCTCCTAAACCCTGGGAAAGAGCAGGTGCAGCTGCTGGTGAGTCCTTCCCTATCTCTCTCGTCTCTCGTCTCTCCTCCCAAATGACCCGTTGAGTGGTGACCGCCCCCAAAGAGTCATCGCCACCATCAACCGTCGTCCATCCCATCTCAGGAATCACCCCCTTTTACTAACACCGAGGGATGCGCAGGGTCTGCATTGTCTTCTGCACCCACTGCTGGTAGCCCAGCTGCCTCAACCGCGATGACTACATCTTCGCCCTCTGCGGCCAACCCCGCAACAACAACAACCACCACCTCCGCCATCCCCGATCTACCCTCCCGCCCTAGCACACTCAACTCCGTCGTCAACTCAACGGCCTCCAACTATTCCCCCTATGGTGCGTCGCGCTTTGGAGCCACCACGCCCTACGGGGGATATGGTGGTTATGGCGGCTACTCGTCGCCTTACTCCCGCTTCGGCTCTATGGGCTCGATGTACGGCGGCTATGGAGGCATGGGAGGCATGGGAAGCATGTACGGTGGCATGGGAGGCATGGGAGGGATGTACGGTGGCATGCCTGGGCAGGATCCCAATGACCCCAACAGCCTGACCAACTCCTTCAGTCAAAGCACGCAGGCCACGTTCCAGATGATTGAAAGCATCGTCGGCGCGTTTGGCGGCTTTGCCCAAATGCTCGAGAGCACCTACATGGCGACCCACAGCTCATTCTTTGGTAAGTTCTGAACGCTGTCAGGCCTATGGAATATCGATGGAGTGCGTTTCTAACCGTCTCAACAGCAATGGTCTCGGTCGCAGAGCAGTTTGGTAATCTGCGCAACACCCTCGGCTCGGCCCTGGGTATCTTCACAATTATTCGGTGGTTCCGCACTCTGATCGCTAAAATCACCGGTCGGCCTCCGCCAGCGGATGCTACATCCTTGACTCCTGCTGCATTTGCAGCCTTCATGGGCGGTCGCTCGTCACCTGCCACTCTTCCCGATGGCTCGCCTGCCCCGGCTAAGCCATCCAAGAAGCCCTTCTTCATGTTCTTGGTTGCCGTCTTTGGTTTGCCCTATTTGATGGGCAAGCTTATCAAGGCTTTGGCTCGGTCACAGGAGGAAGAGGCCAAGCGCCGGCAGCAGCTGATCGGCCCCAACGGCGAGCCTCAGTCCGCGGCCATGGACCCTGCCAAGCTGGACTTCTGCCGTGTGCTGTATGACTACTCTCCCGAGACCCAGGAGAGCAACGGCATTGACCTCGCCGTGAAGAAGGGCGACATCGTTGCCGTCCTCAGCAAGTCCGATCCCACGGGCAACGCCTCTGAGTGGTGGCGCTGCCGTGCCCGTGACGGTCGTGTCGGCTACCTGCCTGGTCCATACTTGGAGACCATCCAGCGACGCCCAGCCCAGCAGGCCATTACGGCAGGCAGTGAACCTGCCACTCGCACAAGCACGATGAAGGGCGGTGCAGCCAACGAGCGCACTCAGAGCCTCTCATCGATCTCGAAGCCGGTCGGCGATCAGCCGCCCGAGCTCAAGGGCAAGATGGGCGACATCTCACCAGAGAGCTTCCAGAAAAGCACATTCTATTCCTGAGATATAGAATTTTCCGCCCTGGGATGGGGCTTAGAAATGTTTGGATGAAGCGTGATGATATTGTCCCCTTTGTGCTCTTCACATTCTGTCTTTTTGTGAATACGCTAAAAGCTTTCCCACCTTTACCCCTCTCTCTCTCTCTCTCCCTCTACGAGACTCTCTCAACCCTCATATACCTCTCCATTACGAGCACGCCACAGTCTCGAACCTCCCCTAACGATCTACGGATCTAGTCGCGTTGACACCCCGATATCCACTGCCCATGTACCCTCGAGGACGGGGTCAGGACTCTTCTTGTTTGTTTTTATCTCAATCTCTTTATTTTTATTTATTTAATGCCCTTTTTTGGCATTGGAATTGGTTTAGCGATGGTCATACTCTTGGATTTATCTTGTACCTACTATCTATCGGCGCAGTACAGCTCGTTTAAATATGGGATTCCAACTCGTGATAAATTGTGATGAATTGGTACTTTTTTGAATAGTCTCGACCAATCAACCAGCTCGCTTAACTCAGTTGGTAGAGTGCGTGACTAGTAATCACGAAGTCGCTAGTTCAAATCTGGCAGTGAGCATTTCTTTTTATCTTCTTTTTTGGTCTTTACACGCCGTCAATGGATCAATGTCTTTGTATGAACAACTCTATTTTAATTATAATCGATGTGTTCGCTGACCACGTAATCTAGCGCTCAATTGCATGAATTTGTATATGTTTTTCTGGAGGGATGAACCGTTGGTTTTGAGGTTCCTCAATGGGAAGTGGTTGGATGGATTTCGAACCCCATCAAAGAGGAGCGAAAAGGTACGAGGTAAGGTTGTAGATGGACGTAGCCTAGTTAGGTAGTGGACAGGTCTCTTCCTGACATCAGACGTAGACGGCGCGACGTGGGGCCAATGTTAGACCGCACCTGTACTGGCCGACGGGCGAGACGGACGATGGAAGCTTTAGAAATAATTAAAGGCACTCGCTCTAGCCCTATGGCAGTCTTCGCTGTGGATTCGTAGTTGACCTTCGAAGCAGTAAAAAGGTTCTAAATGACGAGTCCTGTATAAATCAAAACCCCCACTATGCGTTTCTAAATATACCAAGCCCCGGACACGGCAATGTGGCGCAGAGCGGAATATGCATAATCAATATATATGAACAGAGTCGGGCTTCCAAAAGAAGGGAGGATGGGGGGGGGGGGGGATAGAGCAGAGTGGATGGGGAGGGTGGAGTGAAATCGTTGAGGGTACGAGGAGACATGGTGAATATCACTTTGTCGTGCCACATGGCAGGATAGGGGTTCAAATGGTAGATCAAACAAGGGGATCCATCCCCCTTCTCCCACTCTAAACAAGAAAACTTGGCCAGGGCCAAGATGGTGATGGGGGGCAGGGGGCAGGCACTTCCCCCCCCCCCAAAAAAGAGAAGAGAACAAAACGCCCTTGCTATGATTTTATCAATCTCAATCTTTCCCTGTCTGAAATGCGTGGAATACGTTGATGATGGGGGTGGGGCCAATGAATAAAGGATCAATGAGACAAGCAACGAAGATGAGAGGAGGACATGAAAAAACAAATGGGGGGTAAATGGGCAAAGACGGGGCCAAAAAAGAAACACACGCTCCAGATGAAGAAACAACGATGGGTAAAAGGGGGGCCAACAAGCAAAAGCACGGGCAGAAGACATGCAATGTAAAGAAGAAAGGAGAGAAAAAGAAGACGGGGCCATATACATCATAGAAGGATTCAATCCACATGAACACAAGAGGAAAAACAAGAAGAATCCAGGGTCCGACATGGAACTAAGAAGTTCAACGTGAACAAAAAAATGGAGAAGACATTTTTATTGTCACAGATCACGCCGAACATCGACATCACAAGCCCAGTCCCTCATGATGAGGAATCTCCTGGTTCGGATCCTGCTCACGCGCCCACTTCGCCATGGACTCGTTCAGCGTAGTCCCCAATTCGCCGAGTCGGTTCTGAAACGCATCCAGATTGGCGTAACTGCTGGAATGCGGAAAGAGTTCCGGCGGGCCGTTCATGCCGCCCCGGTGCTGCTGCATCGATCCAGGCAACGGGAGTGCCACGGGCGGATGGTGGTCGGCGTTCTGGGATGCCGTGATGGCCGGGTGTGGTACTGGGTGGACGAGTGGGTGTGGCACTGCCGGGTGGGGGAGCTGATGTTGGTGTTGGTGTTGGTGTTGGTGTTGGTGTTGGTGTGCTGATGGGTGGGACGGATGAGGCTGATGAGGTTGATGGTTTGGGTGAGTCACTGGTTGCATGGTTGATTCGGAGGGGTGATATGTTCGTCGGGGCATGTGCATTGGGTACGGGTTGTTGTCGTCGTCCATGATCAGATCTGGTAGGGTGTCGATAGAATTAGGGTCTGGGAGGGTTAATCTCGATCCATGCACGCTTTCCGAGTAGACACTCGCATGAACAGAGTCATGGTGCATACCGTAGTTGAGTGGATACGTCGATGTTTCCCTCGTGGGTGACTGGATGTCTGGAGGGGAGACTGGCGTGGCGGCATTCTCCTCTGGTTCGGGCGTATAACAAGTCATATCAGATGGGGTTTCTGGATAGCATGAGTTAGCAGTTATCCTCATCATCAACAGGAACGAGAAAGCATACTCGGTTCGGGACTTTGATCCTCGGCATCTCGATCCCCGTCGTGATCCCACGAATTACCGTAGCGGCGTACGAAGCGTGCAATACGTTTGGGATCGACATTCTGGCCATTGACCCGAAAGGCAGTCTGCTTCCCTCGGGCGGCGCGCTTCTGTTGCTTGCGAATCATCAAATGCACTTCCTTGGCCTTGATGTTTTTGCGGACATGCCATGCAGCGAGGCGATCTTTGTACTGTTTTTCTCTGTCAAAGAAGTCGGGAATGTTAGATTGCTCTGGTCGTTAATTGTGAGAGGAGGAGGGGAGGAGGTGGGATAGTATGCAACGAGTTCCAAAGAACGGAACGGAGGACAGGGCAATAATTTGTTAAGGCTTTGCAACGGCCAGACATCAAGCAAGCATATGAAACTATCATATGATATTTGACAAATAGACCAAAGATCTATAGAAATTCGACAGGGGGCATAGAATTGCATAAGAGGAATAGAAATCAAGGAAAGCGGGAGCGATACGAGGCATAGAACTTATAGTCCCGTTCCATGATGCGCTTTACATCACGCAGTTTGAGCTGGTCGTTGCGGTAGAGTTGCTCGATGATCTCGCGATACTCGTGCCAGTCGTCGGATCGGCGGGGCCGGAAAACGGTCGATGGTTGACCGACGGGCGGCGATTGAGGGGAGAGGGTCATGGACGATGGTGGAGGGTACGGGTCCATGACGAACTGACCCTCTTGGGAGAAATTAATTGAGTAGGAAAGAAGTTGGGGAAGATTGTTTACGGCGGGTAGTAAAATAGTGGAAGTGTCGAAATATGAGAGAGAAGGGGGGGGAGGGACTGTCGGAAACCAGTGTTGATGATTTGAAGGCAGAGAGACCAAGAGACGTTAGAGGCGGAGGATTGATGGGGAATTGACAGCCACGGGACGATCTCCAAAAGGGCCTGGAGGAAAAGGTGTCAATCAAGAATAGGAAAAGGATCCAAATTCGGAACGAGAATGGACGAGACGGCGGAGGAGACGAAGGTCGATAATCGAAAGGGCCCCAAATGTGACGAGTGGCGGAAGCGAAATGATAGAATAAAAGAGAGCAAGAACAATAAGGAAATCAGGAATCAGGGCTCAGCAATAAGAAATAAGTAAGGAAATAATAAAAGAGGCAATAAGAATAAAGGACCGGAAACCCCCAAGTGCCAAAATGCACGCAGAGAAGAATGCGATCACCAGGCAACTTTGGACAAAAAGACCCAAAAGAGACGAGAGACTCCTCCCTAAAAAAGACATGAAAAGAACCCCCCTCCCCTCCCCCCAGAGACTAGAAGACGCCTTTCCCACCCCAAAATGCCCTGCACCTAACAGTCGCCCCTCTGTAAAATAGAGAAAAAAAAAATCAATATTTTGGTATAATTCCTGGAACGAACTATCTCCCCGACCCGGATCCAAGCTCTTCTAGTCCCATTACATACTTGGCACTGATTATTGTTACAGCCGCAGGGACTACTTGAGTCGCAATCCTCTTCCCTATTGCCTCTCTCTCTCTCTCTTTCTTTTCTCTCTAGTAAATCACAGACCTGCTTAGCCTCGAACAGATCAGGGCCGAGGGGGCCAAGGAATCTCTCGACTACTCTTTACGGCGAGCTGCGGCGCGCGGACGCACGACCCCCTGCTTCCCCGACCAAATCAGCGCCGCCCGGTATGGGTATGGGGCCCAGGTAATGGCTCCATTCTGCTGCAGCGCTCGTCACTGTCATGATCGTCAACGGTGATGGGCAACTGTTGCTGTCCATCATAACCGTGAATTTCCCATCAGAAATTGAGGGATTGGGCCGTCGCCGGAGAAAATCTCCATCGGCTTGAACTTTGTAGCACCGGCCAAGGTTAGGAGAACCGAAGTTAATTACCAGGACGAACTGACCGTAGATGGTAATCGGTGGTGGCCAAGGTACAAAAAGTGTGGGCCGGGATTTGGAGAGGGAGTCTTGAAACTTTCTTAGAAGGGAGATCCGCGAAAGGTACAGAAGTCCCATGGATACTAAGTACGAAGTAGAGTGGCCGCCGTAAGGAAAAATCCAAGGCTGACTCCCCAAGTATACGGTACCAAGGAGACGAAGTACTCTCCAGTGGGATCGCATTTGTAAAGACGGGCTAACTCCGGCGAGTCCACCATGGCGTACTACTGAGATAATTCGCAAACCAGGAAATTTAGTTCGCTCTTCTTCCGGCTGACCAAAAGGACCACCGGCATCCGCATCATCAGCGAGAGAGGGGGAAGGGAACTTAATCGACGGATGAGCGGGCCCCATAGTTACGGGTCCGCCGTATGGTGATGGGGGCCAAAAAAGAACCCACGATGGGACCATTTCCCTAGATGGAGGTGATAAGGAACTATGACCACTATTATCTACAGCATGGGGCTGGACCAACGTCAAGGACCACGGACTGGGCCAAGTGGAGCTGAACTCCATCGCGTACTTTTGTCCGGAGCTACTGGCCAGCCTAACCGAACTATTACATGCAGCGCACTGGCCGCAAATTGGATGCATTTTCCGCTGCCTGTTGCGCCCGTTTAAATCTTTTTTTGGTTTCGATTTGATTTGATTTGATTTTCCTTTTTTTGGGCCATCGACTATACATACCCTTTTTTCTGGCCCAATAAGCAGGCCGTAGGTTTTTTTTTTGGTCGTCAGCAATCAGCATACTTGACGCCCTCGGCGCAGTCCGACCGTCTCCTGACTCGGGTGGTCGGCAGGTTCGCACGTTATTCAGTCGATCGAACGATCTCCCTTGTAGTGGACTGTCACGATCTCTTCCTAGACTAGCCATGTGCACCATCCGTGAGGGACTGATAGAAAGGTATATAGCATACGGATGGATATAGAAAAGGCACTGAACCTCCCCCCCCCCCTCCCCTGTCTACCCCATGCTAAAAGATCCTTGGCTCCCATCCCGTGCTAATCGGGAGCGGCCCGAAACTTCCCCTAACACCCTAACAGCTTCTTGGTCTTTTTGTTCTGCTTCCCCGACACTAATGGATCCCGATGCTCCGGTTCTTGCAAAGCCACTCTGAGCAAGTCACTCCTGACAGAAAGACGGGAGAGCAAAGAGGAAGGAGAGTGTCTGCCGTACATAATCAAACGATCCTCCTTTCCCAAGGATGGTCCCTGTAAGCTAAATTTCCTGGGCGGGTTTTTGATTATGTTTTATGTTTGCTTTTTTTTCGCGCCTTCGAGAGAGAGAGACAGCTACGAACTACGGTATGTACAGTATGTATGTACAGTATGTATATGTATGTATGTACGTGTGTATGTGGGACTCCTCGCTAAAGGTGAAGCTTGGACTTGACTCGTCCTCGTGTGCTCTGTACGGTAGACGCAAGGGTGGGACGGCCGTTGGAACATGCCTCGCCGTTGAGAGACAAGTGTCATCCCCAGGAGGACAATGGGCGAAAAGGGTTGAAAAGTGGAAACCCAAAAAAAAAAAAAAAAAAAAATAGTTCTTTTGACAGGATGGTCAAAAATGGTCGACGCTTTATCTCGCCTCCCCAAGTCAATCCCTAAAGATTGACTCGGACATAGAACTGCACCTTGCATTCGGTAGTGTATACCGAATCGGTCATCCCTCATAGGTTGACTTGCCACCGCGACGTTTCCTGTGGTCGACAGCTTCCTCCTTTTCATGGAAATATCACCCCCAAGACCCAACCCGAAGATCAAGGGGAGAGCAGAAGATACCCAGGCAGAAAGGATTTCGGGCGGGGAATCCCCACGCGCGCATTCTTGCGCTTTGGTCTCTTCTCGAGTTGTCGCGTCCTCACTGGGGGGGCCGCTTTGAGCCGGTCAAAACACAGGCCTCTGGTCGTTCGTGGGATCAGCCGGGTCATACGGGGGAAATACAAAGTTCCCATCGGTACGGGCTTATGCTGTAGCAAGTAAACAAGACGAAAATCAATACGAAGCGGTAAGTGGAAGAAGACGGGGAGATGAGGAAGATGGAGGGAGTATTTAGTATTTTGTAACTAGTATGTACTCCGTATGGCGTTTCGAGTCCGAAGTACGAGGGATAGGCAAGAAACCATAATCGAGTTAGAACGGTACCTGCCAGCATTCAGGAACTCTGAAGTACTGGGGGTACTCCCGCCTGGTACCTCATGGGTAGCGGCGGAACCAGAGATACATGGTGATCGCGTGTGGAGTGTGGATTTTTGCATTAGTTGCCCCTCCCCCCCCCGTTCCGGTCTGGTCAACAAAAGTACGGATACCTACGGACTATAGGGGGAAGAAGGCCATAACCCTTTGTTCTGCAATTTAAACATCGGCAGAATCTCATTTTCAGGCATCCTTCTCCCCTATATAATCTACGCATATCCTAATACCCTTTGTGAAGTGCGATTTCCCGCACCGAAATGATCGAAATCGATTCGGGTTACATGACTAATGAGATTACTGGAGGTGAAATGTAGATATAACCTGTAATCTGATGTTGAATCCACTCACGGCCTAACTTCTTCCCGGACGGTTTTAGACAGCTTCCTAAACAGTTTCCTAGTTAATCTCTACGTTAATTCTCCTTATGATGTAGTAAGCATGAAATGTACCTAGGGCGGAAGAAAGCGGTGGATGGTCTTTGAAGAAATTCAGGGTTATGGCCTTCTCCCCCCACCCTCCCCTATAGTCCGCCGTAGATACCTCGACAGTCAAGCTCCTAAGAGTATGAGACTCCGGATTGCATCCATGATTCCATTCACCGTGTACAACACCAATGAGCTAATAATAAGCACGCTAGAGACATAGGGGGCCCGGCCACTAACTATGAGGCCCACATGGAGCTGGGAGGAAGAGCAATGATATACGAACAATGGCCCTGGCCCCGTTGGCAATGGGCTAGACCCGACTCCATACTTCTCCGTGACATCGAACGTACGGCGAGGCCGGAAACGGGATAAAATGCGATTAGTGCGTGTGTCAGGTGGCAAGGCATCGAATGGCTGCATGGATCGACGCGGTCGGGGAGGATAACCCTAGTCGCCGATAGATGAAAGGGTCGACGAAGAGCAGAACAAAGGGACTGGGCATCGTTTTCGTACATTTGCCCCCTCTGCCTTGTACACGGAGGAGTGTCACTCTGGTGCCCAGGCCCAGTGGTCGGTGCTCAATGGGCTCAAAGCCCACTGCTGAGTGGTCACTGGCCCGCTGGCCAGTAGTGGCGAGAATGAGGCACAAGTACAGGGGCGAGTGGAACAAATCGGGCATCCGTCCCTACTGCGTGCATGCCCCGGGGACTAATACTGGAATAGTAATCGATCTGAGGGTTCGCTGCTAAAATGCGGGGCCGCGCGAGTAGCGGTTCTCCCGTGGGTGGCTTGAATCCTTTTGGGTGCTTTATTTTCTGGGTTCTGATCCTGCGTAGCGCGTGCCCTTTTGTGTTGTTCCGGCTACATGGGAAAGCTAATGATACTGGGGGGAAGTGATGAGGTGGACGAGTGGGAACCGGACACGGGCGCGCCCACGAAAGCCCACCCACGCAATGTGGATATCGTGAACGGGAAAGCAGGGGGGAGAAAAAAAAATACCCGCGTGGGACCTGCTCCACATCCACCGTTCAGACGCCGACCAAAACAGCCGGAGAAATCTACCGCGGCCATCACGATAGGTCCACGGACCATCGTTCACCGGCTCGGATCGCATGCAGGTACTAGGATGTAGCGCGCAGACCAGAGAAACAGAATATCGTGGCCGTGGCGGGCGCAACAACGCCGCTGCAGGACGCGTCTTGAAAAGTGGATTCCTCGTACCCCGAGGGATTCAGATACTGAGTCCAGATATGAATGGAACAGCTTCCATGGGCCACGAGCGGGTGGGCTGCATCTAACCGGCAGATGACAGGAGGGGGGTGGAAGATTGGCAGCTATGCTTCGTCGATCGAAGACAGATCAAGGACCAATAAGGCTTGCAAGGTGGATGAGATGCATGTCGTGCTTGAGCAACAGCCACATAGTTCATCATCTACAAAGTACCGCGAGACGAAGACTCCTCCCGGAATAGGACATCGTAGAACCCTTGACTCGCTTCGGCTAGCTCGGGGCTCAGCTTTCAGCTCAGCACAAAGTTGCCCAGACATTAGAGCAAAGGGGACCAACGGCACGATGGAAGGGGGAAGGGGGAGAGGGGGG